TGGAAGAGCCGCACTCAAGGGGCCAAAGAGCCGCATGTGGCTCGCGAGCCGCATTTTGTCGGCCATGGATCTAGGGGAGGTGTGCTCAATCCTCGCTATTTCCCATTCTCCAGGTAAAACTGTCACCTGCAGTCAGGGGAGAGGCAAGGTGGCAGCCTGGAGGGCCTCTTTCCCTCCTCTTCAGCAAATGCTTTGCCAGTGCTTCCTCTGCCCTGTGCTGTTTTAGGAACTGTGTACAGAGTGATAGCAACTGCCCCGCCCTCCTGGAGCATACGGTCCAGTCAGATCCTCTTCTCCATACCCCTTAGGACTTCAGACCTGAGGAGGCTCCTTGGTGTCCCCACTCAAAATTGGATGGAGTGAGGGCCATTTCCCCAGGCTCAGGCTCATCGGCGTCCAACTCTAATGCTGCCAAGCTCTGTTCTGTCACCGCAGACATGCTCAAGCTTTTCCTCAGCCTCAAACATCCTAAACCTTTTTTTTCTCTTTCCCTTAAATATCCCTTGACTCGTCCTCTCGACCCCTCTACCCCTGTCTTACCTGACTCTCTCACCTCTTCCCTAACTGCTTCCCTGTCGCCTCTCCTGACACCCCTCACGCATCTGTGCTTCTCACTGAGCCACACTGCTGCCAGGGGTACCTTCCTGAGACAGGAAACTGTCCATGCTGCATCCTGTAGGGATGGTCAGTGGCGCCCTCACTTTCCCGGCCTGCTTCTAAGGCTGTCCGCTGCCCAGCTTGTCTGACTCACCTCGTTTCCTGCTGTTCCCTGCAAGACGTGAGCAGTGGACACTGTCTTTTTACAGGCATGCGCCTTGCACCTTGTTTTTTGTATGAACCATTTCCACTGAAGTCCTGGGCCGCTGGCCGCTCCATCTCTATCCTGCATTTTTCTCTGTCCTTGTATGTAGGTACTGATGTTGTATTATTTATTTGCATTGTCTGTCCTTCCTCTTAAGCTGTGTATGTCTGTGTAATGCTGCACCTGACATTTCTTAGGTTCCTAAACAAGGGGGTTGTTGAATGAATGGATGGATGGATGAGCGGACATACATAGTTTGTCATAAGGTTTTCACAGACGGCTTCTATCCACTTTAATGAAACAAATATGGACTCCATAATCCACTTGTAATTTTCTAGGACCTCTAGATGCCATCAAATACCAAAGATTTGAGAATAGGAGGGTCCTTTTATGCCTTACTGGCCACCTCTCACCAAGTCTGAATGCTAAAGTGTTCTACAACAGCAACAAGTGCTAAAGCCTGTAGCATTCAACTCTTGTGAAAAAGCTCTGCCTTTGTGTGTGTTACCTTGTTATATTACTCCTTCATGTAAAGTTTTCCGAAGACACACTTTCCAGCAGGCTCCCGTTAGACCCCTGAGGTAGAAGTGGGCACCCAGGTGCTTCTCATCCCGGACTCCACTGCCAGCCCTTAGGAGTCTGAGTCCGGACTTCCTCTGGGGCAGTGGTTGGCAAACTCATTCGTCCACAGAGCCAAATATCAACAGTACAACGATTCAAATTTCTTTTGAGAGCCACATTTTTTAAACTTTTTTATTATTATTATTTTTTTTTATTTTTTTATATATATTTTATTGATTTTGTACAGAGAGGAAGGGAGAGAAATAGAGAGTTAGAAACATCGATGAGAGATAGACATTGATCAGCTGCCTCTTGCACACCCCCTACTGGGGATATGCCCGCAACCAAGGTACATGCCCTTGACTAGAATCGAACCTGGGACCTTTCAGTCCCCAAGCCAATGCTCTATCCATTGAGCCAAACCTGTCTTGGCAAACTTTTTTTTTTTTTTTTTTTTTTAATATATTTTATTGATTTTGTTCAGAGAGGAAGGGAGAGAGATAAAGAGCTAGAAACATCGATGAGAGAGCCATCGATCAGCTGCCTCTTGCACACCCCCTACTGGGGATATATCCACAACCAAGGTACATGCCCTTGACCTGAATCGAACCCGGACCCTTCAGTCCCCAAGCCAACGCTCTATCCATTGAGCCAAACTGGTTTCGGCAAAACTTAAACTTCTTCTAACGCCACTTCTTCAACATAGACTCGCCCAGGCCCTGGTATTTTGTGGAAGAGCCACACTCAAGGGGCCAAAGAGCCGCATGTGGCTTGCGAGCCGCAGTTTGCTGACCACTGCTCTGGGGAGACTAGTCACAGCAGCTGCACGGGGGTGGGAGGGGGTGGGAGGGTGGGGGGGGGCCCTCCTCAGACGCTGTCTCCCAGCTGGTCCTCCCTGCCGCCCCCTGCTGCACAGCTGAAGCCAGGTAGCGCACCTGCACCCAATTGGAGGTCCTGGGAAACCCCACCCCTCCCCTCCGGCCCCGCCCCAGCCCGTGGGCATCCTGCTGCGGGGGTGGCCCAGGAGCTCATTCCTGGTAGAAGGGCTTGGGTGCAGAGGCCCAGTTGGGAGGAGGAGCGCCCTGAGGCTGTTCTCCGGGGGAAAGGCTCCAGGAACGGGCAGCCTTGGTCGGGCTGTGCCGTGAAGCCTTGCGCTCGGGATGCTGCGGCCTTGGACCCTGGCAGAGGTTGGATGGGGGCCCAGCGGCGGAGCCAGAGCCCACACCGATGCCCGGAGCCTTCGTCCTCCTGGAAGGTGACAGACTCGCGGCCCTTGCACAGTTCACCTCCACCCCCCGGGGTTCTGGCCTTGGGGTCCGCTCCGACCGCCCTCCCTTCCCCCGCGCCCCTCCCGCACAGCCTTCAGGCCAGAACCTGGTCCCCAAAGCCCTGTGGCCAAAGCGCCCTGCACTGTGGCTCTGACTTTGGGGGGGCGGGGAGGGGGACGATGCCTCAAGGAGGAATGGGGTTTGCTTGGCAGGTGGTGTGAGCCAGGCACCTGAGCATCAAGGGTGAGGGGCCCGAGTACCCGGGGCGCCCAGGTGTTCCCCATCCCAGGCCTCCTCTGCCGGCCCCTGTAGAACTCCAAGGTCCTGTGAGTTCCAGGTTCATCTCAGAGGAGGTGGAGGCAGCAGCTCCTGGGGCCTGATCCTACCTCCCCTGACGCTCAGCCCATCCCTTCCCCGCACCGCCATTTGGAGCTGCACTCACTGCCTCAAAGGACACCCTGCGGGCTCTCACCGCACCGCTTTGCACCTGTTTGCCTAAATAGAACAACGCAAACTCCACGCAGCACCCAGCAGGCAAGTGGAGCAGGCTGTGGCCTCTGGCAGCGCCTGGACTGTGGACCTGTGCATTGGGGGCTTGGGGACCCCCACTCAGCTCCAGGGTGCCGGGCCTGGGGAGGGCCTGTCGGTGAGGAATGGCCTGGTGCTCGGTCCTCTGCCCAAGATGGCACCAGGTTTGGTAGGAGCCCAGGAAGGGAGCACAGTGGGGTGAGGGCCACCTGCCACCCTGTGGTGCTGGATGGCTGCAGAATGGTGGGGACCACACGTGGCGCCAGGGGAGAACCAGGAGTAGTTTGTTTGTGAAAGACGCGCTGTATCCACAGAGACATAGCCTCTGCTGGTTGTGTCTACCTGAGGCCAGTCACACGGGAGATGGTGATGAAGCAACTTTGTGCCATGCTAAATGCTCTGTATCCATTGTGTTACCTATTGTTATGTAGCATCTTCACTTTTCAGGTAAGAGAAATCAAACAATATGTTCAGAGGACCAGAGGTAGCAAGGCACAGCCAGTGTGTGAAGTCCAGGTGTCTGATCCAGAGCATAGACTCTTATTAAATTACTAGAGGCCCGAATCACAAAATTCATGCAGGGGACTTGGCTCTTGGCAGCTGCGGCAGCTTGCCTCAGCCCTCGCAGCCCCGGGTTCGTCCAAAGGTCATCTGGAAGGACATCCAGAAGGTGGTTCGGCTGTCCGGTCTAATTAGCATATTACACTTTTATTATTGTTGTTGCTGAAACAGAAAAGAAAAACACACACCTACTTTTGCTACTGGGTAAAGAGTCATTTGCTAGTCTTTTTTTTTTTTTTCATATAGATAACGTGCTCTTTTTTGTTTTGTTTTAAATTTCCAAAACCTATTTTTAGTAAAGGCACAGCTTCTTCACACAGTAAATTTAAAACAGTGAACAGGAATCATAACGATAACATTTCTCCCTCTTGACTGCTACCGATTCCTAGAGGTTGTAGTTGGTATGTGACAAAGTTTTATTTGGATTGGACTGCAGAGGGGGAAAAATGCTACAGGAGCAGAGTCATTAGGAGTTCTCTCGAAGTCATAGTAACTGATGGAAAACAGGCAATTTCATTTAAAATACATGATCTACGGCAACAGAAATTGCACTTGACTCTGGACCCCTCCATGCTTTGAAAGCCTAATGAGGACGGTAGCCAGCTTCTGCGAGCAGGTTTAATTAATCCTGAGAAGAGCTCTTTTCTCCTAGCAACAGCATTCCCCCCCAAATTACAGTCCAAAGCTAATGTGAAAGCTGAACAATATTTTCAAAAACCAGTAAGTAAATATCATGACGTAAAGCAAGGTATAGAACCTCAAAGAATATTTTTTTCAAATTTATTTATTTATTGTCCATGAATTCTCCTCCCCCTCCCCCCCCCCTTTTTTTTTTTGCACAATCCCTCCACTCCCCTAACCCAGCCCACCCTGGCTGACAGCTATCAGCCTGTTCTCTAGATCTATTTTGCTTGTTAGCTCATTAGACTCCACATATGAGTGAAGCCATATGGTACTTGTCTTTAAAGAACAGTAAGCTAAGTGAAAGAAGTCCAAGACAAGTAGATTTTTTAATCATAGGATTATAATCACAATAATGTCTCAAGGTAATTAAGCGGGTAAAAATTAGATGAGATTATTGTTAAATTGTGCTACGCCTCTTTTCTGCCAAAGTTGAGCATTTATATTTAGGCCAGTTGGGTAATTATTTGGTGAAGAGGGCAGTTCAGCTTTTTTCTTGTGAGGTAATTAAAACGAGAAACACATGTGGGTAAAAGGTGATGGGTGTTCTGACCTGTGCTCAGTAGGAGGATGTGAAAAGAGGCCTTTTTCTTTTTCAGCCTTGCCTTACACCCAGATAAAACTCTTGTCGCAACTGGCCAAGTTGGGAAGGAGCCATATATATGTATATGGGATTCCTATAATGTCCAGACTGTGTCTATTCTTAAAGATGTCCACACACATGGAGTCGCCTGCCTGGCTTTCGACTCAGATGGACAGGTGTGTATCTTTTTCCGTTTTCATTTCCTTTAATGATTTCTCATAAGTCGCTTAGAATTATAATGCACATAGCCTTTGGGCCTGGAAAGTCTGTCAACCCTTGCTGTCTCCCCTTGGCAGCCTCTTGAGTCTTCGCTTGTTTGACCCTTTTCCAAGCTTGTGGCACTGACGTCAGCTCTCAATAAGCCCATTTTGGTCCCCCCAGAAAGAAAGTCATGAGCTCATGCTGCTTAGGCCCATCATGACTCGGCAATCCCACTTGGTCTTCCTGTGAGTTTCCTATTTGGAATGAGGATTGGACCAGACTTTTCCCATAAACCTCAAACTCTGAGCATCACATTGGTTCCCCTTGCTTTCAGAAAATAACATCCTCTCCTAATAATTCACACCCACACAAAAAATTCTCTGACTCTTTCCCCGCAGGTCACTTCTAATAACTTCTCGCTGCCCACCTCCCCACAATTCAAGCACAATTCATGTGTATTTATTAGTTTCTTTACGGTAATTCTGACACTCATCCTCTCCGTCCCATTCTCTCTGCCACCATCTTTTTAAGTTCCCAATACATGTCATGCCTGACAATTTAACCTCTTAACTGGTCCACACAGCAAATTTCTTGATAATACATTTCACCATCAGAAAAAGCATTGGTCAGAGAATTGGTTAAAAACAAGAAAAGCAAAAAATTGATCCAAGTCCACACTTTGTAGCTGGGTATTCTAGACTAACCAACTTTCCTAAGCTCATCTTCAGTCTCCCCTTGTGGTCAAATTGGACAAGTCAGCGACATTCCTCCACCACACCTCGCTCTTCGGCACCTTCAGACCCTTTCTCAGGCAGTCCTCTCCACTTCAGGTGCCCTACTCAGCCTCTTTGCTCTTTGCCCCGGAAGTAACTCATTCTGGAAGGTCTTGAAAGAATGAGTTAGCCTTCCCAGAGCCCCCAACAGAGTGGAAATCTCGAGTCCCACTGCATTCGCCTCTTTACTAAGGCTGTACTTTTCTCCACTTTCCGTGTTCCTGGGCTACCTTGATTTTTTTTTTTTTTAAAGAAGTTAATCCTTTATAACAGTATTAAGTACTTAGGACTTTTAAAAAAAAATATATATATATATATATTTATTGATTTTTTACAGAGAGGAAGAGAGAGGGATAGGAGAATTAGAAACAGCGATGAGAGAATCATAGATCAGCTGCCTCTTGCACACCCCTACTCGGGATGTGCCCACAACCAAGGGACATGCCCTCAACTGGAATTGAACTTGGGACCTTTCAGTCCGCAGGCCGACGCTCTATCCACTGAGCCAAACCTGTTTCAGCTACCTTGATTTTTTTTTTCTTTCTTAAACTCTCCAAATTTCTGCCATTTAGTTTCTTTAATTTTTATTAAATACCTGAGTCTGTGCTGTGGAAAGACCTGTCAAATTTTTCATAAAGGCTTGACCAAACTGAATTTTTTGTGAAGTTCAGTGGATTATAGGACTTGACCTGATTTGAGTTCCTTTTTAAACAATTAACCTTTATGTATTTGGTATAGTCTGCTAATTTGAGAGAGTAGTGATCCTTATTCATTCCTCCCCCCACCCCTCACCCCCACCCCGAACTAGAGTCACTAACACATGGACCCTGGCATAGATATTTTATTTTTATTTTTTTATTTTAGTACTCTATAGTCTCATCCAATTTAGTCAGGATAATGCCTGTGTTCCGTTGTATATCCACATCTAAAGAGAAAAGGCTGGTTAGTGACATTTCTTCAAACTTGCAGTTACTGGGTTCCTGACTAAATTAAATGAATGGGTGAGAATGCATGAGCACGTCCAGGTGTAAACGTATGCTCAGATGTTCTCCCAGGCGCATTCTCTCATCTGTTTTTTTTTTTTTTTAAGCAAACATTCTTTATCCAAATTGTGTCTAAAGCAGTGATTTTGAACCTTTCTCATCTCATGGAACACAAACTACTAAAATTCTGAGGCAAACAAAAATATTTGCCCATCTGAAAAAAAAAAGATATAATTTTGATTCATTCACACTGAACAACGATTGTTATATTTTTATTTGACAATTTAAGGGAAAAAAGATCCTTGCCCCTGACTAAATAGTCACGTATTGCATGTTTTAAAAATTCTTGCAGCACACCGGTTGAAAATTGCTATTCTAAATCATCACAAGAAAAATGTGGTGTGGCTGAGGAAAACGGCTTTAACTTTTGGGCTCCATTTTGCAGGGTGGGGGCAGGGGTGGACTTCCCTGTCAGCTGAGAAGAATAGCCGCCTGTTGGTTGGCCATGATGGATTTCCTGCCTTGCTGAGGCCTATTGCTTCAGGTCTGCCCTGTTCCCTAGTCAGAGTCCACGGGAACCAAGGGACACTTAGAAAATGACGAATGACCCATCCTCTCTCAAACAACAAAAGGCAATATAAATGCTCCTCAGGTAGCTCTGGGGTCTGTCACTACAAATGAACAAAATAGATTCCATTTGGCTTTTTCTCAATCAAGAAATGTGGGTTTTACTTTAGTGTCTATGTTTACGTTAACTGCTTTTTCCTGTGGTTTTTTTGTTTTGTTTGTTTTTGTTTTTCTTTTTTTTAAAGAATAAACAATGAAATTCACCCACTTCTAATTTTCTTATATGGATGAAAATAAAAAATGCATTGAAATAATTTCCATTGCTGGAACACTCAATTAAAAATTACAGCAAAGACCTCCTTTCATAAAGGCACATTTAAAAACCTCCAACTATGTATTTTTAATATTCCCAATGGGAAGTCATTTACAGAAAAAAAAAACCTCAATAATCTCTGCACACTAACATGTATACATAGTCATATATGGCCATCTATCATTCCATACATTCACACACTTACATGCACACTCACATATGTTCCTGGGCTACCTTGATTTTTTTTTAGAAGTTAATCCTTTATAACAGTATTAAGTACTTAGGACTTTTTAAAAAAATATATATTTTATTGATTTTTTGGGTAATGCTATATTATTAAAACCCTTTAACTTACATTATTTCACTGATCCACACAAAAGTCCTATGTAAACTGAAAAAAAAAAAATTTACATTCATCTTACCGATGAGAAAACTGAGATTTAAGGAAGTGAATGAATTTTTCAAGGTGTTATATCTGGCTACTTACAAAATTAAAATAGAAGCCAAACCTATTTACTTCCAGTCCAAACCTCTATCTGTAAACAGTGCTGTGTCCTTAGAAGTGGTATCCTGCTAGGACCTCTGATTTTGGTGTTCCTAAAATGGGTTTGGACACTTTAGATGTTTTGTATACTCATGTTAAATTTCCCTTTCCCTTTGAGGACAAATTCTGCTGTGAATCCAAAGACTTTGGACTGGTAGATGGAATGCCAGTTTACTTTTACTGAAATTATGTTATCTTCTTTAGTCACTTGAAATGTTTGTGAAATCATGGAAATTAAAAAGAATGAAAATGTTTATTTCTGAGACTTCTCTGTGTGTTTGTCAGACCCTTTAATTGGAGCAGTCTATTGAGGCTTTCAGACTACAAACCCTAAACTCTATTAAATCTACATTAAGATCTTAAATTTAGAAATTAAATTCAAATCCTGCCTTCAAGTTCTGTTCCTGTGATTTCCACCGATTAATCAGATTCATGAGATTTTTTGCACATGTCTCCTATGTTTAAGGACAGATAAGTTGCACCTGAAAGGTTTTTGAAATGTCAGTATATGCTATGGAAGTCAGTACATGACTTAAGGTGGATCTTGAAAAATGATTTTTGTTTCATAAGAAGCTCAAAGCTTGGCCCAAAGTAGATTATCAGTGGCCATTTGTTGGAAGAAGGGCATGGGTAAGGGGGAGTCTTGCCATTAAATTATTGTTTTTAATCCTAGCGTTTGGCCTCTGTGGGATTGGATGCCAAAAACACAGTCTGCATTTGGGACTGGAGGAAGGGGAAATTGCTGGCCTCAGCCACTGGCCACTCCGACCGGGTAAGAAGACCACACAGATTGTATAACTGGGAAGAAGGGGGGGGGGGGGGTGCGGGCTGTGATTGAGCCTCTCAGAGTTGGTAATACTTCTCAAAGTAAGTATTCCACATGTATATATTTCCCTACATATTCAACTTAAAAAACTTACTGTTTTTAAAAATTAATTTAGGATTGATAGCTATGTTGGCATTTCTTTTGGCGATCAGCTGCTTTATGGAAGTTACTGCTTTTTATAGCTTCCTCGTAAAATCAAAATGGAATTGAATTTTAAAGTGATATGCAAATGTATTTATTTGGAAATGGAAAGAGTTGTTAGAAATTAGTATTCACAAAATACGTGTACGAGCGTATGCATTTGAATTTCAAATGAATGCAGTGACAACTTTGTGGTTCTTTGCTCTATTTGAGAACCTTGAATGTAAATTGTGGCCTGCTTGTCATTCATATTGAAGTCGGTGTGATCAGAAATGACACTTCCTTGTAGTCATGTCTGGCAAGATAGGACACAAAGCAGGCATATATGCATTAGCTGGTAGAAAATCTATTTCTCCACTGACTTGCATAATTAAAATAATTTGGCTACTTTACTGTCTTGATCTTCTAATGAAAAAATAATGAATTTGCGTGGTGTCTTACATTGATTCCTAGTTGTTTCGTATTTCTGTCCAATATGTGCCTATGAAGAATGAGGCCTTAATTTAATATTAAATTCATTGTCTCTTGCTTTGTGTGAACTCTAAAAGTTTTTTTTTATATGACTATACTATTAATAGTCACCTATGGAGAATTATGATAGTAAGGGAATCCAATAGTTGTTGCCACAGTTATTTAGGCAAATTGTACTCGAGGGTAAAGTTCTCAGAAAGCCCAGGAGTGACCATCAGTGGAACGTTGAGTGTTGGAAGAGGCCTGGCATTCCTCTGGCCCAATGGTTCCAAGCCCTGAGGACACATAAAAAATATTCGGAGGTGATGTTACTGCAGAGTGCTGCTCAGGCTCTACCCAGAGGTGTTGGTATTAACTTATTGGTGGCTAATTTGTATTAACTTAGTACTTAATGAACAGGTCGAAAATATTCCCAGTGCTTACATTTTGGGTGTTCCTGCTTTTGTTTATACTGTGATCCCATTGTATCTCATAAAGTAAATTGAATTGGATCAATACATGAATTTCCTTTTGCTTCGTTACTGTGTCGTACACTTTCCAGTTAGGTAAGTGCAATGCTATTCCAGTGAGAACTCTGTAATTTTAGCCTAGGATGCTTTAATGAAATACTGTTCTTTTAGACTCTAAAATTTAGAGCATTGTTCTCCCAGACACCGTAATTTATTTATTTATTTATATAAATATATTTTATTGATTTTTTTTTACAGAGGAGGAGAGAGGGATAGAGAGCTAGGAATGTCAATGAGAGAGAAACATCGACCAGCTGCCTCTTGCACACCCCCTACTGGGGATGTGCCCGCAACCAATGTACATGCCCTTGACCGGAATCAAACCCAGGACCTTTCAGTCTGCAGACTGATGCTCTACCACTGAGCCAAACCGGTTTCGGCAGACGCCGTAATTTATATCACACCTAGTTTTGTTCTTTATTACTGATGCTGATGTGAATGATGATTGGCTGCTTATGGGCAAATGATTATCATCAAGTTTATTTTAGTGACCAAATACTTAATCCCTACTACTCATTTGTATAATGAGTGCTTTTGTAGCCTGCAAAATGACCACACTTAACCTCATCTCAATAGCCCTCGTAACAAAACTGAGATGGTGTTATCCATTTTATGGAACATGTGGTTAAAGATGCTAAGAGTTGCCTGAGCTTGCTTAGCTGAAGCGGGTACTTGGACCTCATTGGTGCTTGGGCCAAGTGCTCTTTCTTCAGTGCTCTTTCTGTGGTCCACAGTTGCTCTTCTCTACCTAACCGAAGGTTATAGTCCTCTTTTCTCCGATGATTGGTCCATATTGCTTCTTCCGATGTGATGAGAAGTTAGCAGCCTACTCTGGCCCTGGTGATGGGTTCTTTTTATTAGAGTTTCACAGAATGTGGTCCATGGACCACCTTCCTCAGAATCTTCTGGGCTCTGTTTTAAAATATCTGGGCCCAACTTCAGACCCACTAAATCAGATTCTCTCCCATGCACCAGGGGACTATGCACTAAACAATTGCCACTGGTAATTTGACCCTAAAAGATGACAGTCTTCTCTTTCCTGTCCCCCAAATAGAAGTAGAACTGCCTGCAAGCAGCTTAATAGCTGTTCTCAAAGTATGATAAATAACACTGGCAAATACGTTTTCAGCTTCTTGGAAAATAAGAAATGTAACATTATTTTGGACCAGATTATAATGATAGTCTGAAGAACTATTTTCGGTGGGCTAAGTTAGTGGCAGGAAAAGGCCTCTGCCTTTTGTGCAGGGATATTAACTTCTGTGATCACTAGGAACTGTTGGCTTCATTGACTGTAGTTGACCATGAAACATTTTCCTACTTAAAATGAAGCATTTTGTAATTTTTTTTTTATTGAGAAAAACTATCTGAAAAGTGTTATTAGCATGGAGAGCTAGAGAAAATCTGATAAAAATTATCCTATGTCATCACAAGCAATTACCCTGCATGGATAGACTTAAAAATACAACACCAGTTTGTTCTCAATGATCGCAGTTAACTGTTACCTCTCTGTTCAGGCCTGAGGTAAGAAGATATGAGGTGATGAGACATGTGTCAGCAGTTCTGACTCATCCCCGAGCCAGATCCTCCGGTTCTCATTCTGTGCAGGTTAACACTGTGTCCTAAGTGTCAGGATAGAGTATTGGCAAACAGACTGGTATCTAAAGAAGGCAAAACAAAACAAAAACCCACCCATCAATGACCAACATAGCAACTTTTAATATTTTTTAAACAGATTTTTGATATTTCCTGGGATCCATATCAGCCAAACAGAGTGGTTAGCTGTGGAGTGAAACATATCAAGGTAAAGTAGTTCTCTTTTTCAAATTTTTGGTACCTCGTATGAAAAGAAATTTTAGGTGTTTATGTTTAATTTGGTGTTGAGAAACTGCTCGACTTTGCCTTGCTTTCCTTACATTTAAAACCTCCTTCCTTACCTGCTTCTCTGATCATGAAGGAAGCTAACATCAGTGTCCTACCAACACCTTAGGGCTTCATAATCATTTAGTAACCCTGGTGCAAAGACCTGATTGTAACCTGAGAATACTTTTGCTGTCATACAGGCACTTTTTGCTTCAGCAGCAGTTGGAGGAGCCTTCCTAATGTTTTACATAGCCCACCTGGAAGCAGAGAAAACTCACTAAATTTAATTTTAAAAAATTGAGTTTGTATCACATGAAGGAATAAAAACTGACCCTATTTTCAATTTGTTTGAAGTTGAGCAACTAAAACAGAACATTCTGTAAGAGAGGCACAACTGAAATTCTGTAGGAATAAAGGAGAGATCCCAAGTGGTTAGAGGAATGGTGTTTCGCTGAGGCTTGGTGGGTAGGTGAATTTGTTAGAGAGAGCTTGGAAGGCAGAAGAGCCAGCTGAGGGGTTGCAATTCAGCCCAGAATTAATAGGGGGCATTGGTCACCCATGGAATCATGGGACTGGGAGCAGAAAGGTCCTTGGCCCATAACATGTTCAAAGATTACTAATGTTTTGCCGAAACTGGTTTGGCTCAGTGGATAGAGCGTCAGCCTGCGGACTGAAAGGTCCCAAGTTCGATTCCGGTTAAGGGCATTTACATTGGTTGTGGGCACATCCCCAGTGGGAGGTGTGCAGGAGGCAGCTGATCAATGTTTCTCTCTCATCGATGTTTATAGCTTTCTATCCCTCTCCCTTCCTCTCTATAAAAATCAATAAAATATATTAAAAACAAGATTATTAATGTCTCATCACCAAAGAACCTACTTTTAAGAATTTTCTTTCCATGGGAATCAATATTTGGAAAGATTCTGTCCACAAGATACATTGTAGCTGTTAAATATTAATTACCTAAACAATTTTTAAAATATATTTTTATTGATTTCAGAGAGGAAGGGTGAGGGAGAGAGAGATAGAAATATCAATAAATGAGAGATTATCATTGACCGGCTGCCTCCTGCACGCCCCACACTGGGGACCGAGCCCGTAACCCAGGCATGTGCCCTTGACTGGAATCAAACCTGGGACCTTTCAGTCTGCAGGCAGACGCTCTATCCATTAAGCCAAACCAGCTAGGGTACCTTAACAATTTTTATTCATCCAAGATATGTATCTGCCAACATGAGTTTCTGATCAGTCTAAAATATGGCAAAGGTATCCAGTTCTTTGAGCTACAAGTAAAGAAACGCGTGAGCTCACGATGAGCCTGATTTCCGTGAGGCTGTGTCTGGAAGACTGGGACCCTGACCCGGGAGCCATCATCCGGCCTGCGTGTTCTACAGCGAGGAGACCAAGTCCCAGGAGGTGACATTGAATATTGGTTTTATTTCCCTCTGCTTCACTCCGGGAAAGTTGTTTCATCTCCCTGAGGCCGAGCTTCTTCCTCTAGGAAAAAGGGTGGGGAGATCACTACTTCCTGAATTTATTGAGTTACCTTCATTAGTGTATAGAACCAGTAGGGGCACAATAATGTTACCTTCCTCCCCCATTTCCCAGGATCACAAAAATGCTGGCACAGGTAAGATTTAAACTCTGTCTCTGGCTCCCTGTGTAGAGCTGTTTCCACTTAGGAATTATTTCCTTAATGATCATACATGGCTTAACTTCCTCCCCTCTTCACCCCCCCCCACCCCCAGATTATTAAAAGAAATAGATTAACTGCTGCTTAATTGGTAGGCTTCTCTAGCTTCTTCCTATTTCCCCCCCCTTATACTTGGTTTAACTTTTAATCAGTTAAATCTAGAAGCAGAGAAAGGTAAACCCTGTAACTTGATTTGAAAATACTGCAAGCTGCTTATCCTGTGAAATTTGTTGTCTTAGCAGTTTTAGGCTTTTTTTTTTTTTTTTCTAAGCAAAAACAAGCATTTTTACCTCAAATGGAAGAATCTGTAAAAGCCCACTCAGCCATTCTGTATTAATTTACTAATAAGAAACCCACATCAAATTTCCACAGGCTTCAAGCAATTATTTTCCCCATCTGTATCTTCTCCATCCAATTCTAGGATCCCCCGCCTTTTCTCCCCCCCAAAAAAGCTGCCTAACAGCAAATGAATGATTCCAGTCACATGGTGAATGCAAAATCTTTGATTCACCCCAAGAAAATACTCTTCAGTGAAATTTTTGTAGCCAGGGTGAAACCCTTCCTGGTTTTGCAAACAGGCAAGTTACAGGGATCTGAAAGGAACGCCTGGAAAACAGTGGCAGTTGAGCTTCGTCTGCTTGGTTGGTTTTACGGCAAATGAGCCCACTAGCCTTGTGGACAGTGTTGATCCTCCTCCAGTCTCTAGTCAGAGACAGAGGGACCTTGGAGATGACCTGGGCCAGGTGAACTCCAAGGGAGCTTCCAGTTCCAACAAAATTTTCATTTCAATCTGCGACTGGAGATTGGGGAAGATAGACAATGACTCTCCCTCTGATGTGGGCTTACTGATGTGTGGCTACCCTAACCTGTCACTGTTTTCCAAACAGGAAGTGCTTCTCAAGAAGAGATCATGGGTCAAAGATTTGCCATTTTTCCGGAGAAAAATCTCCTACCTATCCTGGCATTACGTTTATATCATAGGTGCCTTTTCAGAGGGTCCTTTGATTACTTGCAATGTTTTACATCACATGTGTCAAACACAAGGCCCGCGGGCCAAATCCGTCCCGCCAGGCCTTGCAATGTGGCCCGCACCATGCTGTCATCACTGCACTCCGCTGCGTTTCCATCACAATGACAGTTTATGACTGTTCAGTAAACCATTTGGCCCGCGATTTAGGCTGGATTTTAGATTTTGGCCCCTTCTCTGATTGAGTTCGACACCCCTAGTTTACATTATACCATCTGATCAGGTGATTTTCTCAGAAACCCTTTGTGTCTGAGGATAATAGCCTCTCTGTATTTTTTGTGGTTGTCCATCTGGAAATATTTCAGTAACTCAGGGCGAAGGTGCACACCCCATGTTAAAGCAATAATAATTACAAAATAATGACTCTCCTTTTCATCCTCACGCCTGGGAGACAGGATGAGAAAGAAAAGCATCTTAAGGGTCACCACACACAGCAAGTCCTTTGGCTTGTCATATGTATTATACTTATATCTCATCGTTTGTTCAGGTTCAACGTTAATAATGAAATAGTAAGTGTATTACCGAAGCGTATACCTATCTTTTCGTTCCTTCCATGTATACTTTCATGCCTTCCCATAAAAACAATATCCAGAGAAATGAATCACCAGAGTTGGCACTTCCCTCTTTAATGAGAAGAACCCTGTATTGTCTCAAAAAGTTGCACATCTGTCTCCTCCTCCTCCCTGAGGGCCACGTCACATACCCAACTGCTCTGAGAGGACCACCATTGCTTCCGTTCTTGCACCAAAGATTAGGGTTGTCCCTGGCTTTTCCTCTTCTGAGCCCTAGTGCAGTGTCTTCCTCACCAGCAATCCAAATCCTACTCCTGAAATGATCACTTGTTTTATATGTGTCTTCATTAGAGGGAAAGTTCTCAAGGCAAAGATCAGGATTTCAATATTATGTCCTGTATAATCCTCCCCACTTGAGCCCTGACCTTCGTCAAACCACTTAATACTCTTTTCCTCGCTTCCAAATGGGGATAGTAGTATCTGTCTTAGGCTCTTTTCCAGGGTGCTAAGAAGATTAAATGCTAGACCTTCGTAAAGAGCCATTATAGACTATGTATAGGGCACTAGAGTTATGCCATTTCATATATTTTTCCAAAACTATGTTAAATCAAAACATTTAATATATACATAACCATAGAGTCTCCCTGCTACCTTCTATAAAGTAGCTCAAGCTTCATGCTTATGGTTTCCCACATGATACATTATACCACTAAACTGAAAAGCCGAGGCATTTATTTGGCTCTATGGAAATATTGCTTATATTTAATAACATATTTCTAAGTAACATTTTTACAGTGACGATTTATAACATTTTTAGTTAGAAAGAAATTGTTTCCAAATATATTTATATACACCAGAAAATGGCTAGAGGATATATCAGTGTGTTAGCAGGAGGTTGAGGGTAATTTCAATTTTCCTCTCTATTCTGTTTTTCTAAACTTCCCGACAATGAATCTATCCTACTTCTATAACTTGACAGGAAATCAAACAAAAGTGTAATGATTCATCATCTACTTCATCCCAACTCTTGGAACATTGACATTTTATATCAAATTACTAATCAATAATTAGTTATGTTTTGGAATTTTGGAGCTTTGAACATTTTAAAATATTAAGTTTTCTTTATGCCAGTAGCTGGCTAAAGCATTTTGCGGTTCTCTGCTGTTACAGCAAAATAAGTTAGAGTGTGTGTACCTCATTCAACTACAGCAAATTATGTAACGGGTATCAGAACATTAGCAAACAAACACTAATAATGAGATGCCTCGGAACAATCTACTTTTGGATCTTTTTATTTTATCATTTACTTTCTAGTTTTGGACACTCTGTGGAAATGCCCTGACTGCAAAAAGAGGGATATTTGGCAAAACGGGGGATCTTCAGACCATCCTTTGCCTTGCGTGTGCCAAAGAAGACATCACCTACTCTGGTGCTTTAAATGGGGACATCTATGTCTGGAAAGGGCTCAACTTAGTCCGCACCGTCCAAGGCGCACACAGTGTAAGTGTTCCCATCTGAAAATTTGGTATTCCCCTCCCCCAAACCCCATCCCCCGCCCCTTGCTTACGGATCAACCAACTCTGCTGAGCACTCCCTAAACATGCCTGAAAGATTTCCCCAGTGTTTTGTTCACCTAAAAGAAATATTTCAAAAGCATCATAATTTAATTGGCCTTCACCTCAATTACCGAAGGACTGGTTAGTATTGTTATTCATCAGCAGTAGCTCGATAGAAGACTAGAACAATTTCATCATCAGTTTCATCATATCGACCAGCACTTTTCACATTTTACTGTGCCTGCAAATGTCACAGAGATCTTAAGGCGCTGATTCTGACTCAGTGGGTCTGAGATGATGTCACTGTGGCCTATATGTTGATCAGCAAGGAAGGAGACAACTATTTTTACATTGGTAAAATGGATGTCCCTCAATTCTAGGTCCACATCACGCAAACAGAAACCTTTGACAAACTCTTTTGACAGTCTGCTGTGTAAGAATAGGGCAAACTTTACTTCTGACCACTCTGCTCTGTTTTGACATATATTAAAATGGTTACATTGCTGTGTCTATAGGTGATAAAACAGATGATGTGAATGGTAAAGCCTATGAGTGGAGCTGTGGTAAAATGTTCCTGAAATTTGATAGTCCTTTGCTTGTTGCCTCCAAATTGATCCCTTATTATTCTAATAGGAAGAAAAATTTAAGCAACTCTTAAAGAGCTATGAAATTTTAGATCTTTCATTGTCTTGTATGTTTAGAACCAATTTTCTTGGCTTTGATTATTGTGTTTTAAACTGCTTTTAAAACAGTTAAGAGGTCAGTATTTGTCCTCATTCATAGCTACCTTAGGAACCTAATTTCTCTTTCTACCCTGTTTCCCCAAAAATATTAATTTTTGCTCCCAAAGATGCGCTAGATCTTATTTTCAGGGGATTTCTTTATTTTCCATGTGCTAGGTCTTATTTTCGGAGGATGTCTTATTTTCGGGGAAACACGGTAGATCTTAGGTCAAAATTATTCACTTGTAGCATTTTACACAGACCAAATAAAAAATTTTTCTGCAGACAAGCATCTTTAAATTATAAAACTATTTCAGGTGTGAAGGGCATCTTCAATGATGCTTAAGCCAACACCATGGTAATTTATGTTCATTGAGATGAGCTTGTACCTGTGGAAGTGTTTATGGCCCCAGCCAGGATATTTTTTACTTGATTATTTGGATAGCATTTATATTAAATCCCTCCATTGTTGTCATTTCATGATCCATTGTCACATCTTTTCTTTATAACAATCACTTGTCATGTAAAGGAACTTATGATTTCCATATCCAATTTAACCAAGGAATTTCTGAATAATTTTCTTACAACCTGCAATCAGTTTAGTTGTGGCAAAGGAGCTCTTGAACTAGTTTGCTCTGGTGGTTATTATGATTAATTTTTAATCTAGCTAAAAAAATAAAGGATATTACAAATGGCTGCTTGTTGTACTGTCAGGATTTCAATAGAGAACAAGGGATTTTTTGTTTGTTTTGACTTGATTTTTAACCATCAAGACCCAACTGCAGTGACATGCAGAAGGATGCAGCATTGAGTGTTATCTGCCTTATTTCCAGGCTGGAATCTTTAGCATGTATCCTTGTGATGAAGGCTTTGCCACTGGTGGACGTGACGGGTGTATACGGTTATGGGATACTGATTTCAAACCAATAACCAAAATTGATCTCAGGGAGACAGAACAAGGATATAAAGGTAATATATGTATTTTTATACTTACCCATAACTCTATGAGTGTTAAATGCAAGGTGAGGTTCTGTATTGGTTTTTCTGTACCCATCTTATTCCACAAAGGGATCTAAGACAAATCTCACACCTAACCTAATAATAGTGCATGCCGAGCCTGGTCATTTCTAACACAAAATTTATGATCTGGGTAAAATAATGAAGCTTAAATGACTTATAGTGGTGGCAAGGGAAGCCAAAAATAATTCTTAAAGCAAGTCAATTAAAATAAATGACATCTATGGTGATAAAAGACTTGGAATTAATGGTTATAAATGATTATGTCTAAAAGAATACAGTAATTATTCACACAGTATAAGGTGTCTTATTCATTTAATCATTCAATAGGCACTTATTAAGCATCTACTAAGTGTCATATACGTGCCTACAGACTAAATAGGCTCTTCCAGAAAGCATGCTTCGGGCATTTTATTGGAGTCTTGTGTATTTGTTTTAATTTCCAACACATACTTGTTGAATTGTTCCTGTGTAGAATGACTATAAACTCTATATCTGGAGCTACTCTGCATTAGGCCAAGCAGCATTCCCTCAGTGTTGAGCAAGAGTTAGGAGGCTGAAGTCTCCAAGGTACAGGACTTCTCAGCATCTCAGATGCCCACCGGCTGGTCTGAACCACCATCTTCCCCATAGATCACTGCCGTTGCTTTATCGCTAGTGTTCCTGCTTCAGCCACCATTCTCAGAATAACAGCCAGAGGGATTGTTTGACATTTACGAGCTAGATCACAGTATTCCTTTCCTCAAACGCCTGTGATGGTTTCCATTTTCCTCAGAAAAAGAGCCAGAGTTTTTAGGATGGCCTAGCAGCCCCTTCTTCTTTGTGTCAACCTGCCGTGTTCAAGCTTGACCCTCAAGAACCAGCAGATCTCCAACTCTGTCTGTGCCTGAGAAACCCTGGTATAGAACATTCAAAAAAACCAAACAATTCTCTAATCTGAGAACAGCCTTGTTTCCAACAGAGACAAAGCAAGCGCATCCGATTCTTCTTCTGGTCCGTTGAGTGGCTTCATGCTTCACCTCTGCTCCCATCGCCTCTAGCACCTATCTCCCTGTCTGTCCACCGTTGTCCTTTGGGCCATGCCTCCTGCCTCACTGTGCTGAGAAAGTGGAGGTGCATCAGAGGAGCATGCATAGGTGCTGGAGATTGCAACCTGCAGTCCAGGTGCAGGAGGGCCTGTAGGGATGCGTGTGGTGGTGTTTGTTCATGCTCTGTGGTATGGAATGCTGTGTGAGAACATTCGAAGAGGCTGACCATCTGGTTTGTTCTGGTAGAAATTCCCCTTCCCAGGCTGGCCTCAAATAAACACCCGTCTGGGTGGTCCTTCCTCAGGGTGGGACATAGCAGGTCTAGTGATGGGTCTGTCTTCTGAGGTCCCCTGAGGCTGTGTGGCGTACCTGTGACTATAGAGTTTGGAATCCTATGGACGCTGAAATAGACCTGATTTTGTAGAGAGTAGCTTTCACGGTGGGTTCTGCTAGAAATTCTCAGGCAGAGATCCTTGCAAACAGGAGCAGCAAGCCATGGGCACTTGGTGCTGCAGGCGACCTGCAGTCCAGTTAGGACCAGCCCCTGCCCAGCCCTCGGAGAGCCCTGTGACTCCTGCAGCAGCTCCAGTACTGGACGGCGACCACTGTGCCGAGCACCCTGTGTACTGGATGCCATATAATCCTCCCGGCAGGGCTGGCTCCCCAGGCAGGAGATCTGGTGTTGTGCTGTTGCCTCCTTGAAATTCTTACTCATTTTTTTTTTTTTTTAACAAGGGGTCTGACATTTTTATTTCATATTGGGTCCCACAAATCATAAGGCCAGTCCTGTCCCCCAGGCATCAGTGCCCAGGGATCTCTGGGGAGCCTTGTTTCCTTCAGGTTCCCAAACGCTGCCCTTAGCATTACTTTTCAGCACCAGCACCACAAGCAGGGCCAGGAGCCGCTGGTCCACCCCCTTAGTGGCTTCCGCTGCCCCTTTAATGAGGGGAGGCGATGGAAGGAGGTTCCGAGGTCCCTGCTGTTTTTTCCTCACCCTCTCCCACCTTCCCTCTTTGAGCGAAATCTCTCTTCCTCGCACTCTTTATTTTTATTTCTTACCTCTTTGCTGAGGGGCTCCTCAGTACTACGTCTTGAATAGGATTAGGTTTATGGAAAAGAGCCATCACCTTGTCTTGTTTAATTTTCGATACTAGGTCCTGGGTGCCCATCCACAGAGAAAGGAAATAACTTTGTGGGGAAGAGCGTTCATTCCAGACTTGCACCGCTTGAATTGTCCTTTTATCTGTATCGCTTGCTCCTTCTGGGACTTTGGGTAAATAATTGGAACTTTCTGTGCTTTAATTTCCTTATCTGTGTGTGTTTGGTACCATCACGTGAACTCCGGTTCTTGGTGACCCTGTGAGGGTGTGATGTCCACAGAGTCCTGTCCTCATCCGTCCTGCTCAGCTCTGGTAGACTCATGCCTGTGGCTTCCTTTATGGAGTCAGTCCATCTCATATTTTGTCTGTTGCCTTCTATTTTTCCCAGAATTATTGTCTTTGCCAAAGAACTCCATCTTCTCATAATGTGCCCAAAGTAGGACAGCTTCAGTTTTGTCATTTTTGCCTCCAGCAATCCTTCAGGTTTTATTTGCTCTAGGACCCGCTTGTAAATCTTTCTAGTGGCCCAGGATGTCCATAGAGCTGTCCTCCAACACCATTATTTCAAATGAGTCAAGTTTTTTCCCTATCAGCCATCTTCACTGTCCAATCTTCGTATCTCTACATAGTAATTGGGAATATGAATGAGGGTATGAATGGTCTTAGCCTTGGTCTCCAATGACACTCCTTTGCTCTTGAGGATCTTTCCTAGCTCTCCCATCACTGCCCTTCTGAGTATTGGCCTTCTCTTGGTTTCGGGGCTGCAGTCTTGATTTGATGGCTGAATCAAGGAAAGCAAAACCTTAACAATTCCAGTGTCTTCACTGTCTGTGTTAAAGTTGTGTATATCTTCAGTATACTATGTCATGATTTTTGTTATCTTGATGTTCAAATGCAATCCTTCTTTGGCACTCTTTTCTTCCATTTCACCAGAAGTTGTTTCAAACCATTGCTACTTTCTTTCAGTAAGATGGTGTCCTCTCCATATCTTAAGCTATTGATAATTCTTTCAGGAATTGTCACTCCTTCCAGAATCTAGTCCAGTTTTTTTAATTACATGCTCTGTGTACAGATTAGACATCAGGGAGATAAAAATACACCCTGGTCTATCACTTTTGCCTAAAGGAAACCATTTTGACACCCCATATTCTGTCTTGATAGTAGCTTCCTGTCCACAGTATAGGAAAATCAAATGCTGAGGCATCCATAGCAGCCCATAGCTTTTCATGATCTACACTAGGGGTGTCGAACTCAATCAGAGAAGGGGCCAAAATCTAAAATCCAGCCTAAATCGCGGGCCGAATGGTTTACTGAACAGTCATAAACTGTCATTGTGATGGAAACGCAGCGGAGTGCAGTGATGACAGCGCGGTGCGGGCCACATTGCAAGGCCTGGCGGGACGGATTTGGCCCGCAGGCCTTGTGTTTGACACATGTGATCTACACAGTTCAAGGCTTCGTAGCCTATAAAACAGACGAACCTTCCTCTGAAGTTCTGTAGAGAATTCTAGTGTCCAACAAATGTTCACAATTAGGTCTCGATGCTCTTTTATGAATCCGGCTCGAGCATGTCGCATTTCTGCATCCATGTGAGGTGTTGGCTTTGTTGCATCACTTGGCTTGTGTGGGAAGTCAGAGCGGTGGCCCCCTGCTCATGGCACTCTTCAGCATCTCCGTCTTGAAAATTGGGGTGTGTACTGAATATTTCCAGTCCGTAGGCCATTGTTTTGTTTTCCCATATTGGTTGACATATTCTTGTTAGGTTTTGACAGATTCAGTCTCTGTGGCTTGAAATAATTCTGTTTCCCATTTATCCCCAGTGATTTTTTTGCTTCCCAGTATGTTCAGGGTAGATTTCACGTTGCATTCTAGAATTACAGGTTTTTCCTCATAGGAATCTTCTGCAAGATATCTGCCATCCTCTTGCCTCTTCTGTATAGCTTTTCAGCAAACTGTTCCCACTGTGGGACTTTGGGAAAATAATGCAAGTTTCTATGCTGTTTACTGGTCCCATCTAGGGCCCTTGAGCTGTCCCCGGGGCCTGCTCCTGAGTTGTTATTAGCATTCCTGGTTGTGCATGGAGCTCTGGGTGCAGGGCTGAGTCATGTCTGTGAGGATGCTTGTCCCCCAAGATTTGTTTGTTTGACTAGATCAGCTTCTGAAAAGTTGCATTTTCTTTTGCCATCTTTGGGCTTTCTAATGCATGGGGGTGGAGTTTTCCAACATGTGGCTGAAGAATCACTCCGTCAGAATCACCTGGGGATGGAGCCTGGAAATCAGCATTTTTAACAACCTGGCTCATGTCTGGGGAACAGCTTGGTAATGGTTCTCAACAGGTGGCTCTCAGCCCCAGGGAGCTGCGGTTCCTGCAGACCCACCAGAGGAATGCTGGGTCGGGGCCAGACAACTGTATTTTAAAAACATTTTCCATGTAGAATCCGAGGCCCAGCAAGGGGCAGAACAGCTGCTCTGGGGCTTTTACCATATGCCAGGCCCGGGAGCACCGGATTTAAGACCACTAATGAGTACCAACTCCCTCCCTGCTGCCAGTCTTCCCTTCTTGGGCCAGATAATTGCGGGGGAGGGAGAGGGGAAAGGAAGCCATTTCATTCCCAAAATAATTTGTTCTCTCTTTTGTGTGTTGGGCCACAGCCTTTCCTTCTGAGAGGCTGCAGGGCTGGCGTATCAGCATGATAATCAACAAGTAAGTTATAACACCAGGGGGCACATGCAGCAATTTCTTCATAGCTCCTGGTACAGACCATCCCCAGGGCCAGAATGTGTATTATGTAAAACTAATTATTATTATTATTATTATTATTTAAAACTATTATTATGTAAAAGTAATAATAATAATTTTAAAAAGCACCAAAATTTTCTGCTTAAAATAACAATACTCATTGTTATTGGTTAATTTTTTAAATGCTGACACTGGGTGAAGTTTTTTTTAAATATATTGTTGTATTTGGATCTTTATAGCAGTGCTCTGAAGTGTGAGGCCTAATATTCTCTCCACTTTACAGATGAGAAAACAAGATTTGAAAGATTAAATAACTTTCCATGTCACACAGCTGGGAAGGAATGGCGCTGTAATATAAATCCAGTCTGTGTGCTTAACCATTCAATGAATTAATGGAAATTAAGCAATGTCCTTTAAGTCTGTGTTAATATTCATGATGTTCCTGACTCCAGATCTCCCCATCCCTGGGTTTCAGGGCTATCAGAGGATTAGAAGGATACTATTCCCCACTCTTTTATCTAAATGTAAAACTGGACAGAGGGCTGATGAGAATTTGGTCTTGGAGGATTTTTAAGTGGGTGGTTGCTCTCTACTGCCGTCTGCTGGCAGTCTGGACCAAGCACAGGCCAGAGCCCCACAATCTCACAGACGAGCTCCCGAGAAAGCAACGCTGCAGATCAGGCGATGGTGTCCAAGATGTGGACACCTTACAAATTCAGCACAATGCCTCCAGTTCATACTGACAAAGGTCTTTCAACATGCACCTTTCCAGAACAAAAGAGCCTTTCTGTGGTTTTAAATAAATAAATGGTTCTTCCTGAGTCTCTGGGGAATTACAACCATATTCCAAACATTGCCTTGTGTTTTTCGGACTCCCAGAGCAGAATACAATGAAGCAAGAACAGCTTATTTCCCAATGCAGTGGCCAGCCTGGCTAGGAGGCCACATTACTGTGCTCTGCGTTGGTGTTGGAGACGTTAAAACCAAGCCAGATGGGTAGACAGAGAAGGCAAATGCTATCAGAATCTTGCCAGGGACCAGCCCCTCCCCAGGGTCTTCCCAGAATGTGCCCAGAAGAGACCAAGCTGTTCTCTTCTCACTGGCTGCATGCAGAGCAGCAGTTGGGTTCAGAAATGGTGAAAACAGAACGTGATTAGGAAACTTGAATGCAGTTCTCTACCTCCTGAGGTGTCTTCAGGAAGCAATTCCTACTAGAAATGGTTGTGTAGGAAGTGAGAAGGGCGGTGTCCTAGTTATTGTCACAGGCGGACCCCTGGGGCTGACTTGTCTGATGTGACAAAATGCAATGTATCTGTTCGAGGAACTGAGTGTCTGTGAAGAGCCTGAGCTGGTTTCTGAGAGAAAATGTTCACAGCTCATTAAGTTTATGTCGTAAACAATGAAAATGGAACAACTCCCACTATCTCCTTTCCCCTCCCTCTCTGATTTATATCGATTTGACTTCATTGCCTTGGCTTTGTGTAAAGCTTCCATCTTACGTTGGTTGGTTCTGTGGAACTCCCCCCGCCCCCCCCTTTTTTTTTTTTTTTAATGAAACCTCCCGGAGAACAGATGAGGAGGCTCTCAGGGGGAAACGGGGGGGGGGGGGGGGGGGGTCCTCAGACTCTGCGCCCTGAGTTCTCCCATCCTGGCTCTCTGCTGGCTCCTCTGGGGAATCCAAGAGCTCCCTGGACACAGTCTGGAGACGCCGTGTAACTCGGCTGGCTCAGTAGTCTTGGCTGATGGGAAGGTTCTTCTCTGTTCCTAAACCTCTTTTTAAGAAAAGGAAGACAAAGCAGATATTTTAAAAGTGTTAGCATTTGTTCATTCCAGGTGGTAGGTTGTTTGTTATGATATTCTTGTACCTTTCTGAATTAGTTCCCCAAAACAAGATGGTAAAAAATGGTGGAGGGTGATGGAGAGATGAAATGTTAGCACACTGGACCAAAGGCAATGCCAGATCTTTGGGGAGAAATTTCAGTTTTCAAGTCATTTAGCCTAAGCGACTGGACACACCGTGAGAGGCCGTGGGGAGAAGCGACATGCTCCTGTTTACTGTGGACAAAGGCTTTTTCTGCATCTGTTGAGATTACCATGATTTCTATCCTTCATTTGGTTAATGTGCTGTATCGCAGTGATTAATTTCCAAATGTTCAACCATCCTTGCATCCCTGGCATTAAAGCTGATCATGCATTTTGGTCATGCTGTAAGATCCTTTCAATGCATTGTTGGATTTTGTTTCCTAATATTTAGTTGAGGATTTTTGCACTTATATTCATTAAGAGTATTGGCCTGTTATTTTCTTGTAGTGTCTTTGTCTGGTTTTGGTATCAGGGTAATGCTGGCCTCCTAAAATGAGTTTAGAAGTGTTCCCTCCTCTGCTATTTTTTGGAAGAGGTTCAGAAGGATTGACTTATTAATTAATTAATTAACTCTTCTTTTAAATGTTTTGGTATTGGACTTTTTTTTTGTTGGGAGGTATTTTTTTTTTAATTACTGATTCAATTTCTTCCTTTGTTATTCGTCTGTTCTTGTTTTCTATTTCTTCGTGATTAAGGTTTGGAAGTCTTATACGTTTCTAGGACTGTATGCATTTCTTCTAGATGGTTCAATTTGTGGGCATATAATTATTCATAGCAGTCTTTATAATCTTTTGGACTTCTGTGCAATCAGTTGTATTACAGTTTTCATTAGTAACACTGAGTCCTCTCTCTTTTTTCTGTGTAAGTCGAGCTAAAGATTTGACCCTGAATTAGCTGTTGCCAAGATATTCCTACTTCCTCCTCACAGCAGGAATAATGCCTGCCTGTGCGCTAGCTCCTTCCCTTTTAAAACTCATTAACAGTGAATTCAGACCAAGAAATAAAGAGAGATATCTCATGTAAAAATAGCTTTGTGCTTTAAGAATTACTATTTCATCAGTAAATGAATTAATCTCATTTGATTCATTTGAGACCACAGTGAGTTAAGATGAGAATTATAGAGTATCCATATACCCCCACCCCCAATTAACCCTATTGTTGTCTCAGCATCCCATCTGGTTTAACATTGCCCCGAATTATTTTTTAAAAGACTTATCTTTTTTTTTAGAGCAGTTAGGTTCACAGCAAAATTGAGTGGAATTTACAGAGATTTTTCATATGTCCCCTACCCCATAGGCACACTGTCCGCATCTCCCACTAGAGGGGTACATTTGTCACAGTGGGTGAACCTGCATTGACACATCATTATCTCCCGAAGCCTATATAGTTTATGTTAGGGTTCACTCCTGGTGTTATATAGTCGACGGGTTTTGACACATGTGTAACATCATATATCTAGCATATATCTAGCATTATTCCTACAGAATAGTTCCACAGTCCTAGAAATCCTCTGTGCTTTGCCTGTTTATCCCTTTGGCTTAGACTTTTAATGTCTAATAATGAAGTATTATTAGAATTTAATATTGAAAATATTTTAATAGAACTAGTTAATACATCAGTCTTTCAACATCATACAACTACTTTCTTGGTTAAAATAAATTGAAAAATTAGGTAAATTTTATTATTTTTTAGAGCCCCCTTTTACTCTCGGTGGGTCCCAATTTCGGTGACAAATTCCAAGGTCTCCATAGGTATGGTCTATGTTTTATGTGAAGAAAGCCTGGTCCCAGAGAGAAGGGACTCTTCTTTGTGTAGCCAGTCAGGTGTCGAGCAGGGTGAAAGCCCAGGTGTTCTGACTTCTGTACTTTCTACAGCCAGCTTGTCAAACTCAAAGGCTAACACGGGCCAAATAAATGAGGCATGTGGCCCTCAGGCCGTGAGTTTGACTTGCTTGTTCTACATTAAAGACTCAAAGCCTATCACATCCTTACCTGGTTTAAAGTAGTTATGAAAGTGGGGTGGCTTCTGTATTTCTAATTCAGACATGAGAAACTTCACTGTGCGAGTAAATACATAGTGAACCCAGTAAGGGGCAGACAGACTGCAGGAAGTTTGAGAGGTCACGCTCATTGCAGAGCAAAAAGACGGGATCATGTGACAGAGGTGGAAGTTCGGATTTAAAAGGAACGCTGTGCTTTTAGAGAAGATTCCATCAATTGATGTTTTGATGATATTTTGAGACTGAAATTAGAGTTTCATTTGCATGTTTCTGGGACGTGGTGCATCTGTTGTCCCACACAATGAGTCTGGGTTCTGATCAAATACATATTAAATTTGCCTAATAGGATAGTTAACTATTCTGCAGTACCCGCCCCATGTAATTTTAATGCAATGTTAACATCCTCAAGAATGAAGGGATTATTAACTTTTCCATACAGGTCAAAAGGAAATAATTTCAGGAAGGGTTAGGCTTTCACAAAGACCAATTTCTCCCCTTCAAATGAATATCCAGCTGTAAAAATGGATTATCATCCCAAGTCAGACAGGAAAGAGCGAACACGCTTTTGCAGAATAGGTTTCGAGGGGCGGGGGGAAAGGGCCAGCACGTGTAAGGAACTGGTGAGTAACAGGGTCTGGTATGTGGATCCCCCCCACACACACACACACTGTGCCTCACCCCCCTCCGGAATTGTTAAGAGGTGCTGCACTGGTTGCTGTCCTGGTGGAAGAATATTCAATAAAGGCGTTTTCTCTTACTTGTAAGTGATGTGAAGACCTGCTTCTGTTTGCCGTCTCTGGTTTTGCCAGGCCTCTCCATCCGGAGCGTGTGCTGGAAAGCAGACCGCCTCCTAGCAGGGACCCAGGACAGCGAGATATTCGAGGTGATTGTGCGGGAACGGGACAAGCCCATGCTGATCCTGCAAGGCCACTGTGAGGGGGAGCTCTGGGCACTGGCCCTGCACCCCAAGAAGCCGCTGGCCGTGACTGGCAGCGACGACCGCTCTGTCAGGTGAGGACCCCGCGGCGGCCATCGTCGCCTCACTGACTTCCTTGGGATAACGGATTTATTTGGGCCAAGTTTGCTTGTTACCCAGGAGCAAGCCAAACCACAGGGCAGAGCCACACAGCTCCCACATGGAAGGTGAAGACAGTGAGCTCACCAGCGGTTGAATTCTTGGTATTTTATCTTAGTCTGGGTCCACCGTAAGTCATGAAATTGTTCTTAGAAGTGAAGCTCCATTGTAAGTCATAAAATTGTTCTTAGAAGTGAAAATACTACTGGTGAGATTGGCTTCCGGTTCTGGGAGCTGAGTGCACTCCTGCGCGTGACTAGCATCTCCCCCTCATACCTTCGCTCCTAACATGTGCTTACATGGCCGGGGCCTGCACGGCATTTTCACAGGCTCTGACGCTCACTTGTCACCATTAGAACGCACGTTGTGATTTGCAAAGTTCTCTTCAGCACCCGGATGAATAATGATTTCTTTGTAATTTCTCAGATGAAATGTTGAACCGTGTCCTCAAGTCCAAGGAAAGCGCTGGTTCCTGAGAAAGTCTGCGGTTTTATCAGGACCCCAAAGGGTCTCGCGATGGGTCATGTTTTCCTCTTTGAGAGCATGACGTCATGTAAAATGAGCAAATTCATATGATTCCAATATCTGACTGTTGAAGGACTGAGTATAGCACTTAAAAGTGTAAGGTGAAGACTATTACACTGATTTCAGGATTTTCGTATTTAATTAGGCTTTAAATGTGCTTAACAACAAACGGGTCGGAAAAGACTGAGCGATGGTGAGAGGAAGGGGCTGATTAGTCCGAATGGATGGTGATTGCCTCTGGATTTTAATAGTTTAAACAGAACCTTATAAATTAGACTAGGGTTCCTGCTCCCCCCACCCCTGCCCTTACTCTATATGTCTGTGAATCTATTCAAGATACAATCGCATACTCACCAGTAGAGTACAATCTAAAAGTCAGTGTTTAGTTTCTGCCAAGCACTGTGCCTCATCCATCTAAAAATCAGTGAAGGCAACTCCAGTTGTCCCCTCACGTGACATAAATGTGTATTTGGCTTACACTGGTCTTCACCCACTCTCTCCTCTTCTCTTCCTTTTCCTTCCGTCACTCAGAGCTTTGCCTCAACAGCCAAAACAATTCCACCAGGTTAGTCAAACACCTGAGAAGCTGGATCCATAACCATCCAGATGGAAATGTTTTTAAGAGAGTCCTTGGCTTTTGTATTTTGATAAATGTGTTGAGTCTTGGAATCGCAAACTTTCCCAAGGAGCCCTGATGGCTAGAATTTGTCTTGGTCTCCTCAACCATTAATCTGGCCAAACATTTTAAATGTAAATTTACTCGGAGTATGGAGATGTAGGAAAGATACAAGTCATAATTTCTAGAGAAAGATAAGCTGAGTGACTTTGTAAGGCTAGTACAGTTCACTGAGGAGTGAGGGTAAAGCAAAACTTACATCGCTGAAAATAGTACATGGCTAAAAACAGCATGAAATGATGAATAATGGACGAGGAGGTATTGAAAGAATACCATAAGCTTTAGACTGAACAGTGCCCGCTGCCTAAAGGACCAGCAGACTATTCACCATGCGACTCTGCATGGTAAGGAGCTGGCCCCAGCCCTCCTGATGGCAGAATGCATTAGAGAAACTCCACCACGTGTGCTTACTCTCCCCTCTGTGGCAGCATTCTAAATTGTCGGTCTGCCTAACCGATGTTGGTTGTGTGTTGAGAGAAGACTGTCTTAAAAGTACTAACAGGGAGAAATCCGGTACCACAATTGTAATTCACATGTAAACCCTCATTTGTAGTTTCAACCATTTAGTTCATGTTTACCCAGTTGGAGGTGCCTGAAATAGGGTTCCAGAGCTGCTGAAAAGTGTGTGCTAGCTGCACTTGACCCTTGACCCCGGCTTCTTCAGCAGTAACATGCTTTCTGCCAGGGGTACTGTGGAGAGTTCCTGTCCCAGCCGTGAGTGGGGCTGTCAGCAGTGGGGCACCCAGGGAGCTTATGGACGAGGACGGGTGACGGATGACTGAGCACAGCTGACTTTGGAACCATCTTGGTTCCAAGGGCTGTCATTGGCTGTTCTCCTTCTCAGCTGGGTTTTCTTTCTAGGGCGGCCAGCGAAACAGAATGTGTATTTTAATCTCTATGTGCGTAAATAACAGTAACTAGAAGGGAATATATATGAACAATAATAGTATCTAGTAGTGCTTCTTATCCTGTAAGTTATTAATAACGATTGGCATGTGTAAAGCACAATTTTTAATTTCCAAAGAGAAAAGTAAGATTTTGTGTGAAGGTAGTGTTTACAATTTCCTTTTTATTTTATTTTATTAATTTTTTAAAATTAAATTATTATCTCTGTACATATACCATTGCCCCCCCTCCCCCTACCATACATGCACAATTTCCTTTTTATCTATGACTATAAAAATCTTTGGAAATGTTATCTCAAATTTCTTGCTGGGTATTTCGGATGGGGGAAATGACCCAGAGACAACCCGTCCCGGGTTCCCAGACCTGCCAGCAGGAAGGACACGAGTGTGAAGTGACCGCCTCCTTCCTTGCTGTGACCACACCGAGGTCAGCGGACCTTCCCGCCTCGGTGGCCTGGTGATGAGCGTCGGATTGGTTTTGTTTCTCTGTTCTTGTGCCTAGGCTGTGGAGCCTGGCTGACCACGCCCTGATCGCCCGCTGTAACATGGAGGAAGCAGTTCGCAGTGTGGCTTTCAGCCCCGATGGGTCCCAGCTGGCCCTGGGCATGAAGGACGGCTCTTTCATTGTTCTCCGAGTCAGGCATGTACCGATACTGAAAATGGCTTGGAAAGATGCTCTTTTGTAAAAGAAATGAACCAAGAGGCTCCTAGACACAAAGAACAACCTGATGGTCGCCAGATGGGAGAGGGGGAGTGGGGGCTGGGTGAACAAGGTGAAGGAATTAAGAAGTACAGACTGGTAGTTACAAAATAGTCATGGATGTACAGTACAGCATAGGGAATATAGTCAATAATATTGTTATAACGGTGTATGGGTGCCAGGTAGGTACTGGAAATATTGGGGACCGCTTTGTAAAGTACGTGATCGTCTAATCACTATGCTGTACGCCTGAAACAAAATAATATTGAATGTAAACTGTAATTGACAAATATTTAAAGAAAAGTTAAAAAAAAAAAAAAAAAGGATGCTCTTTTGTTAGAATTAAGATTCTCCTGGTCAAAATAGATTCTGGGACCTTAGGGAAAATGCACCTAGGGAACAGTACAGATTCACAGTCCTGTGTGTAATGATGACATCCACGCTCTGAAAATACAAACCTCTTTTCAGTGACATACTTGGCAGCTCAGCCTGCTCAGTGGACTGGTGTGAGACTGTATATGATCTGTTAATCTCTTAGCAGGAATAACCATGCATCCATGCAGGGTGAAGTTACATGGCATATTATACACGAACCTTGAAAAAAGTCTAATGAATAGTGAATTCCCAAGCTCATCTGGTCCCACGGGTGTTAGGCGAGGGCTGAGGTGCTTGTAGTGAGCCAAGGAAAGAGGAAGCAGGAACAGAGCAGCCTCCAGCAGCCCCAGGTTGTTAGAGGTGAGCGTGCGTAAAAGATGTCTACCACTCACCTTTGACAATAAGATAGGATATTTCATACTTTATTAATCTTCCTATATAATTTTGTAAAAATTATCATCCACCCTTGTAATTTCTCTAAATGTGTTGGCTGTTGGTTCGGCTCACCCATTTTGTGATTACAGAAAGGAAATGCGGCCAGAAATTAGGTATGCCTTGTTTTGCACAGAGCAAATTCTAGATAGTTTTGAAAAAGGCACTTGGCACTGAATTCTCATTAACAGCCACCCATAACTTAGGACTAAATTGGTGGGCAACATTTTCTTTTCCTGCTTAGTGATGTGTGGAAAGATGGCTAATTACCAGATTTTCTTTTCTTTTTAATAGCTTTTCCAAGCCAAAATTAAAAAAAAACAAAAAACACACACCACAAAAAACATCCCCCCACACCTATTTTATGATATTGTAGTAAACTGTAGTGCTATTATTAAGTGACAGCCAGTGTGAGGAATTATGTGGAGCAAATATTCAGCATTATTTATGCATTCAATTTGGTTTGGAGTTGATGAAGGCATCATTTCTGGCTCTGGGGACCTGCCAATCATAATTCTCTCACAGTTGTAGGAAAACCCTCAGTGGACTTTCAAGTGAGGGCAGAAATTCTTATCAGAATCTGGTCAGAAAGGACATAGGGTACTTAGGTGATTCAATGTATGCATTATTGCCCCTCCATAGTCAGAGTTAAATAATCCCATAACAACTTAGCATTAAAAATAAGTAATTTTCCTTTTCTGCTTTTTGACTTTGCTCTTCTTGTAGCAAAAAGCAGTAAGTAGTTTCCTTGTTCTTAAAATATAAAAAGGATTTTATTCTTACCTTGATATACCTACTATTTTCCATGACATATTTTAAAAAATGTTATAAACCTCAATTTTTCAACAAAATTTTTAGAGAAAAATAATATATAATTGAGCATGAAAGCAAATATGCATTTTATTAAATTTTCTTGGTTCTTTGAAAGCTCAAAATATTATTTTAAATATTATTTTTTTCTAAATTGGCTGTAAATTTTAAATAAAGTTTATATCTTTTTTTTTCCCCCTGAAGTTAATTCTCTAATTCCTGTAGGTACTTCCTCCCTTTCAAACATTTTTTTTTTCTCTGACACACATACTTTAATACATGACCTCGGGTTCCTATTTCTAGATTTGCTGCTTATCGCTTTGCTCTTTATTCTTATAGAGATATGACAGAAGTGGTTCATATCAAAGATCGAAAAGAAGTCATTCATGAAATGAAATTTTCTCCAGATGGTTCTTATCTCGCAGTGGGATCCAACGATGGCCCCGTGGACGTCTATGCGGTTGCCCAGCGGTATAAGAAAATCGGGGAATGCAACAAGTCCCTCAGTTTCATTACGCACATCGACTGGTCTCTGGACAGCAAATACTTGCAAACGAACGACGGTGCAGGAGAACTACTGTTCTACAGAATGCCGTGTAAGTCACGCAGGCACTGAGGTCCGAGAAAAGCAGGACTTGGAAGGAACTGTGAGACTGTTGTTATGACCTTAGGGCAAGGAGTGTTTTCAGAAACAAGACCCTCACATCCTGGACTCTCAAAGGAGAGATTAATAAATTGGGACACATTAAAATAAAAAATAATTGCACCATGAGAGAGTACCAAGCAAAGACAAGGCATCAACTGGGCATAAGTACTTATAACGGTTACGATAAAGGATATACATAAAGAATGCTTAAAGATAAGAAAGAGAAAATTCTACAAAACACTAAAAATACTAAAGATTTGAGGGTCACATTTTTTACTTACTGTGATCGCTTTAGTCTCAAATCTCTGTTCTTCATAAGTGGAAGCCCCTATTATTTGATTACTTGGTGAAATGTATTAATAGCATTTTTAAAAATATAATTTTTACTTGTAACACCTCACTGTAAATTTTATATGTGGTTCATCTAACTTACCTAATACTCGTTTAGTAACAGTTTGTGATACTAAAATGTCATGAATAAGAGACAGATTTCTGTATTATAATCTTTATGATTTTTTAATGTAAGAGGAAAAACTTAACAGGAATCTTTACTGCAAGTAATATCTTAGATTTTTTAAATTAATTGAGAAATTAATCAACATAAATTAATGTGCAATATAATATCACTTCAATTTTTTAAAGTCTTTGCACTGTCAGATTAGTTAATGCTCTATTACTAGGTGCGTACTTCTGTGTGTACTTTTCTTTGCTTGCTATTTCATATATATTTCCCATATGTGAAAAAAATATGGAATCCATGTTAGCCACTTACAATAAAATTGCTTTTTATATAAATGTAACCTTACAGCCCTAGCTGGTTTGGCTCAATGGATAGAGGGTCGGCCTGGGGGCTGAAGGGTCCCAGGTTCGATTCCAGTCAAGGGCACATACCTGGATTACGGGCTCAATCCCCAGTAGAGGGCAGCCAATCAGTGATTCTCTCTCATCATTGATGTTTCTATCTCTCCCTCTCCCTTCCTCTCTGAAATCAAACATATATTAAAAATAAATAAATGTAACATTACATGAATGTTTATCGGTTATTTTCAGCTGGGAAGCCGTTAGCGAATAAAGAAGAAATCAAAGGGATCCCCTGGGCCTCCTGGACCTGTGTGAAAGGCCCGGAAGTGAGTGGAATTTGGCCAAAATACACTGACGTCACTGACATCAACTCGGTGGATGCGAACTACAGCAGCTCCGTGCTGGTGTCTGGAGATGATTTTGGACTGGTCAAATTATTTAAGTTTCCTTGTCTCAAGAAAGGTAAGGCCAGAAGAGATGTTTCATTTAGATGTGTCTTGGCATGCACAAGGCTTATTTTCTTGGTGTCAGTTCCTGCAGACTATTAATTTTACCTATATATTCATATTACTCTTGCACATTTACACAGAATGTGCTGTTGATGTATACTTTTGACCTTCTGAAATGCGGGGTTTTGCAAATAGAAGTCAGAATTTGTTAACAGTGTTTACTCACTGTTTTTTGATTAAGAACCCTCATGTTTCACTTTTTAAACAAGTCCTATTTTATTTATATTTATGTACATACTCGTAATTTGATATTACATTAAAATATCGTAATTAAATTTTTATGCTTCCTAGCTGATTGTGATTATACATGGCAAAGCAAAACAAATCCTTTTAGGCATATGTAAAAGGAAATCTGAAAGGGATGGCTCTTTCAGATAATACAATTATAGCATAGCACTGATTTTGCAAATCAGATTTCCATACGTGGTGACATTTTTGAGAGAGAAGTTTGATTCAAAACAACTGTCTCTGCCTTCACATTTTGTGGCTTTGTTTCTTTTATTGTTGTTAAATCTTGTTACCTCAATTTTTGTAACACTTTCGGGCTTGGTAGAATATAGCTGAATTAACCCTCTTATGACCTCTTCCTCTTCCCTTGCAAGTGTAGGCAAAGCCCACATACAGGCTTCTCTGAGACTTCCTGATTGCTCCCTGAAAATCTGATCTTAGCAAAGTAATCAGCAGGGACATGCTGCTGCCTGCAAACTCTTTCACTTGAGCGATTTTCAGATTGAGCAAGGAAGAAGAGATCGAAAATGTAATCAGAAAGTCATTTTGAGCTAACCAGCAACTTTGAAGCAATGGCAATTACAGTACAAAATTGAACATAAAATACGTAGCGAAATCACCATCCCTTATATTTGACAAAATGAATATCAGCTTTAAAATACTTGCACAAAATTACCTCAGCATGCCAAATTCAAACTCTCCTCTCTCTCCCTAATGGGTCTTTTGAGTAATAGGGCACACCTTGTTAGATTGAGTAATGTACTTACAGAAAGTAAGTTAGGCAACTGGAGGGAATCTGGGGAGTCAGAAGAAACATCAGTGGGGTCACAAGCAATACTTATTGGTCACAAGCATCCGTTTCACAACTCACTGAGAGTTGGTATCTCCTTTGTATCACCAAGCCTCGTAGGGTGAACTTGAACCTGGAAAATGGCAATGGAAAGGTAGAGCTTGGGTTAGGTATTAGAAGAGGAGGGTTGGGGGAAATGAAAGGGAGGTTGTGAGAATGCTGTCTGTCAAAATGAGACCCTTTAGATGTAAAAAACAGCCCTGAGAGTGATGGCACACAGGAGATGCCTGAATGAATGAGGAGAGGTGGACAATATGGGGAGCGCAATGGAATCCACCTCGGCAATCTGCAGGAGTTTCCATGTTCTCATAGCATATTGACTTGTTCTACTTTTCATGACTCATGGTTTATAAATCTTGCAGTTTGCCTCAGGACATTCAGGCTTTTGTAGCCTTTTTATGCCCGAACCACTGGCAGACAAGTTTATATAAGGCTTGCTGATGGAAATAATAGCAGTTGGTGGAACTTAACCTCTTTATCACCCAGGGTACCAGTGACCATGTTCCCCTCACTTTTGAACCTGTAAACAGCCAAATATGAGCAGAGGCTGATGACTCTGAGAGTGTAAAGATGGAGCAAACAGGACCATGTAGTGCAGAGCAGGGCAGGGCAGAGGCGGCCAGGTCAGTGTGACTGGAGCATGTGAGTGAGGGAGAGGTGTGCACTGTGAGGCTGGAGAAAGTGGAGGGGACCGTGTCACAAAGGGCCTTGTAGCCTCTGGTAGAAATGTGGGTTTAGTCTAAGTGCAGTGGAAATCTACTGAGGGCTTAAAATGGAGGCGTGGATTGACCAATTTAAGTTCTTAAAAGGCTACTTTGATACAGTGTAGGTTGGATGAGGCTAAGGGAGGCTTCAAGTTGAGAGATTATTGCAAGAGTCCAGGTGAGAGATGATGTAGCTTGGACAGCTTCTTAGGAATAGAGGCAAAGATTTTATTTACTGATATATTGTGAAATGATTACTACTATAAGGTTAGATAACCCATCTATCACCTTACTTATCTTTTCTTTGTGTATATGGCAAGAAGATTTAAGATCTACTCTCTTAGAAACCTTCAGGTCTACAATAGAGTACTGTAATTATAGTCATCATGCTATACATTAGATTCCCCAAATTTATTCATCTTATAACTGAAAGTGTACCCTTTGACCAACATCTCCCCATTTCTCCCTCCCCACTAGTAACCAAAAACCTACTGTCTGTTTCTATGAGTTTAATCTTTTTTTTAAAAAATTTGTGGGCATATTTTCAAACCACTGCAAAGAGATAGGTTAAATGATTTCTTATTAGGGTGTAAAGGTGAGAGCAGTAAAGGATAATTCAACAAAATCTATGGAGATAAGGAAAGAATATATTTTGCTTCCTAATTATTGAATTATCATCAGAGAGCATTTCCACCTGGCTGAGTTGGAATCTGTTGGATGTTATTAAATTACCAAAACTGATTTAGGCAACTCTTTGAAATAGGCAAGGTGGCTTTTGAGATCCAAGGCCTTCCTTTCCCCTCTATGGCAGCATGCCCCTAGACTTTTTTGGAGGCCCTAATATATTAGGACGTCACCTGGTTACAACACGCTCTCAGGAAAGGGACATGTGGCAGTCATTTTTACCTTCAAGTAAATCTAAACCATTGCCTCTCCAGTGGGTATTCAATATTTACACGTAATAGTTGAACAGATGGCCTTTTCCCCCAAAGAGATTTCATTAGGAGGAACTGTAAAGGGTAGAAGAGTTTCTGAAGGAGATGGGGTGCTTGTTGCCCCCCTTAAATCTTCCATAGTCTTTGGAGTACTGGATCTCCACATGGTAATATGGCCCAGGCTTGTTTCCATGCATGTCATTATGCTGCTGTGCACCCACAATAAATACCCTGGAGACTCGACCGCAGCAGTTCAACCACAGGCATGAGTTCAAGTAGTTTTTCTATTGAGTTCTCTACCTGATGATGATGTTTTCCTGAGTAAAGCAATCAATTGAAGAGAAAAGAATTTCATTCTCCCAAATGTGCACCTACATGACCCTAAACATTTGACTTTTCCCACAGAATAATTTCTGTTTCCCAGTTGCAAGGACTGCCCATTTTATCTAGTATTCAAAGAAGGATGTGTAAACTATTCATTCTTTGGCATTTATTTGCAGAATCAGTGAAGCAGTAGGCATTATTAGGAACAGGTTTGGGAGGGGAGGAAGGAGGGCTTCAGATCCATTTTTAGCTTAATCCATACTGGGATAATTGAGATATCTTTTGGAGCATTTGTTATATGAAAATTGTTTTTGTAATATATTCCTGGATAGGAATGTGATTTTATCACCAATTAATTCTCTATATATTTTTGCATGACTAATCTTCTTAAAAATACCTTCAGGAGCCAAATTTAGAAAGTATGTGGGCCATTCTGCACATGTCACCAACGTCCGCTGGTCTCACGACTTTCAGTGGGTGTTAAGCACCGGAGGGGCCGACCACTCGGTGTTCCAGTGGAGATTCATTCCAGAAGGTGTCAGCAACGGCCTGCTGGAGACCGCACCCCAGGGTAAAGCCAGTAATCATTCTTCAGCATCTGCTTACTTTTCAGTAAAAGTTTCAAAGGATGTTGTAACATCTCTTCTGGAGGTAAAGAGTTAAAGGAATTTCAAAAAATTCATTCCTATAATAAATTTTAAAGTTAAAAAACAAACAGGAAAAAAAAAACCACTTTAGAGACAACTATGGGTCAGTCAGTTAATCTCCTTCAAAGGATTTTGCTTATACCAAATGCAAGGGGAAGGTCGAAGGTTTACATGAAGAATTAACCTCTGAAGCTAACACGAATGTATACGTTTCCACCACCTTAGGATGATTATAATGGGCGGTGGGTCTGCTCGGCCAGGCTGTGGGGCGACAGGGTCACCTTTGGAATAGATAAGCTGCCTCCAGAATGGGTTTCAAGTGAATGCTCCACAATCCAGGCCAGTGTTTTCCAGCTTGAAGAATGTGTACACTTTTTTAAAAAAAGTTTATTTTTATGTCAGCAGGAATGATCAGGTAATAAAATGAGAAACTATGTGGGGAAGATTTTTATTGGGAGGGATTCTGCAGCGACCTTGAGCATAGCAATTACAGTTGGTGGGCATGTTAACAGGCTAATGAAGATCTTTCCTGAAATAAGTGATTGAATTTCCTTTTAAATCAGCCCTTTCCTTGTAAAAATCTGCCCTCCAACCCCCATTTGTTTGTCCCTTTCTAGGTAAGACTTAAAACTCAAAGGCCTGCGATCTAATAGAAGTGTGGAAATGGGAAGAGGGTGTTTACCTTAAATGAAAACTGGTGTAGTTATTTTTTGTTTACTTTGATAGGATAGAAGAAAGAAAATATTTTAAGTAATATTTTTAGCTCTTTAGAGGCGCAGAAGTTTTCCTCTGTTCTTGTGGGTTGTGTTTCCACAGAAGGCGGCACTGATTCCTACAGTGAAGAATCTGATTCAGATTTATCTGATGTGCCGGAGTTGGACTCTGATATTGAGCAAGAAACTCAAATCAATTATGATCGCCAGGTCAGTAAGCAAGCAGCCTCCTAACAAGTGTCGTATAACCCAGAATTCCATTGTATTTGGACACTGACTGAAAATGGTTGGTACTTAGGCAGAAGAGAATCAAGACAAGAAGAAGGAAAATTGCATTTCTTTATTTACTAGAGGCGTGGTGCATGAAAATTCATGCACTCGAAGTGGAGGGGGTCCCTCAGCCTGGCCTGTGCCCTTTTACAGTCCGGCACCCCTCGGGGGATGTCCATCTGCTAGCTTAGGCCCGCTCCCTGGGGGATCAGCCCTAAGTTGGCAGGCAGATATCCCTCTGGTAGCCTGGGAGCCCTCGGGATATCCGACCGTGGCTTAGGCTCTCTTCCCCTGGGAGAGCAGGCCTAAGCTGTAGTTGGACATCCTTAGCATTGCCAGGGAGGTGGGAGAGGCTCCTGCCACCATTGCTGCGCTTGCAGCCATCAGCCCAGCTTGTGGCTGAGCAAAGGTCCCCCTGTGGGAGCACACTGACCACCAGGGGGCAGCTTCTGCATTGAGCATCTGCCCCCTGGTGGTCAGTGCATGTCATAGTGACCGATCGTTCCCTATTGTTCTGCTGTTGGGGTCAATTTGCATATTACCCTTTTCTTATATAGGATGTATTTATTTGTTTGTTGTTAATCCTCACCAGAAAATATTTTTCCATTGATCTTTAGAGCAGAAGGAAAGGGTGTGTGTGTGTGGGGGGGGGGGTGTGGGGGAGACAGGGGGTGTGCAGAGAGAGCTGTGAGAGAGAGACATATTGCTTGGTTACCTTTCACATGAGCCCCCAGTTGGGGGCTAGGGATTGAATTTGCAACCCAGGTGCCCTTGATGGCAAATCGAACCCATGACCCTTCAATGCACAGCCCAATGCTCTAATCACTGGGAAACACCAGGCAGGTGTTGAACACTTCTTATCTTTCAATACAGGTTAAAAATAAGGCATTTACCTGATCATATTCTTAAAAGACATTTTTAGGTGGAAGTGAGTAGCAAAGTTTCAAGACTGAATGATATTTGGGGTTTTCTACCTCCTTCACACCTAAAACTTTAAAATATTTGGAGAAAAACAATGAGCAAGTAAGCTGCCCGATTTTGTATTCTTAGCAGTTCATTAAAGCATGTATATTCTTTACAGAATATGTAGTCTTGGAGCCATGGTAGTTTACAAGTGAGCTTAGTTTATGGAGACCATTATCCATATAAGTAAAGTAAAAGCCCAAATCCAATGCACATTATCGCTCCGGTAAGAAATCATCTCTAGTATAAAAGTTGGGCAATAACATCCAAATTGGGTCCTTATTTTTTTCTTAAAGTAGGCATTTTATTTTAGCATGAAACCATAGTAAGTATTAAACAGAGCAATCCTTCCAGGGCAGTGGTCAACAAACTCATTAGTCAACAGAGCCAAATATGAACAGTACAATGATTGAAATTTCTTTTGAGAGCCAAGTTTTTTAAACTTAAATTTCTTCTAACGCTACTTCTTCAAAATAGACTCGCCCAGGCCGTGGTATTTTGTGAAAGAGCCACACCCAAGGGGCCAAAAAGCCACATGTGACTTGCAAGCCACAGTTTGCCGACCACGGTTCCAGGACACACATTACCTTGTTAATGGAAATAACTAGGGGTTCTGTTCTCTTCCTTGTCTTTTAGCAAAGGTATGTGAAGCAGATTCTCTACATGAACACTGAGTGCATAGGATTTTGGGTCTCAGACCCAGCAGCTGTCAGACAGCTGCCACGTATTGGGTGTCTCTGTGGGGCCATATCCTGTGCTTTACATACACCAAGTTCAACCCTGTGATAACTCTGAGAAGGTTAAGTACTGTGCCCACATCCACATCGCTTGTATTGTCAGGGTAAGAATGCAGATCTGGGCTTCACTCTAAAAGAACTGAGTGTACTGATTTTCATATGATATGTGTTTTTTTTTTGTCAGTCCATAATCATCACTCATGGATTCAGTGCTTGAAAATTTTTTTCAGTAAAAATGCCATTCAACTGATGGCTTGTTTCAAATTCACGATTATTATCAGTTTGTGTATTTGGTACAGTGCATTACACAATAAAGCTACTAAAGATAAGGCTTTGAAAGGAAATTATTAATGTCCAAATACCACACAAACACTAAACAACATTATGCCCTGATATCAAGGGGAAATGGAATTTAAGCAAAACGGGCATGAAATCTAGGAGGAGGAAGAAACAAATTTCCTTAGTTGGGAAGTTTTTATTTAACAAAATGATGCTGGTAAAAGAATGAAAAGTCTTAATAATATTGAACTATATGCCTAGGATTTACAATATATATCCTCCCTTACAAAAGCTTTCACTGTGTTATTTTATTTATATATTCCTGAGTTATTCCTTAGGGTTTTTATTTCTGTCAAACAGGTGGGAATTTGAGGCCCCCGGAGGTTGTGAGATGTTCAAATAAGCACTGGAAATTCCGAGACCAGGATTCAGTGCTCTGAAGTAGTTGGTGCGCTGACGAAAGCATAATGAGTTCAGATGAATAGTTATCTTTAGATTTTAAAAGCTTAGTTCTTTGCACTTATAATAGAACAGTGATGAGATATCTTCTGACCTCCTTTTTAAAAAAGCGTTTTGGTCAAGTCCTAAACAGGGGCTTTATTATAATATTTCATAGATTTTGTTTTTAGCAATGTAGTTTCTTTCAAATGAAAACTTTCCTTTAAGAAGATGAGAAATTATTAATAGATTGTATTTAATATTCAGTGCGTTAAATGGATATCTCTTGGTAGTAGGGCTTAAATACATGGTAAACAAAGATTGATTTTTATGTACCTTTATTTTGTTAAAACTCACCAGATGATCTTTTTTCCATTGATTTTTTAGAGTGGAAGGGAGGGAGAGAAGGAGGGGGAAGAGAGACATCGATTGGTTGCCTCCAATGCATGCCCTTGACTAAGACCCTTTGGTGTGCAGGCCAACACTCTAACCACTGAACACACCAGCCAGGACTGATTATTATGTACCTTTACATTAAGTTGTAGGAAATGTCCTCTCAGTCAACAGCACATTGTAGGTCCCAAGATAGAGCAGGAGCTTTGCTGTAGTTTAGAGTCTTATCTGTCAAGATGCATGAGGCCCTGAAAAGACAAATAATTCCAAAGAGTGACCACCATGATTCTCAAGGTCCATATTTTGCAGATGTCAGAATCTTGAGATTTTTACTTTAGAAGAAATTAAAATTTTATTTATACCTATAATAGTTTTATTTATTAAAAATTAATACCATATTTTCTGGATATAAATTACTTAAACATAATAGCAAATTAAGAAAAAATTATCTTAATCCCCAATAATTTGAAAGATATGTTAGTTTTGCTCATTAGAAGAGAGGTCTTATGTTCTCAATTTTGTTTATCTTTTCAAAAAACCAACTTTTAGTTTTGTTAACCTTTTCTATTGATTTCCTAGTCTCTATTTCATTTCTTTCTGTTTTATATTATTTCCCTCCCTCTTCAACTCTGGGCTTAGTTGGTTCTTTTTACTAGTTCCTTAAGGTATGATGTTGAGATCTTTTCCTTGTTTTAATTGTTTGCATTTATATCTACAAACTTTCTTCTTAGGATTGATTTTTACAACACCCCAAAAGTTTGGAATGTTGTTTCAATTTTTATTTGTCTCAAGATTTTTTTTTATTTCCCTTTTGATTTCTTCTCTGGTCCATTGGTTGTTCAAACGTGTTGTTCAATTTCCACGTATTTGTGCGTTTTCCAGCTTTCCTTCTGTTATTGATTTATAGTTTCATACCATAGTGTTAGAAAAGATACTTGATATAATTTCTACTTGAATCTGTTGAGATTGCTTTTGTTCCCTAACATGTAATCTGTCCTGGAAAATGTTCCATGTGCACTTGAGAAGAATGTGTATCCTACCATTGGATGCAATGTTCTATATATATATCTGTTGAATTGTTTGATTTCTGGTGTTCATGCCTCCTGTTCCGTTACTGATTCTTTGTCTGGTTGATCTACCTGTTGTTGAGAGTGGAGTATTACATCCCTAACTATTACCATATTATGTTTATTTCTCCTTTCAGTTCTCTAAGAATGTATTTTATATGTTCAGGTGCATAAGTATTTATAATTGTTATATCTTGTAGAATTGACGCCTTTATCAGATCAATTATACTAGAGGCCTGATGCATGAAAATTGTTTACGGTGGGGGTGGGGGGAGAGAATCACTCAGCCTGGCCTGCTTCCTCTCTCATCTGGGACCCCTCAGGGGATGTCCACCTGTCGGCTTAGGCCCAATCCCCTGGTGATCAGGCCTAAGCCAGCAGTCAGACATCCCTCTTGCAGTCTGGGGCCCTTGAAGTCTGGGACCCCTTGCTCCTTACCACCTGCCTGCAGCCGAGGTGGGAGAGGCTTCTGCCAACACTGCTGTGCTCACTGTGCTCACCAGCCGTGAGCCTGGCTTCTGGCTGAGCGGTGGTCCCCCATGGGAGTACACTGACCACCAGGGGGCAGCTCCTGCATGGGGCTGGAGAGGGGCCATGGGAGGGCTCCAGGTCACATCTGGCCTGTCTCATTCAACCAAATTATTTGGACCCAAGCAGCAAGCTAATCTACCCGTTAGAGCATCTGCCCCCTGGTGGTCAGTGTATGTCATAGTGAGCAGTTGAATGGCCTTAGCATATCATTAGCATATTACACTTTGATTGGTTGAATGGTTGACTGGATGACCAGACACTTAGCACATTAGGTTTTTATTATATAAAGATAATGAGCTTTCTTTTGTTTCTTGTGACCATTTTTAGCCTCATGTTCTAAAAAATGTTTCCTATAATTAAAGATTTCCTGAGAATGTCAAGATACTGTTTTTGAAACCTGAAGAAAGGAGCCTCAATTAAATGTATTTGTTATGCTTTAAGGTTTACAAAGAAGATCTACCTCAGCTAAAGCAACAAAGTAAAGAGAAAAACCATGCAGTGCCCTTCCTCAAACGAGAAAAGGCTCCTGAGGACAGCCTGAAACTCCAGTTCATACACGGGTGGGTGGCCTGTCGTCATCCTCAGCATCAGGCGAAGGATGTCCCCTCCTCTGTGCTCTCCCACCTCAGGCGGGCTCGTCTCTCCAGTTCGCACTCACCTGCGATTACTATTTTAACCATTAGTTTGCAACCAGTTTTCTCAGTGGCCATCACAATGTGTGTGTCTATATTTTTTTATACTTCATATACTTCCATGATGCATATATTACTGCAACTCATGGTTATTTTACTTTATTCTTTCCACCATCTCTGGTTTCTTTGTTCCCATAACTCCTGCTTTATTTTGCTTGGCTTCAAGTAGGACAATGTGTTCTTCAAAAAACATATGGCCAAATCATTTTCAAGTTTGAGAATTATTTATAGCCTTCCAAACTTTAAGTTGAAATCTAAAAATTTTCAGCAAAACTGTCAATGGTTGTGAGGAATATAATAACTAGTGTTTTATAAATGCTATTCCCTCATTTAAATGGAACCAGTGGAGCTTATGAAAATATTATAAGAAATTATTTTAATAAGATAGAATTTTTCAGTGAGTTCAGGTATATAGTCATATATGCATACTTACTACTAGAGTATTACGGAGTATAGCATTAAGTCTATTCCAGTTTTTCATTTTTTAAAAATATTTTATTGATTTTTTACAGAGAGGAAGAGAGAGGGATAGAGAGTTAGAAACATCAATGAGAGAATCATCGATCAGCTGCCTCTTGCACACCCCCTACCAGGGATGTGCCTGCAACCAAGGTACATGCCCTTGACCGGAATCGAACCTGGGACCTTTCAGTCCACAGGCCGACGCTCTATCCACTGAGCCAAACTGGTTTCGGCAGTTTTTCATTTTTTATTATATGTGAGCATTGAGAAAACTTATTCACATAAGTCAGTCAGAATGGGAGCAGTGTTATCATAGCTACATTACTCAATTCTTTGAACTCCTCTTGACTTAGAGGCCAACAATGTATAATATGATTTTTATATATCACATAAAATGTCATCTGATGATCTGATGAAATCTCACTTATAAAAGCAAATAACTTGGAAATCACTTGACTTGCAAAAGGACTTCTCACCTAGTCCTTGGAGTTGTTACAACATCCACACTTGTGTTGTTCATGGTTCCTTTGTGTTGATGTCCTGGAAGGTTTGAATTCCGGGGTAACACACCATCGTGAGGGTCCAGATGGACCAGAGGAACAACTTCCTAAAGTGGGAGGAAGGCAACTGTGAAAGGGGAGGTAGTAAAGGAGAGCCTGCATCTCGCCACAGGTGTGTTGTCAGACCGGTCAGTTTTGAGAAAGAGCATACACAGTAGTTGAGGATCTGAAAGTGATCTGGGCCTATTTTCCCCTCAGAAAATCATCCCCTGCCCTCAGAAGTCCTCATTCCCTAACATTGTAGTTAAGCAACTATGCATTCCCCTAGGTTTCTACTTGCGCATGTCCCTACGCCAGCTTTTCCTGCTGACAACTGCCGCTCTGTTCATTCACCGCTTATTCAAATGCTGTGCCTTTCTTGGACCTGTGCTCCAGGTACAGAGGCTACGACTGTAGGAACAATCTGTTCTACACACAAGCGGGAGAGGTGGTCTACCATATTGCCGCCGCGGCTGTTGTGTACAACAGGCAGCAGCACTCCCAGAGGCTGTACCTGGGGCACGATGATGACATTCTCAGCCTGACCATCCACCCAGTGAAGGACTACGTGGCCACTGGGCAGGTATATACCTCTCCCAGGAGACGGGTCTAGCCAAAGAGAGGGGAGGTTTAATTTCAAACCCACTTTATATATATTAGAAATTCGAGAAACACTTGGTAGACATAAGCCTGAGGCAGGAAGCTGAATATGTAGTAAATGCTGGATTATTTTATGATGGTGGGAAAAGCAGCCAAAACCTTCTAACGCTGTTGGGAAGCCTCCAAGAGATGATCACTTGAACATGAATTACCTGTGAATAGAATTAACTGAAACAGATAATGTAAGTTTCATGAATGTGCAGTCTTAATACACTTCCTCATCACTTTGTACTTGGTACCTAATACATCCGAGGTGCTCAACACTCAGTGAATGTTTATAGGATGAACCATCTTTTCATTTTACTATAACATCTGGTGGTTTGTTTAAAAAACAAACAAAAAAACTTAGTCATATGAATTTTGGCTTATTTTATATTTTTGCATTTCAAAGAAAATAGTTGCATGTCAGGTCTCAGAATAGTTGTCTCCTGTTAACCTTTGACCTTCATGCAAAAGGTTTTTGAATTTTATCTGAACCATTTTGGAATGTCTAAACTTTGGATTGAATCTATAATTGAAAAGCTACTAAAAAAACGAAAACAAAAGAAAACAAAGCCCTGTGATCAGTCATTTTGTGTGGGGAAGGGAAAGGGATTGAGTTGCTTAGTAAACAAAGCATCTGTTAAACTCACATTTATTACCTTACTGGTAAAGTAGTAATACTGTCAACAGTATTTTCAGTTTTGTACTCTTTTCTTCCGATGAACAGATTACATTTTTGTTAAGTTTTGTCATGGGCTTTTAACTAAAGGTTAAAAGTTTCTTTTAAAATATATATATATATATATATTTATTGATTTTTTTTTACAGAGAGAGAGAGGAATAGAGAGTTAGAAATATCAATCAGCTGCCTCCTGCACGCCCCCTAATGGGGGTGTGCCCACAACCAAGGTACATGCCTTTGACCAGAATCGAACCCGGGTCCCTTCAGTCCACAGGCCAACACTCTATCCACCGGTTTTGGCTAAAGGTTAAAAGTTTCTAAGTGGAATCCAAGAAAAACTTTGACACGGAGGTCAAAGATTTGCAGGAGACAACTCTTCTGAGACTTGACATGCAACTGTTTCTTCAGCTCTTGACTACGGAACAGAATCATTCTTATTATAATGTATGAGTAATTAACACACTCATCCTGCCATTGAAGGTCGGGAGAGATGCTGCCATTCATGTGTGGGACACGCAGACTCTGAAGTGTTTGTCATTATTGAAAGGACAGCATCAGAGAGGGGTGTGCGCACTCGATTTTTCAGGTAAGCCCCTTTTCCACTGGTTGTTGACGAACAGTTCTACATTTATTTTGAGGATTTTTTTTTCTTTTTCTCACAACCCTTTACTTAGCTGACTTCTGTTGGTATATCAGCTCCCCATTCTGAGGCTGGAAATCAGATATGTTAATACCTCATAAAGAAATGTGGCTTTTAGATTACCTGTCCTTTCCTGGTCTGCCTCATTTCCTCTCTCCCAAGTCCTTACCCAGAGCTCGCACTGTGTCCCGCATTTGCCTGAGCGATTTGAAATCCAGAGCAGCTGTTGCTGTTGAAAGACTTAGTTGCAAATGTCTGGCAGCGACTCAGACCCTCAATTTTAGCTCTCCGAATCAGGGGGAGCCCAGCACTAGCGATTTAAACTATGTACTGCAGCTCGGGCTGCGAATTCTTGGCAAAGGGCCACCTGACAACATGGGTTTTGGAAATAAATTTCACATGGAAATATCGAACTGAAGGTTCCAACTTTTTAATTTAAAGTTTGAACACAGTACTATAAAAATACTAACTGGTAACTATAGTTTTCATTTGAGCGAGGCCGTTTCCTTAAATTAGCAATGAGACTGAGGACCTGTTGCAAAAGGCGTTTTTACCCAGAAAATTTGAGTAATTCCAATGGTAGAAATTAGATCAGTAGAAAAAATTATTAATTTTTCCTACAGAAAACGGATTCTGTAATTTATTTCTCCCATTAAATGTTTACTATGTGCAACATACATAATGTTGGTCATTAATATGTTCCACGACCGCACAACCCATTTCTCTCTTGTGTCCCTCACTCTCTGCTCTCCTTGTTCAAACCCTCTTTCTCATTTGTGCCACGGTAGTGCTGCTAGTCTCTGATTCCCACAAGCGCTTCCTCTAGTCCATCCTGCATACTTCTGGAGTCTTCTGGAACCACACATGGGCTCCCCTTGCCTGCCTCAGAGCTGATCACTTGGCGGGACATTCATGGCCTTCCACGATCTGGTCAGCCTTCCTCCGCAGTGTGTTCACCCATAACCCATTCACGCTTCTTTACATCTACCGAACTGTAAAACTAAATGCACCCTTTGTCCTTTTTGCCCGGGTTCCTTTGCTCATGCTGTCGCTATGTGTCCATTCAAGTCCTGTCATCCTTTAAGACCAAGCTGAAAGTTTTCCCCTCCATTCTTCCCAGGAGAACTAATGTGCCCCTTCTTCTGCATCCCTTAACCCATTTGTCATTGCTCTTAGAGTCCATGTGGTACAGTAGTTATTAATGTTGACATCTCCTATGCCCTTCACATATTGCAAGCTACTTGGTCAGCGCAGCTCATATCTGTTTGCCACTGTACGTGTAGTGTTATGGACACAAAAGATACTCAAAAAATGTGAGAATTGCCTTAGCTGGTTAGGATCAGTAGATAGAGTGTCAGCCTGCAGACTGAAGGGTCCCAGGTTCAATTCCCGACAAGGGCACATGCACAAGTTGCAGTCTAGATCCTCAGTAGTGGGTGTGCAGCAGCCAGCCATATCAATAATTATCTCTCATCATTGATGTGTCTCTCTCCTGCTCCTCTCCTTTCCTCTCTAAAATCAATAAATGTATATATTTTTAAATGTGAGAATAAATGAATGAGTGAACAAATAAGGTTTTGTATAATATATATTTTTTTACTTTCACTATTACTATTGAAACTTCATATTTTCACCATGTTGGGGTGAAAGTTATCTTTATTCTCTAACCAATAACATGGTGCAACTTGGGATGTTTTTTAATGACATGCACATACTATAAACTACAAATCTGAGTTGTTAAATCGTTATTACAATCATGCTTTCTGTGGTTATAGGATTAGTAAAAATCAAAGCTGAGCAGTTTGCACTCTACACTAGTGGGCATCTGAGGTAGAGAAGGCATGAGTATGGAGGAAAAGAGAACTTCTTAGCATATCACCTGCCAGTTGAAAGTCCAGATAAACACACCCAATAAACGGATACGAAGACCTAAACTTCCACAGGTTTGATGGACATACAGTTTTATAGTAGGTGTGCCACCTGTCCTTGACAAAGCAGTAAAATCTAAAGGAATCCCTAATTTGAGTTCAAATACAGTTCTCCAAATACTTCTGTATTTTTCATAGTTCTACTTCTCAATGGCCAAATTTCCCTTTTCCTAACATTAAGTTTGCTAGCAGGTACATATGCGTTTACATAATATAAAAATAATATTAAGCATGCTCTAAAAGAGTGGTAAGATACCCATTAAAGTAGCAAAAATAAATAAAAATAATAAAACCTAAATGTGGACTAGTTTATAAAGAATCTAATATATTCATATTTTGGCAGCATTGAAAATTAACTTAATAATTCTAGCAAACAATTTGGCACATATAATAAAAGCTATAATTCAAAATGACAAGTATGTAGACTGTGTATTTCATGCATATTTCTATGTACCAGTAAAAGAAAAATAGAACTCAAAATAACACCTATTCACTGATTTAATCTGAAAATGTATGTGTGTGTATTAGCATATAAACAGAGTAGCAAGAAATTTAGAATAATATAAATAGACTTTAACAATCATTAGATTTTTTCCATAGAATTGATTGATGCTTTTTAATTTAGAAGAATCAAAAGAACTAACTCATGTTATTTAAATACCATAAAGGAATTAGAGGAATGTTGATCATAGACATTAATTAATTATGAGATGAGTAAGTTGGTACCCGGTAACTTGCTTTCTGAATTCTAAGAGCTCACATCTCTTCCGGGCTTAGTAGTTTTATAGAAGAAGGATCAAGAAATGATCTTGGAGCCATGGCTAGTTGGGTTCAGCGGGTAGAGAGTTGGCCTATGGACTGAAGGGTCCTGAATTCTACTCTAGTTAAGGGCACATGCCCAGTAGGGGGCTTGTGGGAGACAGCCAATCAATGATTCTCTCTAATTGATGCTTCTGACTCTCTCCCTCTCCCTTCTTCTCTGAAGTCAATAGGTAGGTAGGTAGGTAGGTAGGTAGGAAGGAAGGAAGGAAGGAAGGATGGATCTTGGAAATCTCTCCCTCATGAGGCAGCCCTGCAGATCTTTGGGGGAAGGGAGGGAGTGTGGGGGGGGGAGAGAAACCAGATTCTCTAGGGAGAGAATGAGAAGCTGATTCTCTCACTGCTTCCAATTTTCATCTTGGGCAAATAAAGAAATCCCTAGATATTAAATATATCCTGCATTAAAAGTATAATTTCAGTGTTACCAATACAGTCTCTATTTCCCAGGTAACAATCACTGGGAAAGAACCCATTTATTCAGCAATAGTGTTATTTTTGATTGTGGAAAATGAGGTTTTTGTCTTGGGATTTAAGGAAACCAGTTGATAGTTTTAGAATGCACTGATATGAAGTACTATTCAAGAAGGACATTCACTAGTATCTCTTGTGCTTGATCTGTCACCTTGAGTAGTTGCATGAAGATGAATTGACCTCTGTGGTCTTGAGGGCACCTCCTGAAGGTGTGAGCCGAGGTCTCTTCGGTTTAATTTTATTGCTGGTACTTCGGGTAACAATACAACTTTAGTCTTCAACAGACTCCTGCACCACTTTGCAGGCCAAGAATGGAGGCCCAGAGTAAAAGTCAAACAGTGGCAGATCCAGCCCTAGAACCCAGGTCTCCTGGCTGGTGGGTCGTCTGGATGAGGAGTGTTCCCTCCTCAGTCCTCTTGCCTTCTCCTGCCCCTGCCTTCCACCAGGGCCTGTGTGAACTTTTGGCCTGAGCGTCAAGCTTGGAGCTCACCTAGAATAGCCCTGACTCACACAGTTACCTCCACAGGAGCAACTATACCTTCCTTTTGAAAACTGATAGAAAAGTCAATATCCCAAGAGAGGAGATTAGATTCCCTGCTTCACCATGCAGACAGGACACCCGCATTATTATCCGCTCGTTGGTGGCCCCATCTGTATGTCCCAGGACCTCACAGCCACCTGTCTTTTACAAATCAGCTCATTTTGTGAGGTGATGTGGAAACATACTGATAGCACATTTGTCTCTTATTAGAGGAAAAATTGTCACGGAAGTACAACATAGGCAAATGACGTGAAAACTAAACAAAAATTGCCTATTACACATAAGGGTTTAGATTAATCTACTCTTGCCACTGTTCCAAAGTAAACAAAAAATATATATATTTTTAAAAAAATATATTTTATTGATTTTTCACAGAGAGGAAGAGAGAGGGATAGAGAGTTAGAAACATCGATGAGAGAGAATCATCGATCAGCTGCCTATTGCACACCCTTCACGGGAATCAAACCCGGGACCTTTCAGTCCGCAGCCGACACTCTATCCACTGAGCCAAACCGGTCCTGGCAAAAATAAGACATTTTTAATCAAAAACATTTCTCAGGACATAATCCATAACTCTAAATTATGTAAACAAGGAGGACTGCTTCACTTAATTGAGCAACTCTTTTCTCTCTGTGAGTTTATCATCACTGACGAGGGAAAACAGTTCCTTTGTTTCTGTGCTTCTTCCACATGAATAGAAAACCAGCTTAGAAAGAGAAGCTGTCAGCCCCATAAATATTTTCTAACCTAAACCTCATCCTCATATTTTTAAAACCTTCACTGAATAACACTGATGTTCCACAAGGGCACCTATAAGACTAATTTGATGTCATTGTGTTGAATTCTGGAAAAGAAAAACACCATGCATTTTTTATGAGCTTCAACTACAGGGACCAACTTGCAATTGTCTGAATAAAAATTTTCTCTTTCCAATTTGCCCTTTACTGTTGACATTAAGTGCCTTAGAATTATTTCTGGACTTTGTCACAAAATATCCATAATTAATACATACTGTGACTGGAAAGATTTGAAAGAGCATTATCTAGGCTCTAAAAATATGGCTGAAAATAAACCTAAAACTAGTCAAGGAACAATGGATTTTCAAAGCTAAGGTCAAGCTTTGTGGGGGAGAATGAAAGCTGGGAAGAAACTGAAAGGTAGCCAAATTTATATTTCCGAAGTGTGTAGTACGCTGAAATGGCCAGAACCGTCACAACTCAAGAAAAGTCACTATTCATGGGATGTAAAGTACAGCATAGGGAATAGTTAACTAGAGGCCCAGTGCATGACGTCATGCACTGGGGTGGGGGGAGGAGTGTCCCTTAGCCCAGCCTGTGCCCTCAGTCTGGGACCCCTCAGGGGAAAGTCTGACTGTGGGGAGCAGGCCTAAGCTGGCAGTCAGACATCCCCCTGAAGGGTCCTTAACACTGCCACAGAAGTTAGAGGGGTTTCCATCACTGCCACTGCACTTGCCAGCCCTGAGCCCAGCTTCATAGGGACCGGTCATTCTGCTGTTCAGTCCATTTGCACATCAGCCTTTTATTATGTAGGATAATATTGTAATAACTATGTATGGGGCCACGTGGGTACTGGAAATATCAGGGGGACATTTTGTAAAGAATATGATTGTCTAACCATTATGCCATACATCTAAAAATACCGTAATACAAAATAATATTGAATGCAAATTTTAATTGAAAAAAACTTTTTTAAAAAAGGAAAAGGCACTATCCTAAAGGAGGAGGTATAGTGTTGAGGCACCTCCACTTTTGGACTCTTTCTTCCATTGCTACTCATAGTCACAATATCCTTCTAGGGGTAGGAAAGTGGCATAACTGTGAGGACAAGCTGATGGGGCCTTGCAGAAATTTTAATTTTAAAAATCCATGAAAATCAACTTACCCTGAGGCTTTCTTCAAAAGGGAAAAACTTTAAAAACTATCCTCTTAAGTGTGTGGATGTAGTCTAAGAAGAATATATTAAAATAGCTCTGCAGGTTAAAAAATAATACAAAATATAGAATTAATGAAGACAAAAAGAGACCTTGAGTATTTGGACAGTGTTTTTGAAAGTAATTGTAATTAAAACAAAACTGTGTAGCTATGTAACCTAGTTCATTCCCTTTCCCTTCATATTACCCATATGCACTTTTCTTTATCTTCTCCCTCCTTCTCAACACCACCCAGTATCATCAGCATTCTTTGAAAGCCAACTCAAAGTGCAGATCATAAAGGAAATGTGATATGATTACTATAAGCCTTAAAAGAGCTTATAATATAAAAAGGGAGACAGAAGACTCCAATACAAATAACATCACCAAATACAAAGGCATGCTAATATAGAAATATAACTAGCTGCTGCCAAGATGTGTGGAAAAAGCAATGTTGGTGGTAATGACTAGGAAGTCCCTACCTGTCCTTTATCCCAAATTCATAAAAAGAGACCTTGCCCAATTTAAAGCCTAGTAACATTAAAGCATAAAGATTTATTATTTAGGTGTGACTTGTATGCATGCATACAAGCATAACCAACGGACACAAGAACTGGGGAGTGAGGGCATATATGGGAGTCGGGTGAGGGGGCAATGGGAAGATATGGACACATAGAATACCTTAATCAATAAAAAAAAATTGGGGGGAAAAATCATTTGCTTATAATGTGTGGTGATTTAGCCCGTTAGGTAAGTGTTAATGTCTTCATGTAATACTAAGATAGCCTAGTAGTTTGAAAGAATTCATGTAACTTTCAAATCCTTGCCTTATACGTGGTGGTCATCAAGGATTGGGGAGGATTTATTTGGCTTGTTAAACCAGGCTCTTACTCTCCTTCCTCCTCCAGAAAAGCAGCAGACCACTGCTCCCAGGTGATTGAAGGGGTGAGTCTCTGGCACAGGCAAGGGCACTCACACGTTGGGCACTGGTCGGCTTTTGGGGGAAGGTTGCCAATAAAAAACACGAGGTCCAATTAAATTTGAATCTATAATAATAAAAGGCTAATATGCAAATGGTCATCACACCCTCATGCTGTAACGACTGATCAGCAGAAGGCTACATCCCTGTCTGGCACCAGTAGGGCTTGATGGGGGTGGGGCTGGCTGAGTCTGGGTCTCGCCCATGGGGTTGGGGCCGGCTGGGTCCGGGTCTCGCATAGTTTTGAGGCATGCATAGGTGGATGGGAACTTGACTCTGGGTCCTGTGGCATGCCCCAGACTCTGACAGGAGTGGGGAAGGAGCTGGATACCAGCACCCAGAACCCACACAGGAGGGCGATAGCGGTTAGGGGCAATCAGGCAGGCAGAAAGGTGAGCAATTAGGAGCCAGTTGTACCAGATTGTAAGATGGATGTCTGACAGCTGGTTTAGGGCCAGTCCCACAGGAATCGGGCCTAAACCAGCAGTCAGACATCCCCTGAGAGGTCCTGGATTGGAGAGGGTGCAGGTTGGGCTGAGAGACCGATGCCTGACCCCCTTTGCATGAATTTTGTGCACCAGGACTCTAGTTTCATATAAACAAATACTTTATTTAGTGCAAGTATGTCCCAGGCATTATAAATATGCAGTGTAAATATAAATATTACACAGGACATACACTAAGAAATTATTCCTTGTTTATTTGAAATTCCAGTTTAACTGGGTTTCCCTCATTTTTCCTGGAAACCCAGATTTTGTATCTACCCCAGGCCTGCCTTTGAAATCATGCCATTTGAGACCCTGAATGGACTGGGGAGAAGCAGTTTGCCACTTTCTTATGTTTCTTTGCTCTAATGTTGTTGGTCCTCTGTGGTCAGAGAAGACACCTGCTGAGAGGATGCACAGTGAGTGTGGTCCCCCGTCTCCTGTCCCCGCACAGCTGACCCAGGGCGCTCGTCCTGTGAATCTAGCTGTGTGAGGAGACAGCAAAGGAAAGACTTTCCTACTGGACTTTTCTTCTGCTTTGAAGGGAAAAAGCAAATGAGCTATTTTGATTTCAAATTTAATTTTACATGTGTTTTTTAAATTTTTTAGAAAACCTTAACAACTAAAGTACAGTAGCCATTGATATTATAAATAATACTTAATACTAAAATACAATGTTTATAACAAATGAAAAAAGATTTGAGCCGAAACCGGTTTGGCTCAGTGGTAGAGCGTCGGTTTGCGGACTGAAAGGTCCCAGGTTCGATTCCGGTCAAGGGCATGTACATTGGTTGTGGACACGTCCCCAGAAGGGGGTGTGCAGGAGGCAGCTGGTCGGTGTTTCTCTCTCATTGACGTTTCTAGCTCTCTATATCTCTCCCTTCCTCTCTGTAAAAAATCAATAAAAATATGTTTTTTTAAAAAAAGATTTGATAATAGTATGTTCATTGTGATTCTGGATTTTTTTGTTTGTTTTTTTTAAAGCACATTTATGTAGTGACAAGATATACATCAAATCTAGGCCTAGAAATGTGGATGATTATAAATGTCCTCTATCCATATTTTCTAAATGTCCTGTAACAAGCATACTACATTCGAAATAGGGAAACTTAAGAAATGAGGAATTTTTAAATTATAAAATTACCTTTTAAAAAAACTTTTGAAGTAAAAATTTAGTTTCTAAAATTTAGTTTCTAACCTCTCTTATCTCGGAGGGTTAACAGAGCCCAGTATTTTAGAGCTGCAAGTAGACGGAGTTGCAAAGCCAAATGGCTCTTCCAGTAAATGTCATGAGGTTTGTCTGCCACAAAATAGACAGGGTCATCCTGACTTACTGAGTGGCTCCCCAGCCTTGTGTCTAAGACTGGAACGTGGGGGCAGAGATTATATTCAGCAGCCAGTTACTGTGCCACCGGTTTTGATGCAATAAGTAGCTCAACTGCTGCTAGTTATGCATTTCCTTTAGTGAGGTCCCTTGAGCATAAGATACTCCTAATGTATTTGAGCCTAATAATGATCTTGAGGCCAATTTCTCCTTCGTCTTTATAGCATATTAAATGTTCCCCTTTTTCATTGAAGAAATGAGTTATTTGACCTCTGTGTTGTTTTCATACAGCCGATGGAAAATGTCTGGTGTCGGTTGGCTTAGACGATTTTCACAGTATTGTATTCTGGGACTGGAAAAAGGGAGAAAAGATAGCCACAACCAGGTAAGCAGCGGCCGAGGCCTGAAGGCATCCTGCCGATTATCACGCTTCGGGATCGGTCGGTAGTTTTCATTTTCTGGTAAGATTTCATCTTCAGACTCAGGTGGAACTCGCATAGAAGGCTTAACGCCCAAGAGAAAACACATCGCTGCTGTATTTCACGGTGCCAGGCCTCCCCTAGAGCCGGTAATGTTTGTTTCGGGGGAAACTGGAAAACTTCGAAGTCCTCTCCGGAGAGTTACTCATCACTTTGCTTTCAGTAATGCAGACGTTATCTCTATCGAAGCCTTTTACGAGCGGGAGGAAAGCGCTTTTCTCCGGCGGGTGCCTTGCCCCTTGTTTTTCCGCTGTCTTAGCATCTGGTGGAGGATTGTCAATGTCACCGGAGTCAGACGTCCCATTAGTCATGAGGCCGTGGCGTGCTGGGAAGGAGGCCCCAACCTGTGCGTCTGCCACTCGCTTTCAAAGCAGGCAAATTGTTTCCCTAATCTCCCATCTTATAAATAGACGTTTCAAGACTGACGGCTGTTTATAGACCACCTGTCTGTCCTCCCTCACCCCGGCCTCCCTCCCTGCTGAATCAGCCCGATGTCTGAGCATTACTTTCCACTTAACATGGGGCGTAGCTCTTTGCCAAACGTGGTCAGAAGTCAAAATAGCTGGCAGCCAAGGCCCAGCAATACAATTTGTTGCCCAAGGCGTGTGATCCGTTTGCCTCTCTCCTAGTTCCTCCCTGCATTCACCAACTTCTTATTTTGCAATATGAAATCATTTTTGAATGAATAGCTTTGAACCCCAGTACTTATTTTCTTTTTCTTTTTAATATATTTTATTGATTTTGTACAAATAGGAAGAGAGAGAGATAGTTAGAAACATCGATGAGAGAGAGAGTCATCGATCAGCTGCCTCTTGCACACTCCCTCCTGGGGATATGACCGCAACCAAGGTACATGCCCTTGACTGGAATTGAACCCGGGACCCTTCAGTCCCCAAGCCGATGCTGTATCCATTGAGCCAAACCGGTTTCGGCATGAACCCCAGTACTTATTTTCTACATTGATATTTCCCTCCACAATATTAAGGTGGTGGGGGGTGGGTTGGCAACTTGATTGAATGGAGACTCAGAGGAGGAGTCGATGGAGCCTTGATGACTCCAGCTGTCCATCTTGGGGGAAAAGGAGACGCTTTTCCGATGGCAGTAATCAGGCGTCCTCAAACTTTTTAAAGTGGGGGCCAGATCACGGTCCCTCAGAGAGCTGGAGGGCCGGACTATATGAACTACTAATTCCTACTGTAACACCTCGGCTGCGTTCACTGCCCAAAAAACCTGGCGGGCCGGATCAGACTCCTCTGCGGGCCGCATGTGGCCCGCGGGCCGTAGTTTGAAGACCCCTGAAAGGAAAAATAAAGCACACAGTGCAAAGGAACCTCATGAATGTTCTTAATTTAGCTGTGGACATTAATTAAATATTTACATGCCATCATCGGTCAATTTAGAACTTTAGCCACGTTGCTGTGTGTTATATACCAAGAAACTACAATAGATGGAAACTATAAAGTGCTCTCAAAACAGATTTTTCTATCTAAATGTTTGACATTGTACAGACACCAGGAAGCAAAACAATGCTTTTTTCTGTCTAGGAAATGTGATTTAAAAAATATATTTGCCCTTCATTTCGGTTTTCTCTAGCATCTTCTCCCTAAGATGTATATTAATGACTTAGATCTGTGGGCATTTTCTTCCAACCAAGAAGTCTTTGGACGCTTAAACGTCCTTTATGGTGATCTGATTCATTTCTCCACTTTGTATTAAGCACATTTTCTCTTCTCTTTTATCTAAGCTTTTTTCTCTCTGTCCTAATTGTTCCCAGTACATCCAGTGATGTATCATGTCCCTAGTGTTCATGCTTCACTTTTGACTTTCAAAGAAACAAAGAGAAAGTTCAAAAAGCAGTTCCTTCATTCCTGGCTCTCACTGTAGCAGGGCCCACATCATAGGTATGGAGATGGTCTGATCTGTTCTTTTAAATTTTTATGATGGAAGTTTTCAAGGTGAGACAAAAGAGGAGGATATAGCATAATGGACTTCCTGGAACTCTCACCCAACTACAACATCCTACTAATGGCACAAATCTCTTTCCCCTCATTTTTTACTTTTACCTTTTTGATATAATATATTTTTAAAAATATTGTTACTGATTTCAGAGAGGAAGGGAGAGGAAGAGATAGAAACATCAATGATGAGAGAGAATCATTGATCGGCTGCCTCCTGCACACACCACATTGGGGATGGAGCCTGCAACCCAGGCAACGTGCCCTGACTGGGAATTGAACCGTGATCTCCTGGTTCATAAGTTGATGTTCAACACTGAGCCACGCTGGCCAGGCTGTGCTATAATGTTTTAAAGAAAATGTAAGACATCATGCCATTTGATCTGTATATACTTCATTGGGTATTTCTACATGAAAAGACACCTTTTATTTTCTAATGTTACATTTATTTTTCCATCACCATTTACCTTCTCTATACTCTTCCACCTCCTTCCACCACCTTTCCCCCCGCCCCCCACAATCGCCAACTGTTGTCCATGTCCCTGAATTTTCTTGTTGTTGCTCAATTCCTCCACGCCCCCAAACTGCCCTTCTCCCAGAGCTGTCTGCCTGCTTTCTATTATATGAGGAAAAGACCCTTTGTAAAACCACCATTTCATTATCACAGCTAACTAAAGCAATAGTAATTTCTTTAATCTATTACCAAATTCATAAACATTTCTGATTGTTTCAAAGATGAGTGTTGGCTTGTTCAAATTTGCATTCAAACAAGGCCCAGGCATTGCATTTGGTTCCTCTCTCTTCAGCCTCTTCCAGATTTTTATTTTTTAGCAGCTCCCCTCCCACCTTTTCATGCCGTGGATTTAGCTGAGGGCCTGGTCGTTTGACCTTAGATTGTTTCACAGTCTAAGCTTCATTGACTCTTCCTGGGAGCATTTCAGGCATTCTCTGCATTTCCTATAAATGTAGTTAGACCCACCGCCTTGATTAGATTCACATTGTTTTTCCCCGCAGCAGTTTTATTGATAAATAAATCACAGACCATACAATTTTCCATTTAAAGTGGACAGTTCAGTGGTTCTCAGCATATTTACAGAATTGTGCAATCATTACCACTGTCAAATTTCAGAGCATTTTCACCACCCCAGAAAGAAGCCCCACGCCCATTAGCACTAATTAATGTATTTTCTGTCTCTCTGGATTTTTGTGTTCTGGACATCGCATGTAAATAGAGTCATACAATATGAGGTCCTTCATGACTGGCTTCTTTCACATAGCATAATATTTAAGGTTCATCTGTGTCATGGCATATGTCAGTACTTCATTCCTTTTAATTGCTGAATAATATTTCATTCTGTGGGCCTGCCACATTTATTTATCCATTCTTTAGCTGATGCATATTTGGATTGTTTCCACCTTTTGGCAATAATGCTTCTGTGAACATTTGTGTACAAGATTTTGAGTATATGTATGTTTGATTCCTCTTGTGTTCATAGGTAGGAGTGGAATTGCTGCATTATTTGGTAGTTTTATGTTTAATATTTTAAGGTACCACCAAAATATTTCTCAAAGTGGCCAAACCATATTACATCTCCACCAACAATGAGAGAAAGTTCCATTTTTTAATAGACTTTCAGCACTTATTATTGTCTGTTATTATAGCCATTTTAATGTGAGTGAAGTGGTATCTGATTAAGTCTTTGATTTTCATTTTCTAATGACTAATGATGTTGGACATCTTTTCATGTACTTACTGGCCGTTAAAATATCTTCTTTGTAGAAATGTCTATTTAGCTATATTATCCATTTTAATTGGTTTAAAAAAATAATTTTTTATTTCAGAAAGGAAGAGGGAGAGATAGAAACATCAATGATGAGAATCATTGATCGGCTGCCTCCTGCACACCCCCTACTGGGGATCTAGCTCATAGCCCGGGAATGTGCCCTGACCAGGAATCAAACCCTGACCTCCTGGTTCATAGAAACATTCAACCAGGGAGCCACACCCGCGGGCAAAAGAGGTTTGTGTTTTATTGAGTTGAGGAGTTTTAAAATATATTCTGATACAAGTTCTCTATCTGATACATGATTTGCAAATATTTTCATCTACATTGTTTTTTTTTCCAAACAAGAACACTAGATACGTACTTCATTTTTTCATCACATTGAAGAAACATAGTCAGTGGCATAGTGGAGGGTGGAAGCATTGGGAGTAGTACTTTCGGTGCAAGCAATAGAGCTATATTATCTGTAGGGGAGGAAAAGTAAAAGAAGAAAACCAACTAAAAGCCAGTATGCATTTTATTATTCCCATGAACCAGCCATCATAAACAATGGGATGGAATTCTTCTCCCCCAGGCACACCCCTGTGGTACACCACTGGGTGAAGTGTCTGGTTGTCATATGCTTAGTAATACTCAACTGTGGGTTCTAGCAGCATCAGCCTGATCCTTCCATTATAAAGCTCCACATCAACATATTATCCAATGGTTGTAGCATCCGTTTACAACTGTGGAATGTTTCGATTATTTGTTTAGGGGTCTAAAATTATAATGTTCTAATTCTTTCATTCTTCATATTAGCTAGAATTCTTTAATAAATAAGAATGTTTTTCTCGTGAACCATTCGGTTTCTCTAAAATAAAATTCACACAGAAAGTAGTTCTTGTATGTTAGGGTAACTTGTCCTTTGTCTATAATTTGCAGATATTTTTCCCAGTTTACTATTTGTCTTTTTTTTTTAGTTTGCTATGGTGCTTTTCACCATGCTAAAAGTTTTTATTTTAATGCAGTCAAATTTTTCAGTTATTTTTTAATGTTTCAAGATTTTGAGTCATACTTAGGAGTGTATTCCCCATTCTCTGTTAAAAGGAAATCACTCACAATTCTCATTTGCTATGGCTTCTTCTTTGGTCAGTCATGTTCTTTTTGTTATTTGCATTTCTCTTACATTATGAAATATATGTCCTAACGAGACGCCTGGTGCATGAAATTTGTGCACTCCAGGGGGGGGGGCGTTTCCCTCAGCCCAGCCTGCACCCTCTTGGCAGTCCAGGAGCCCTCAGGGGATGTCCAGCTGATAGCTTAGTCCCCAGGGAGCGGGCATACACTGGCAGTTGGACATCCTTAGCGCTGTCATGGAGACAGGAGAGGCTCCCACCACTGCCACTGCACTCAGCAGCCCTGAGCCCGGCTTCTGGCTGAGCAGCGCTCCCCCTGTAGGAGTGCGCTGTTCACTAGATCATTTAGATCTCTAAACAATTTGGGAATTTATCCTAGTATGTTATAAAGAACAGATCCAATTTTATCCTTTTTCTATATGGCTGTTGATGTGTTTCCAAATATCATTTTTCTTTTCCCTTTTAAATAGACCTTACTTTAAGTACAAAGCAAAATTGAGCAGAAAGTAGCCTTCCTATATTTCCCCTACTCCTCCCCCCCCTACACACAGCTGCCTACACACAGCTGACCACCAGGGTGTGGTACGTTCATGACAATAGTTTGACACTCTATCACCTAATGCACATAGTTTTCTGTAGGGTTCACTCTTGGCATTGTACAGTCTTTGAGGTTTGACAAATGTATAAAATGACATGGCCACCATTATAGTATCTGACAGAATAGTTTCAGAGTTCTAAAAATCCTTTGTGAAAAAAATTAAAATAAAAATCCTTTGTGTTCTGCCTGTTCGTCCCTCTTGTCACTCTATTCTGGCATCCAGCAATCCTCTTACTATCTCCCGAGTTTGCCTTTCCAGAGTGTCATATAGTTGGAAGCATACAGTGTGTAGCTTTTCCAGATTAGCTTTTGTTCACTTAGTAGTATTCACTTAAGATTCCTCCATGTTTTTTCATGGCTTCATAGCTCATTTCTTTTTAGCACTGAATAACATGCCATTGTCTGGATGTACCACAGTTTGTTCATATATTCACGTACTAAAGTACGTCCTGGTTGCTTCTGAGTTTTGACAGTTATGGTTAAAGCCATTATAGATATTCACATGCAGGTTTTTGTGTGGATGTGAGTTCTTTACTCCTTTGGGTAAATACCCAGAAACACAATTGCCGAATCTTATGTTGAACATGTTTAGTTTTGTGAGAAAGCACTACACTGTCTTCTAAAGTGGCTGAACCATTTTGCATTTGCATCAGCAATGCATCAAGTTCCTGCTGCTCTACTTCCTCACAAGCATTTGGTGACAAACACCATCTGTTTTAAAAGTTCCTCTTTTTCCATACTGATTTGAGATCCTGTCTTCATTTTATACCAGATTTTAATATTCATTTGGGTCTTCTAGGTTTTCTATTTTGTCATGGATGTGTCGGTCAGCTCATGCACCAGTACCACACTGTTTTAGTTATGAAGGTTTCTGGACTTATATCTAAGAGAGTTATACTTCCCACTTTGCTCTTTTTCATACTTTACCTGGCCATTCCTGTTGGTTTATTCTTTCATAATAACTTTAAAAATCAAGGCATCTAACTCCAGATTAAATACAAACACCCAGTGCTCTTTTTATGGGAGTCCCCTCTTCCACCCTCCCTCCCCCCCGGCATTCACCACACTGTTGCCCATGTCCATGCATTCTCTCGTTTTTCCTTTTTTGCTCACTCCCCACAGCAGAGCTGTCCGCCTGCTCTCTATGAGTTTATACTGCAACTTGACTGAATCCTCTTGTGTGTAGTTGTTTTACCTTATCTCTTTGTGAATTTTCTAGACATATAAATATATCTTCTGCTAAAAACAAGTTTTACCTTTTTCCATTCTAGTTCTTGTGCCTTTAATATTTGAAATCTTGTGTAACTGCATTAGTTAATATATTCAATACAGTGTTAAGTGGAAGTGTTAATAATAGTCTTGTTCTCTACTTTATTGGGAATACTATTGATATTAAGTAAGAATCTGATTTTTGAGTTCACATACACACACACACCATGAATAAGTTACTATTTCAGCACTTTTGGTTTTTAAAGAGAGTAAGGTCAGGGCACACAGCGTTGCTGGAGAGTCAGCCTGTGTACAGTTGGCCTTGAATGAACATGGGTTTCTCAGTGAGAATCAAGGAGTACAGGGAAATGGAGAAGTCAGAAGCACCCATTGATTTCTATTTCATTGAGTGACGAGTGTTGTTGTTTTTTAATTTATTTTTTTCTTCATTGATTAACATGTTTGCGCCCAGTCAGTCACTGGTGATTGACACTATACTTTCCATCTGGAAGACAAAACAGGCTGGGCACTTAACATGTTAAGTATCACATGTGTGTCCTTATCCCACCATTGCTCCCTCCTCCTCCCCATGACGAGTATTTTTTAAACCACAAATGTGTGTTAGATTTTTGTCCAATATCTTTTCAGCATCTGTGAATATAACATAAATTTTCTTCTTATATATGTTAATATGATGAATTGTACTATTTGATTCTTTAATAATGAACCAACCTTGCGTTTGGTCACAATGTATTATCTTTAATATGTTATTGGATTCTCTTTGCTAATATTTTAAGATTTCTTTAATCTATATTCATAAGGGAGATTGGTCAGTCGTGTTCTTTTTGTTATTTGCATTTCTCTTACATTATGAAATATATGTCCTAACGAGACACCTGGTGCATGAAATTCGTGCACTCTGGGGGGGGGGGGGAGTTCCCTCAGCCCAGCCTGCACCCTCTTGGCAGTCCAGGAGCCTTCAGGGGATGTCTAACTGATAGCTTAGTCCCCAGGGAGCGGGCCTAAACTGGCAGTTGGACATCCTTAGCGCTGTCATGGAGACAGGAGAGGCTCCCACCACTGCCACTGCACTCAGCAGCCCTGAGCCCGGGTTCTGGCCGAGCAGCGCTCTTCCTGTAGGAGTGCACTGTTCACTAGGGGACAGCTTCTGCATTGAGCGTCTGCCCCCTGGTGGTCAGTGCGCATCATAGTGACTGGTCCTTCCACCATTCAGTCGATTTGCGTATTAGCCTTTTATTATACAGGATATCCCAGTGGTCGGCAAACTGCGGCTCACGAGCCACATGTGGCTCTTTGGCCCCTTGAATGGTCCTGCCACTTCTTCAAAACAGACTCACCCAGGCTGAAAACCAACTTCTGTGCATTGGCAGGAAGTTTCAATTGCACTGTTCATGCATGCCCACATGAGGTATTTTGTGGAAGATCAGTATGTGGCTCGCAAGCCACAGTTTGCCAACCACTGGGATATCCCATAAAAGACCATCAAGGAGTACATTAAGACCAGGAAGTCCTTAGAGTCTAATGTGATGACTATACTCTAAGGCAGAAATTTCCCTGGCACTGTGGCATGCCGGGCCGGTTGCTCCAGGTCTAGAACCAGTTCCCACTTTTATATTCTGTCTTTTGGTTATAAAAAAAAATTTCTGAATGCACAGCCTCTGAAAGTTCCTTGAATGAATCAATAGATAACATCCGTTCTCTCTCCATGGATGTGAGCCAGGGCTTGGATTTCCAGTGAGTACATTGCTAGGTGAAGCTAACTCTGTTAAACCTGAAGTTATGATTTCCACAGTAAGAATATTACATTGGAAGCTCCTCATTAATGCTATTGCAGTGTCTTCTCCCTCCTCCTGCATCAGACTTCCATATCCCAAGAATTATTCACAATCCTATGGCAGCAGCATTAATTTTATCTTACAGAGACATCCTGATCTATTTTAGATATTTTCACTAATTTGTTTAAAGTATAATTAACTAGACTTTGGTAGCAATATTAAGGTGAGAATGAAGGGCTCAAACATGCAAAGAAATCTTATTGTAATGTCGACTCTGTGTAATGTAAATCATCTTCTATCTTAGTTGTCCTATTACACATGCTTAATGACAGAGCAAATGCATGCTTTTATTAAAACTCTACATCATTGCTGCCATCGAAATTAGAATTTTTTTCTTATTTATCTCTTGCAGAGGACATAAAGATAAGATATTTGTGGTAAAGTGTAACCCACACCATGTGGACAGACTGGTTACCGTTGGGATAAAGCACATCAAATTCTGGCAACAAGCAGGTAATGCTGTTTGGGTTTATCATTTATGTGGCCGAGAGCTGGAGAAGACCTAACCATGTCTCTGCAAACTAAAATTACAATGCTCCTGAAAGCTATTCTCTTCAAAATTCACTCTGGACTGCTTAATGCCTAAGCTGTGAAACTTCGTGCACGCTATATGAAGCTATGCATATTCATCAGTATCTAGAAAGCTTTGGAACATGTTCTGCTGTGAAAGCAATTCTCTATATCCCTCCGATCCGAAAGCAGTCATGATGTTGGACTACTGAGCAGGAAGTAAAATGATCACACCTTGGTTGGGTGAATACAGGGAGGGTTCCTTTATCACTGAATTCAAAGAATGAATTTACATCCTGACACTATACCCAGAAAGTAGTCAAAATAAATATTTGTGATTATAATGTTGGTAATAGTGATGAGTACATAAGCATGACAAAACATATACTGATATTCTTCTCACCAATAAGTCATACCTGCTAACTAAAATTGCTTCTGAACTCTTAGTATCAGCTTTAATACCAAGCCCAATGTTATACTGGTCATAGCATTTAAAGCTGCTTTTTCCATGCTTCTGTTTTTCAAGGAAGGATACTAGCACTAGCATGTCAGGAGAGCCAGCCTGCATGGCGTTGTCTGGAGTGAGTCTGTGTTTCTCTGTGCTAGTCAGGAAGTGCAGGGAAATGAGAACTTCCAAGGGACGAATCTGATGTACCTTCTCCTACACAGTGATTCATTTTTCTCACCCCAAATCTGCTATGATAAAAACTGAGGCAAAACATATATGACATGTTTACATTTCACATTCACAGCTGGCTCTGTTTCTATTCTTTTTGCTCAGCATTCAGGAAGATGGTCCCACCTCCCCCAGACACACAGTCACTCCTCCCTCTGGCTGTCCCAGGCCTAGCACTGAACCTTGGTTGGACGATCTCTTGTTTGATTGAGATGCGTGTGATTATCGAGTCCCCTCTCCAGCCAGACCCTATGTTCCTTAAAGGCAGAAACTCTCTCTTCATCTTTATACCCTAGCGTTGAGCCTACCACAAAGTAATAGGAACTCAATAATGCCTGAGTGAATGAAAACCCTCTTATATTTTTGTCTATGCTATTTCATGCTGTTTTCATACAGCTCTGTGTATACACATAATGACACATTGGGCTTTTCATCGAACGTAGTCATTCTACACATTCATAGAAGGTGTCACTTAGAAATAAAACCACATAATAAATATTCTTGGTCCACTCCAGGTGGGGGTTTCACCTCTAAGAGGGGAATCTTTGGAAGTGTTGGAAAACTGGAAACAATGATGTGTGTTTCTTATGGGCGGATGGAAGACCTAGTCTTCTCAGGAGCAGCTACAGGAGATATTTTCATTTGGAAAGACATTCAGCTACTGAAGACGGTGAAGGCTCATGACGGGCCCGTGTTTGCTATGTATGCGTTGGATAAGGTATGGTACCTTTATCAGCATTCATTTCCCTCCTCGGCTTTCTAAAAGTGTCTATCAGTCTTAGGAAAGAAGACACCAAGAGAATCCTGTGTCTAAAAACAGAACTGTCTGAATTAGGAAGTGGTTGCAATGACCCTCTAGTCAAGAGAAGGCAGGGAGTGCAACTATTTTATATTTTCTCTTTCATTTATAATTATTTTTATATGCAATTTCTCCCCACTTTTTTCCCCCACACTTGTTCTTCCTGACTCTCATTCCTAAAGCTCCTTAAGAATTAGTGGTGAGATAAATGTAAACACGCAGAAGGATAAGAGACTTGAGAAACATTTCAGCATGCTCTTCTCCTCAGTGGCACAGAGAGCAGAGCCCTAGAAGTACCAAGTGGTTGGATTATTGTTCCATCCAACAAAAGTGATGTTGGTAACCAGTTTTTTCCTGCATGCTCATGTCTTGTTAACAGCTTTGACAAGAGTGTTAGAGTGAAGTCTTTAACAGCTGCTTTAGGATTTTTCAAAGAAACAAAACCAGTAGAATATAGAACATACACAGACACATACACACATACACAGTCATGTACGATGAGTCATTAGGTGTTTTTGTCCCTGCTCAGAGTTGTGCTAACAGAGTGTGCTTATGCAAACCTAGATGGTTGGGTTGTTTTAGTTGTTAAAGCTTTTTTTTTTTTAACTAGCAAACTTGTTTTTGGTTAAACTGCAAACTGCAAATGTTAGAAGAGATGAAAGCAGAATGCAAAAATTGATGTGATATAGTGTGTTTAAACTTTTTATTTCTTGGTAATTTAAGCTGACAAATCATGGAGAAAGATGAGGATATCACAGTATAATATACTACACTTAAATTAATTTGGGGGTTGAATCTCCCTGGGTGCAAAATCTATAGTATCTATAAGAATAGAATATTTAAAGTAATAAACTCAAAAACATTTTTCCTTGTAAACATCATTAAAATGAAATAAATTAAAAGTTTCTGAGAAAACAGAATGTGTTCCTCAGTATTTTTCTTTAAAAAAAGCAGACGACTTTCCCAAGAACAGTTGGTATATGTGATAAGTTGCCAGAAAGGAAAAGTGGTAAGGCCAAGAAATCATAAATTTAGAACAAGAATAAAGATCACTGTTCAGTAAAATACATCCAATATGTTAAGCTTTTTACTCTCCAGGTTTTGTAAAAATTAATCCGGATTTTAATTACTGTGGAAATTGATGTCTTTTGAACAAATTAGCAGGATCATTTTGTTATATGAAGTGCCTAATTCACTCTTAATAAGAAATAATGATGTTTTCACCTAGGAGTAATTATTTAGTTTAAAAATATTCAACAATCATTTCATTGTGGTATTAATTCACATTCATTCAGGAGGAGTATAGGAGATACCAGAAACTGCCAGACTTTGAGGCTGGTCCTGATCTGTAGGAACCCACTCTCTAGTCAGGGGCCGGGGCACAGGAATGGCCATGGCCCGGTGCACCCAGAGCCAGGCTATGGCCTGGAGGAAGTGCAATGGACACTGAGAATGCCCTTGATCTTACTAGAGAAGTAGGGGAGAGATGCTTCCAGAAGATATCATATTGCTCTTACATCTTGTCAGATTTTCCCAGTCCCCTCTACTTAAGAAGAAAACACACACAAAGCTGCTTTACCCACGGCGACTTTTGATGGGGCTGGGTGGGCAACTGCTCATTTCAGTGTGTATGTAATTCTTCCGTGTGTGCCTTCACAGGGTTTTGTAACGGGTGGAAAGGACGGCATTGTGGAGCTCTGGGATGATATGTTTGAAAGATGCTTGAAGACCTACGCCATTAAAAGAGCAGCATTGTCGACTAGCTCTAAAGGTGCCATCCCCAAATATGCAGTAGAAACCTTTCTGTTCATAGGGATGGAGACGGTAGCACTAAGGTTCCTGAAAAACCATGATCAAATCAGTTATTTTTCTTTTATGTTCAGAGCTCTAGGCCCCTGGTAGAAATGTCGAGGATGATTGCCTAGTTTTGTAACTATAAGAAATAGAATTGGATAATAACCTTTTTATTTTTATTTTTTGGTCTATTAAATACATTTCCTCCCCCTCAGGATTGCTTTTGGAAGATAATCCTTCCATTCGTGCCATTACTTTGGGACATGGACATATCCTGGTGGGAACCAAAAATGGAGAGATCCTGGAAATTGACAAAAGCGGCCCAATGACACTGCTTGTTCAGGTACCATGTTCGTATATATTCTAAACGACAGTTCACATCACAGCCAGACCTGGGATGAGGTGTTAAAGTGCAAAATTTAAACAGTAGCTTTTAAAACAGCACACATTTATTATTTCTGTGGGTCAGGAGTCTGAGCATAGCTTAACTGGTTCCTCTACTAAAGGTTTCACAAGGCTGTAGGGAGATTCATGGCTGCAGTCTCATCTGAGGCTCAACTGAGGAAGGATCTTCTCTGGATGTCACTCAGGTTGTTGGCTGAATTCATTCAGTTCCTTGTGGTTGTAGGACTGACATCTTCCATTCCTTGGTGGCTGTTGGCCAGAGGCCACCTTCAGCTTTTAGCGGCTACCCACAGTTCCTTGCCATATGGGGTTCCCCATCATGGCCCTTTACTTCCTCAAAGCCAGCAAGGGAGAGAGAAAAATAGTCACTGCAGTCTTATGTGACATAATCATATCATCACATACATGTAATCATAAACATCCATCACCTTTGCCATATATTTTTATTGAAAATAAACCATTGGTTATGTCATACTCAAAGGGAGGTGGTTATATAAGAGTGTGAAAATCATGAGCATTTTGAGAGTCACTTCAGTAATCCATCACAACCAATTTTTCATATTCTCACCCATTCAAAATTCCTTCCCTTCTCTCAGTCTCCAAGAGCCTTATCTATCTGTTCGAAGTCCACAATCTCATTGTCTAAATCTATTCCAAGTGTGCATAAGGCTCCACAGGGGTATTTTCTCTGAGTCTGTCAATCTGTAAAACTAACAAGAGGTTCTCTGCTCCACACACATCAAACATATAAGCATCTCTTTAGATTTTGTTCCTCACTGTATCCTCAGCCTTGATTCACAGAAACACACTACATACTCCTTACCCTCCCTCGGCCCTCAAGAATTATATTCAAGTAAAATCTGATTAAAATAAATATCAAAGAATCCTCAAAGATCAAAGAAATGATACAGTCTCACCTGAGTGTGTAGGACTCATCAATTTGGTGATGGATGGACCTGATTTATAGATGGAAGAGGCACAGGAGGGAGAGCATCTGTGTTCAGAAGGTGGAGTAGAAGAATGAGCACTCAGCACTTCTTTGCCTCCTCCCCCTGCCCTGGCCCATGCCTGTGGGCTTGCTTTATTAAGGTTGAGTCCCAAAATCTCACTGAGAAGGGCCCTTGGATTGGCTTCTTCCTGGGAACAGGTCTGCACACAGATCACTGAGAGGTTTTAGAAATGCAGGTGCTCCAATCTACAATATCCAGAATTTGGAAACAGCCTAGGTGCCCGTCAGCAGATGATTGGATCAAAAAACTATGGTACATCTACACAATGGAATACTATGCTGCCATAAAAAAAGAAGGAATTCTTATCATTTGCAGCAACCTGGATGGAATTAGAGAACATCATGCTGAGTGAAATAAGCCAATCAATGAAAGAGAAACACCACATGACCTCACTCATTTATGGATAATAAAGAACATTATAAACAGATGAACCAAAAAGATAGATATAGAGACAGTAAAGCAACAAGCAGACTGTCAAATTACAGTGGGGAGGGGAGGAAGATCTGGGAGAGATAATAGATCAACCGAAGGACTTGTATACATGCATATAAGTACAACCAATGGACATAAAACTCTGGGGAGGGAGGGTATGTATGGGAGGGAGGGAGGGGGGAAAAAAATCAATAAAATATATTTAAAAAAATAAAAAGTTAAAAGAAAAAAAGAAATGCAGGTGCTCAAGTCCTTCTCTGGGTGTCCTGAATAAGAATCTGTGATTTAAAAAAATTATGTTGAAAACAAACCTCCAAAGCTCTGTAGCTGACTGTGCCAGGCAGCAGGATTGAGCTGTGTCCTGGGTGTGACTGTCTTGTTCTCTAACTGCTCGCGTATTTGTTGTTTCTTGCCAAACTCATTTCTTTTTTTTCTGGCTATGACTTCTTATTTAATTTTATTGAAAAGCAAGTGTTTGTTTCAATGTAAGCAACTTAAAAGTCTTCTTAGTTCATTATTGATTTTTTAATGCCCATGTCTGAGACTTTAAATTGTTTTCATACATGCTATATTGTTTAATATTTTATAATTTTTTTTTTACCACAATATGATTTAAACACCATTCATTTCCTTATTTCTCAGCGTCTCTTTCCTCCCCTGGCCTGTCAGGCCTGTGCCATTTCCTCCTAGGTAGAACTCAGTGTTGAATGCAGTCAGTGTTGTTGGGCTCCTGCCGAGATTTGCCCTGTGCTGTGCAGAGGGTAGGGCCTTCTGTTCCCAGGCTCTCAGCTCATTCTGAGAAGAAGGATCTTCTTTTGAGGTCACGCAGGTTGTTGGCAGAATTCATTCATTTCCTTGTGGTTGTAGACTGACAGATTTCATTCCTTGGTGGCTGTTGGCCAGAGGCCACCTTCAGCTTTCACAGACACAGAGAGAGAAAGCTCAGGGACAGGAAAGGCAGCGTGACTAGGACCATCAATCAGCTAGCCTGCTGTGGGGAGATTTCAGGTCTGCTTTTCCAAGTTCAATAGCATGGTAATCCATTGTCATTTAGAAAACATTGCTTATTTTTAAGAGAAGGAATGCTATGTTGGGGGAAGAGAGAAGTGATGTCAGGTGATTTCTGACCATTTCCATTGTGTGCACTTTGAATATAGTCATCTCAGTCATGCAGCTGGGAGACACAGGAGGAAAGTAAGATCCCAAGCTCATTTCCTTGTGCCACTCCCAGCCTGCCTTGCTCACTGTCCATGGCTATGTTAGACAGGAGTTAATAGAATCGTATTAGATTAAGGAAATAAAATTTTTAAGTCAATATATGAAGCAGTGGTATGAAAGGGCCTTGGAGCTCCACAAACCTGTCCTCAAGCAAAATGAGCAAAAGGCCTTGGCCCATAAAAGAGCTCCAAGCAGCTCCAGGCTGGGGGCAAGCGGGGTTGGATGCCGAAACCATCCTCTGACTATGATCTTGGAGGTGGGAGGCTTCTGAAGGGAAGAAAACTAGGGATGTAGTTATTCCCAATGCAATAAACCAACAAACAACACTGGCACCCTTCAGCCCTCCACAGGTATTCGAATGTCACCTGAATTTGGATCTCTGTGTCTTCTGCCAAATTGCTGTTTTGCTCAAACAGCTTCCCAGTCCAACCATAATCATCTGACTTCTCTTCTAGAAAGCCACCTGTTCCCCAAAGCATTCCTACTCAATACATTTTCCTGACGCCTCTTTATGGTCTTTCTTTTCCTGTCACTGAGCAGAGCCTTTTTATAATTAGCCACTAAAAGTAGAAAATCAATTAGCACTCTGTCTTATTGCCCCATACAATAATCTGTTTACATGGCTTTGCTGAGAGACAAATTATAGGAATAGGATTTGTTTTCTCCCTAATTATTTTTAAACTAGTGTCCTGGTGCACGGATCCGTGCACATTGAAAGGAAATTAATTAGAAGAAATATTTTAATGTCGGTATTCGTGTCTTGCTAATGAAAAGAAAATAGGATTCTACCGAGTCTCCTATCTACCTTCTCCAGGACTTCTGTGAGGATCAAATGAGATGAGGCACGGGAAAACACTTCACAAACATTTGGTTAAACTGTAAAATGTTTGCATCTGTCTATAAAGCAAGTTGGGTTCCTGGGCTGAAGAAACTCCAAGAAGGCTAGTCACTAGGGAAATGAATCCATGTGTTGCTATGTGACATCATTACCTGGCACCCACAGTGACCATTTTTGGGCTCGGCTGAGCTGTGGGCCGCATATTGTGCCACAGGGTCTTGGCAGCGTTGGCTGCGATTTGGTGGGGTATCACTCTGGGGGTGTGGCAGGGCCTGTGTCCCACTTGGGGGAAGCCAAGTGTTGGTTTGTTGGTGCCAGGTCGATGGTACCATTTATTTTCAAATGGCCAGTGCGTGTCATGGCAGCTCCTGTGTTGAGCATTTGCCCCCTGGTGGTCAATGTGCATGATAGCCACCCGTTGGACAGAGACACTTAGCCTTTTATATAGATAGGTAATGTTTTATCTCAGTCATTATTCTAAGCCAGTTAAGTGTGTCTATGATAAAGGATAGATATGTGGAATTGGCCTGGAGCCTATGACGCACCTTCCAGCTTTCCAAAATCCATTGGTTAGACCAATTTGTGAGCAAATGTTGAACCCAGGACACTTGAAGTGAAAAATGTATCTGTCTTTATTTCTGTTCTGCAAAATGCTGTACATTCAAAGGATTGAAGTGGAAATAAATGGACAAGAATATCGCTGACTACTCTTCCAAAGATAGGGAGTCCCTGCACTGTTAGAATCTGGTTTTAGTGTGTCATTGTGATCCATAAACTGTGTCTTTTAAGGAGGTATATATGTATTTTGTGCTTATCTGATGTCAAACAACAGATTAAAATGAAGGCACTTCGTTATTCACCCAAATGTTTCTAAATGAAAAGACGTTTGCCATCAGATAAAACAAAATTTATAAGCGACAAATCCCTGTTGTACTTCCCAAAGGAAAGCTTTCGCATCCTGTCAGCCCAGCGTTAGATTCAAGTTCAAGTGAAAAGCATATTCACTGCAGTCGTTTTGGCTCCGGGGAGCTTTCACGGTGTTTATTTGTACTTGAGCCTGTTTGGAAGGCGCTTGGGCTGCGGATGCAGCACGAGGCTGCCAAGGAGCAAGCCAAGACACAGAGACCGAGTTGTTGTCCCATTTCCTCTCCGCAGGGCCACATGGAGGGAGAAGTGTGGGGGCTGGCAGCTCATCCTCTCCTGGCCATCTGTGCGACCGTGAGCGATGACAAAACCCTGCGCATCTGGGAACTGTCCTCCCAGCACCGCATGCTGGCGGTGCGGAAACTCAAAAAAGGTACCTGACGCCATCTTACACATCTGCAAGGGTATTTACACAGGATGGAGCGGGTTTGGTTCATCCGCTCATTCACCTGATAATTCACTGACCGCCCCTGTTGGTGCCCCCTCGTGTGCCAGGCAGAGGAAACTCGGTATTGGTTGCTGCGGTCATGCTTTCGCAGGCTTCACGTTGCTCCAGGAGGCCGGCCTGATTTGTCCGTGCCCAGCTTCGTTACTCGCCTGCTTTTACTTGCACTTCCCAGGCATTTGCCACCTGGGGGCAATATGTCCTTCCTCTTCTCTCCGAGAGGAGAGCTGTGTGTGTCCGTTAAAACACATCCGTTTGTGAAACATGCTGCCTAATTGTATGTCCAACCATCTCCAGAACTGGTTTTTATTACTGATAAGCAAAAAGTAATACTTAATATATTACTCCAGTAATACTCGAGAAATGAGTACATGTTATATGTATTGAACACCTGTGTGCACTAGAACTAAGAGGCATACCAAGTACAAATGCAGCGAATACTTAGGAGCTTCTGTGTGTCAGGCACGGAGGATCCAAGATGAATGGTCCCGTCTCTAGTGTCAGAGATGGACAAGATCTGAGCAGAGCCCCAGCAACAGATGGTGCATTCACATCGGGTAATGTGAGGAGAGCCTAAAAACAAGACTGTTTGTGCAGGGGTGGGTAGGGAGAGTGCAGCCCTGTGCAGCTATTAGCAGCTGGTACCTTCACCAGCCCTGGGCCTGAAAGGGCAAGGGGAGGGAGCGATTGCCGGAACCTTGAAAGTGAGAGCTGTGTGAGAGGCAGCCTGACAGCAGCTGTGACCATCAGCTGAGATTCAGCCACATGCAGCGACAGCCAGGGAAATCCTCTCTCCCTACTTCCCTCCTTTCCTTCCTCCCTCTTTTGTTTCCTGCCTATGCTCCCCCTTGGCCAAACCCAATCAGAAGCCAGAGGGCAAGAAGGCTCATTGATGCCGTCTGTAGAGGCCAGCTCCAGGCGCTGAAAAGGGAGGAGAGAGGGTGTGGAGGGGCAACCAAAGATAATCTGGTGCAAACCAGGTACCAGGAGGCGCAGAGAAAGGCCTGCTGCCAGGGTCGGCTTCATTGTGGACGGAAATGAGAGCTGAGGCCCAAAGGATTTCTGAGAGTAGAGACAGGAAAGGATGCCCTTGAGGTCTGGCGCTAAAGTATCTGTTATATAAGCAGAGAGACATGGGAGTGTATTCTAGGAGAAAACAAAGGTGTCAGTAGCAACAACGATGACGGTGGCTAATATTGCTGAGCCAGGGTCTGTGCTAGCACTCTGCATGTGGTGGGAACCCACTGAGTAAGGTCATTCTTGTTACCACTTAGGAATTAGGAAACGGAGGCGCAGACAACTTAAGCCATTTGCCACAAGTCTCACAGCTTGTAAGTCATGGAACAGAATTGAAACCCAGACCTTGGGGTTTCAGAGAGCACACCTGTGGCCATGGCATGGCACTGCCTCCTCCTCCCTTATTCCCCTCTTCCCTCTGCACACATGGGCGTTGGTTAATGGAGCCAGGACTCCATGCCCTTTACCACCACAGGGCTGAATCGTTTGGACGCTGACTTCTATGGGGGAAACGATGGACCGCATCCTCATCGTGAGTGGCTTGGGTGTCAGACAATGAACTTTATTCACCAGTTAGAAATCAGTTCAAAAGAACAGTTACTACATCATGTTAGATAAGACAACCGTCCAGCCCAGTTTATAGCTGTTGTCCTGGTGTAATTATTAATAGCTCTCCCTTTCGCTCAGAAGAGTCCTGCTTTGGATGATACGTATATGGTTAACTCAGTCTGGTGATCTCCTCAAGGGCAGGCCCGCTTCCTGTTCTTTCTGCACTAGCCCCAGCCCTGACTCACCACAGATGAATAACTGTTTGCTAAGCGAAGGGAGGAAGATATTATTGGTGAGCTGATATGAAGTTGTTGGTATGAGCATAGCTTTCCTCATCCCACCAGCAGTGACTGAGGAGTGTGTGTGGAAGCTCAGAGGGAACGTCTTAGCACAAGCATGTCAAACTCAAAGGCTAACACAGGCCAACTACATGAGGTGTATGGCCCATGGGCCGAAGTTAGGCATGCTTGCCTCCTTAGCACAAGGCCGACTGTCCCATCCCTGGGGCCATGCTTACCAAAGTCTTCAAAATAAGGATGGGGGGGGGCATATTCTTATGATTCCTATTAAACATACCCACCAGAGCCCATACTCCTCATTATACCTGTCTCCCTGTGACCCTACAGAATAGGAGAAAGTATTGCTCATGTGGCAGCATCAGCCATGGTTAGTTTTACATATGCCTCTTGAGAGAATGTTGTTCATAGTCCTTCCTTCCTGTGACAGAAGAGGCAGGAACAAAACATTTCACCTCTAGAATGGAGGCATCATGACCCACGGATCAGAGAACCGAGAGGTTCTCTAAAGCAAGTTTTACATGGATGGCATGATTTAAAAAAAAAAACACACACAAAAAAAACAGTTTCTAGAAAGTTTATTATAGAACGTCTGTCCTTAAGTATCACCTCGTTTCTTGGGAGCAAAGATACTATTATAGTTACATTAACCCTGTGGAAACCCCAGCTATGCAGATACCAAGAAAGGAATGGATATCCTCAAAGAAATTGAGATTGGGTGTTTAACACAATGGTCACTGTCCTTGGGTTTGGAGGGAAGAGATGATTAAATGATGACGTTTTGGTTCTCGCACGCCGTGCTACAGACACAGCCCATATGCATGCGTCAGCTCACACGCAGGTCTCGCCCCCTCAGGCCTGACGCGTGTGCTTCTGTGAGCCCGTTTGCAGGTGGAAGATGCTGTGCCTTCTCCCCCGACGGGAAAGCCCTTGCGGTCGGCCTGAACGACGGGAGTTTCCTGGTGGTCAATGCTGACACAGTGGAAGACATGGTCTCCTTCCACCACAGAAAGGAGATGATCTCCGACATTAAGTTCTCAAAAGGTAAAGGTGGCGGCAAAAGCTTTCGAAAACGCTTTGGGACAAAAAGTTACAGCAGTGGACCCTTTTCATGATCGCCTTGACATTTTCCCCATTCTAAAAACGCTACGTTCACAGACGCCAAGCCTTGCGTCAAATGCTTTGACAGTAACTGCACCTTCTCCTGCACAGACACCGGGAAGTACCTGGCCGTGGCCTCCCACGACACCTTTGTGGACATTTACAACGTGCTCACAAGCAAGCGGGTCGGCATCTGCAAAGGCGCCTCTAGCTACGTCACACACATCGACTGGGACTCGCGAGGTAAAGTATGTTGTGGCTTTTACAATACAGTTTGTTTGTTTGTTTTTAAGTCAGTGTTCATATTGTTTCTAGTGAGGCTGACAGTTGATTTTTAGAGAAAAACAGGGGAGGATCCCACAATAAAATGACTGTAATTTGACAACCCGGAGACAGCTGCTGTTCACATTTTGGGTATTTTTCATTATTATCGGTGTCACTGATTCCAGCCATGAAGTTGGAAGACAGTTGAGGATATCCGAAGCCTCTGTTACCCTCGCCAGCTACCACTTCCCTTTAAGTTCTGCTGGCTGTGTCCTTGCCTTGGTCCCTCCTTCCTGTGCTCCTTCCCTTCCCAGTGCTCCAACTCCCCCCCTCCCCCCCCCCCCCCCACTGCCCTGGAGCCTAAGCTGTTCTCATCCTCAGCACAGGTGGGGAGTTAGGTGCTACTTGCCCAAGTTTCTCTGTTCTCTAAAACTCCCCGCACCCCCTGCCTCCTCCGTCATGCCCACAAGCACCATGTGGACGTGCCTGTGTCCTTACCTGACAAACCTAGCTTCTGCCACGTGCCAAGTCTTAATTAAGCTGGAAATGGTGAGGGAGCTAGAAGTGTGAGACACGGTTCCCGCCCACCACCGCGTGTATGACTTGGTGAGGGAGGCGTCCTAGTCCCTGAATAATACGAGGGCACAGACGGGGGAAGGCACGCACAGAATGAGACATGGCGAGTCACCGAGGCAGGGGTGGGTGAGGCGGGCGGGGAAGGGCAGGTCCGCAGTGAGCACTGCAGGTGGAGTAGCAGTGCTACAGGGTGGGGCACTTCTCAGGCCCATCCTGGGGGGCAGGGGAGGCTGATGTTAGGCGGGGGCAGGCCTTTGGGAAGGGTCTGTGTTGGAAGAGCACCCAGCCCAGGGTGGGCTCCGAGGAAGAGCGCCTGGGAGAATCCATGTGACCTTCTAGATGGATCTTGAAGGATGAGCAGAAATTCACCAGATTGCAAAGTCTGGGGCAGACATTCCAGGCTCCAAAGGGACGTAGTGTCCCGAGACGTGGGAAGAACAGGGGTGATTAAGAAGCAGTGAGTAATGCTGAGTGGCTGAGGGCGGGAAGGGAGCGAGTGTGGAGAGACAGACGGAGACAGAACGGAAAGGAACGTGGAAAGGAACGTTGACACCATGCCACATAGGACAGGTGGACACTGCACTTTATCCTAGAGCTTTAGGTAACTCCAGGACACATGGACAGGGCACTTCCCACCAGCTTTTGGAGAGTGAGTGAGCCTAGAGTTTAAAGGCATCTAAAATAAGCCAGGACAAAGTGGGGAATGAGGACCTCAACCAAAAAGGTTATTTCAGAGATGCCAGAATATTTAAGTATTTCTTGAGGTAGGAACCATAAACCAATCCTTCTGCCAAGATAGGTATTTAGTAGCGACTGTGCTTGCCGCCCTGGAATTTGGACTTTATCTGAGCTTTACAACCTGCAGGCATATTTATGCAGTGAGCCAGATAGGAGGGAAGAGAAGCAAGTCCCAGCAAGGGCAAAAGGAGATCAGATAAGTCCCTCCCATCGCCTGTCAGGGCCATGCTGGACACGGTGCCGAGGGCTTGGGCTGGCAGTAGGGCCTGGGCCGGGCACCAGCCGCCTGAGGACACAGCGCCTGGCAGTCACTAAGAACCAGGAGGCTGACGGGGCAGGTGGAAGCAGCCACTTTGCCACCCCTCTCTTTGATATTCTCTGCTTTGTTGTTTGAAAAACAAAAGCAGTGATTTCTTCCTGTTTACTCTCTGGCTAACTTGCCTAGATACGCCTTCTTGTGGAAAAGTTTTAAACCAGTCAGGGCCAGCCTTATGTGGACATAGACTGGAGCATGGGGAATTTTGTTTAAAATTCACCACACACACACACACACACACACACACACACACACACTACCTGACACAATGTAAAATCACACCACTACAATGACCACGGGGGCTTAAAACCAATTATTTACATATTAGGGAGTGAAGAGCTACAAGAAAATGGGACATAGGAGGGATAAGTTTTGATCAAGAAGATTTCTTTAAAATTATTTAATTTTTGTTTGTTAATCCTTACCCAAGAATATTTTTCCCATTGATTTTTAGAGAAAGTGGAAGGGAGGGAGGGGAGAGAGAGAGAGAGAGAGAAAGAGGAAGAGAGGAATATCGCTCTGAGAGACAAATTGATCTGTTGCCGCCCACACACTCCCAACTGGGACCAAGGATCCAACCTGCAGCCCTTCAGTCCTTGGGGCGATGCTCTAACCACTGAGGATACTAGCCAGGGCTTTAAAATTATTAACTGTGAAAAAAGATGTGAAAAACTGAAAAAATATCTTAACCATTTTTCTTATTTTATTTTTCAGTTACAGTTTATATTCAACATTATTTTGCTTTAGTTTCAGGCATACAGTATGCTGTTAGACAGTCATATACTTTACTAAGTGATTTCCCAGTATGTCCAGTGCCCACCTGGCACGGTACTTGGTTATTATAATATTATAATATTAACTCTATTTTCTATGCTGTACTTTACATCCCTCTAACTGTTCTGTAACTACCAATTTGTACATCTTGTTCCTTCACCTTTTTCCTCAGCCCCAACACCCCTCCCCTCTTACCATTTTAAGAGTCCAGTCCAGTGGCATTGAATAAATTCACATTATTGTGCAACCATCATCTCTATCCATCTCTAGAACTCCTTTTGTCTTATAAAACTTAGAACTTCATTAATTCCTCTTTCTCCCTTCTTTAGCCTCTGGCAACCACCATTCCACTTTCTGTCCCTAAGAATTGGATTACTCTAGGTACTAAGAAGAGTCATACAGTATCTGTCTTTTTGTGACTGGCTTATTTCTCTTTGCATGATATCCTCAGGATTCATCCTTGTTGTAACATGTGTCAGGATTTCCTTTCGTTTTAAGACTCAACAGTATTCCGTAGTATGAACACACCACAATTGGTCCATCCATTCATCCCTCAGTGGGATCTGGGGCTTTGTCCACCTCTGGCTGCTCTGAACCTGGTGACAGTGCTTAGTGTGTACCCAGTAGTGGAATTTCTGGATCAAATGATAAATCAAGTTTTAAATGAGGAACCACCATGCTTCTTCCACAGTGGCTGCACCATTTTACATTCCCACCAACTTCTCCACATCCTTGCCAATGCTTGGTTATTTTCTGGAGTTTTCTGCTTTGTTTTATTTTTAATTTTTTTTAATTTTATGTCAGCCATCCAACTGGGTGTGAGGTGATATCTCCTTATAGTTTGACTCACCTCTTGAGAGAATTTTTTTTTTTTTTAATTCCTCAAATGTATAAGCCCTGGGTTGAATGTTAGCGAAATAAAGAAGAGTAAATCGCCCTGACTGGTTTGGCTCAGAGTGTCAGCCTGTGGACTTAAGGGTCCCAGGTTCAATTCTGATCAAGGGCATGTACCTTGGTTGTGGAAAAAAAAAAAAAAAAAAGGAGAGAGAGAGAGAGAGAGAGAGAGAGAGAGAGAGAGAGAGAGAGAGAGAGAGGTAAATGCCTTCTCTCTGGAAAGTGGAAAGAACAAGATCTTGGCTGAGATCAGGAGGGCCAGGGTGAAGGTCTATTAAAGTCACCCAATGTGGAATCGTCACCTTTGCAGGGAAAGAGACGACCTCACTATTTCCAAGATTCTGCCAAAGCCAGTGTCTGTGGTCAGGGGTGGTGGGAAAGAGACTGGGAGTTAAGATGCTGAGGTTTTCTAAAAGCCACCTTGCCTCTTTTCCTAAGGGGCCCCTTCAGTCAGATGAGAGGATTGGACCAATGGCTTCTAGGATTGAGAGGAGAACAGAATACTTCTGATTTGGGGGCAGGGGAGAGGGGGAAGGAGGGAGAACACCTCGAGAATAACAGCAAGTGTGCCCGTGAATCTTCCTTGGTTTATGTCCAGTTTCATTGTCATGCGATGCGTTATATTGGTATTTTTCTGTCCCTGATCTCTGTGTGCTGCAAATGCCTGCCCTCCAGAATGTGCCAGGCTGCCTCAAGACCAGCCTGGCTTTCACAGGGGAGCCTCGAGGGTCTGCCTGCAAAGGATGGACAGCAGAATTGAGGAGCAGGAATCTGTTTCATTCCTTTGATCTTGTCAAAAGAGGGAACACATTTGTGGGAGCCAGCTGGCTCCTCCCGTGGGGAATGGCGCAGCCTGCAGCCTCAGCAGCCTCTCGTGTCCATGGCAACCTCAGGTCCTAAGAAAATTAAAAAGTGCTTGGAGCCTTTGCAGGAACGGCAGCTACTTCTGACTGCAAGTGCCTGCACAGAATGCTTGAGAGAGAGAAATAATATATATAGAGAGAGAAAGAGAGAGGAATCATGGAGGGATGTGTTCTGGCTGCTAGTAGTTCATTTCTGGAAATATCAGGACTATGCGATCTTTCCACAATTAACAGTTTGAGCCACAACAGATCTCGTTCCCATTTTCATTGCCAATGGCCCGATGTGTTTGGTACAGTTAGCACCAATTTTAGAATTGTTCTAACTTGTACATAACATACCAGCTGGGGTGATGTGTGAGCATCGTTTTGTGGACTATAAAGCTCTATGTACCTGCAAGATGTGTGATGTCCTGTACCTGCTTAGAAATGAGGACATCTGTATCTTTCAGTTTCCTCATTCTGTGTGAGCAGACATTTCTAGTGAGTAAAAATGTGAGGATTCTGAAAGAATGGGGTTACTGTTATTCTGTTCAGGGGTGAATTATCTCTACATGGGTTATGCAACATTTTGCTCTGTTTCCGTTCTTGTCCTCGGAATATTTTAGTAGTTATATATTACACGGCAGCAGGCAGTGGGAAAAGAAATGACCTAAATATTGCCTCTATGCAAAAAAAAAAAAAAAAAAAAAAAAAAGACAATGAAATGATAGCAGTGAAGAACATTGAGGGGGGAAAAAAATACACACCCATAATTCCACCTTCCTAAGACCAATAGTTGACTTAAAATTTTATTCCTTCACGTCATTGGGTTGCAAGGAACCAGAAACCTACTCAATCCAGCATCAATTTAAAAATAATATTAAAGGATGAGTTTATGGAGAGACATAGGCATGTGGCATGGACTCCAGTGACAGGAAACGACATCTGCCTAGGAACTGGCTTTAGAAATGAACTGGAAAACCCAGAAACCAAGCCAGCAGGTCCTCTCTCCTCCTTTCCTGCAGAGTTTCAGTGTCTGCTTATGGCCTCTCTGCACAGATAGGCTTTCCCTAATTCATTTGCATGTGGCCTACTCTCTGTTGCCCCGGAATGCCACCCTCAGTCCCAAAGCTCACTTCTAATCACAGCACAGCGCCCACTGAGTCAGCCTCCAGATTCCAGTTTTCCTGGAGAGAGTCTGTCCAGCTCGGCCTCTGGGTCACGTGGAGGGCAGTTTTCAGGGAAGGGACCTGGGCTAGGCAGGTTCCCCTCCCCCACCCCCTCTACATGTGTCTCCCGTTCTGTGAAGCACTTCTCATACTACTCTCTCGTGTTTAGATTCTCTAATATTCTTATAATCCTAAAGGATTTCGCTGAGCTATTTTAAAAGTCTTTGGTTTATTTTTCTAAGTGTGATCTTTGAAACTGAGTTGTAAGGATCATCTGAGAATTGGAATCCTTTGAGTTTTGTTAGTATCCTGTGGCCAAAAAATCTTCTAAAACTAGCCATATTCAAAGAATGTTTTTATTGAATCCTTTTCCACGTCCTTTGTTACTTGCAATCCCTCTTGAGAGCCCTAAAATATATATTTGCTCATTGAAAAAAAAAATATTGGTTACTCGTTTTCTTATAATGCTAAATAGCCAAAGCTAATTTAATTCCCTTTTCTCATTTGTGTATCTGTGTTCAGCCAAAAGATCAGGAAAGTGCCCATTTCAGTGAAAACATTTTCAAATTCACTTGCTCCCCACAGCTAGGTCAAAACCCCTTCACTACCGTGTTAAACTCAGCAAATTATGAATGATTGAGGTTTTCAGTTATGAACTAAGAGAACCTTGTTTTTATTATTTTTTATCATTGTTTTACAAAAAGCTTTAAATTCATTTTTTAGGGAGAGGGAGGGAGGAACACACACACACACACACACACACACACACACTTCAATGTGAGAAAGAAATATTGATCAGTTGCCTCCTGCACACACCCTGACCAGGGATCAGACCTGTCATCTTTTGGTGCCCAAGATGATACTCCAACCAATGAAGCCCCACTGGCTAGGGCGAGGGCCTTGTTTTTAATAAGTCACTTAGAAATAGATCTACAACTCTGAAGGTTAGCCACTCGAGATTTCAGACCTAGGTAGTGCCCACTTGACATTAAAGAACATGATAATAAACCCCACAAGGTTCTTATTTTGGTATTATCTTTCCAAGAAGGACATTTTAAGACTACTAGATATAAACAGTTATGGAAAAACAGAAAGAGGGGAGATACTATGTGCATGTATAGACATGCTGAAGAAATACTATAAAGTGGATCTTTTTTGTCATTTAAATTTCAAGCCAGAAAGGATTATTGATGTGGTTGGAGGGAAAGTAGGAAATCTTATTTTTTTCAACGTTAATCAAAATGAACCCAAGATTATACATTTATATCCCAGTGAAAAACTATTTTTGCTCAACATTTTGTATTGGGAAAGTCTTGGATTTCTTTACAAATTTTCAAGTAAGGTGGGAGAGGGGAGGGGATTGAGCACTCATAGTTTATTTTGTGTGTCCTTATCTTCCTGTTTCTAAACTTGAAAGGGCACATTTAGAATTTAGACTGAAGGAAATGTGAATCCTTGCAGCAAGGCTCTCACTTCTGATGCCATAATTCTTGCCAAAGCCGTCTGTTCTTCCTACATCGCTGCTGGGAGGCATCAGGAAAAAGGAGCAAAAAGTGGATATTGTCAGGCTTTGGAAAAATGGCTACTTTCAATGCAACAGTAAAGTGTAGCAAACATGATTCTTCCATTCTTGAAGGATGTTCAAGGTCAGATTTTATTATGAGGTCCATATTCAATAAAATCATAGCTTTGGGATTTGCACCATGGCATGCAATTGCCTTTACTTCTGGAATATCTACCATGTATTTACTCAATTCATGAAACTTTGACTAAAATGAATAAAAATGGTTGCAGCCACTTTATAATAAAAGAAGTAAGTGCAGAGTTTAATCATCTCTCTACTTCATTCTGTCATAACAGGAAAATTATTGCAAGTTAATTCGGGTGCCAAAGAACAACTCTTTTTTGAAGCTCCAAGAGGCAAACGGCATATCATAAGACCTTCAGAGGTAACAGTTTGCACAAAGCTTTAAAATGTATATTTCATGAAGATTTAATATAACCAATCAACTCTTATCCACTCATATTTTTATTGTGGGTTATATTTTTAGTAAAACCTATCAGCTGTTATCCACTAATATGAGTTACATTCAGTGTACCTTTATGCTTGATCGTTTCTTAAATCTGGTTGCTTAGTCTGGTTTCCTGCTTTCTGGGGATTTATGGATTTCTGATACCAGTGAGGTAGCAATGTGCAGTTCAAATTCTCCTTAATTTTTCTGTGCCTGATGACTGACTAAGATCCTACATATTCTTAGCATTTAGATGCTACCTATTCTGTTCATCCCATTCAACATGTTGTTTTGTGCAAAGCTTCTTATAAACAAATTTTTGAAACATACGTTCTCAATGTTTACTATTTGTAATAATCAATATTTTCTGCAACAATAACAAGGCAAATGATCTTTCAAAGCAAAGCTATCCGCGATATGGCTATCCTGATTTATCAAACTTATTTCCCATTGTTTTCCTCATGTCCTCAGACCCATACATATTTTTTAATTGTTGAAATCAAAGCCTCAATAAAATGTTTGAATCTATGAATTGCCTCCTTCCTGAAAGCTAGCTGCACAGTGCTTCCAGAGAATGACTTTCATGGCCAAAAGGTCATTGCTCGTCTGAGCTCTAAGAATGTCCTATTAGTCCCGGGAGACAATCTGACTTATGTATTGGCAATGTAAACTTTGGTGAAAGAAAAGAAAATATTGCTTCCTTTGAGTGAAAGTGAGGAAAAGTGCACTACTGAGGGATAAGAAACTGCCTCTCTCTTCAGTTTGCCGGTAATATAAACTATCCCAGTATTGTCAAGTAGTCCTGGAGATAATTTCACACACACACACACACACACACACACACACACACACACACACACATACACATTCATAGTGTTTTCCTCATTTCTAAAGGAAGTCTATGTGCAGTTCTTAGGAAAACAAGTTGTTGTACATGAGGACACCGTATTAATGGAAATTGTATACTGACCAATTGGTCTCACACCCCCAATTCCAATTTATTCATCTCTGACCAGTCTTCATTTTAGCTTTTAAAAAAAATAAATGTATTGGGGGTGTGATTGCCAATAACATTATATAGGTTTCAGGTATACAGTTCTATAACCTATCATCTGTATATTATGTTGTATGTTCATCCAAAGTCTCCCTCCGTCATCATACATTGAACCCCTTAAGCTCTTCATCCTCCCTTCACCCCCTTTCCTCTCCAGTAAGCATCATACTGTTGTCTGTGTCTATGAGTTTGTTTTGTTTTGTTGGTTCATTTGTTGCTTTTTGTTTCATATCCCACATATGAGCGAAATCATATGTTTCTTGTCCTTTTCTGTCTGACTTATTTCACTTAGCATGATAGTCTCAAGATCCATGTGTGTGGTCCCATATGGAGAAACATTTATAGCCTCGAGTAGGGGATATTTTTAATTGTGTCATTCATTCCCCAAACATTAGATGAATGTGCCAAGCACATCATATGCCTGCATTTTAATTTTTAACAACAGCCTTGTGTGAGGGTTGTCAATATCATTTTACATATAGGGAAACAGATTCCAAGAGAATAAGAAGACCATGGAGCTGTGATCCCAATCTGGAGGGTTCTGTGTGTAACTCTACCAGGATATCTCCTATATATTAGGCATCATTTTTACATCACTTCACCTTTATTTTCCCATCCTGTTCCAGTGCCCCCAAACAAGTACACTAAAATAATAGTGCAGTTTAACCAAATGATGTGTGTGGGGGGGGGGGAGCAGGGGAGAGGATGTAACTTGATATAGATGAACAATTATTATGTAAAAGAATACACATAAGAGGGAGATTTGTGTCATAAGGCTTCCCGAAATGCTGTACATTCATATCTGTATGAACAGCTCTTCGGAGAGTCTCTCCAGAGCGTAAAGAATATTGAGCTAGCTGCAGAATCTGATTATTCTTTCCTCCAAGGAAGCATTCCATAAAAAAATAAAAAGTTATGTCTTGTAACTTTTAAAAATAGTTTGCTAAATAATCAGTCTCATTGATCAGTGTGCTCAGTGGTTTCAACTGGGAGCAAGGACCCCAGGGTCCTTGGGGATGTCTGGGAACAACTAGGGGAGGGGATGCTACTGGCATCTGGCGGGTGGAGGACAAGACTTCTGCTACACATTTTACCATGGACAGGACTGCCCCTGGCAACAAAGGATTGTGCAGCCCGAAATGTCTATAGTGCTTTCACTGAGAAACCCTGATCTAGCTTATATGGCTTATCTATAATAAAAGCATAATATGCTAATTAGACCAGACATGCTTCCAGACAACCTGCCGGACGAAGCCAGGGCTGTGAGGGAAGCTCGGGTCCCAGGTATCTGCCTGTGGCCAGAGGAAAACCCTTGATGGGCCCTGATCACCGGCCAGGCCTAGGGACCGCACACGTGCACTGGCCCTTTAGTACAATGATACATATCTAGGTAAGAACTAAAGAATGTTATCATCAGATTTCCATAATTCCCCAAATGTTCATCCTATCTAGAGATGGCTGTGTGGATATTTGAGTGCAGTACTGGTTTATTAAGACAGTGCATGTGGCACTTTAAAATGCAACTTAGAACCGTGTGCCTCCGCACCCAACACAGGTGCCTGATGTGGGCGGAGTCATCATTTAGCGCTAACTCAGCCTCAGATGGTTCCTTTGAAACAAAACTTAAGGTCTCCAGGCTGTGCGAAAATTCATTCATCTTCTTTTCCCTCTTTTTGAGATTGAGAAGATCGAGTGGGACACGTGGACCTGCGTCCTGGGCCCCACCTGCGAAGGGATCTGGCCCGCACACAGCGATGTGACCGACGTCAACGCCGCCAGTCTCACCAAAGACTGCTCCCTCTTGGCCACGGGAGACGATTTTGGGTTCGTCAAGCTTTTCTCGTATCCTGTCAAGGTAATATTGCCCTTTATTATATTAGAAACTTGCTTGGTTTCATTAAGCACCCCAAATCCACGTACCATTCCTAAGTGGATTTTTAAATATTGAAGGCATACCTGTCAACAGTGTTGTCTACAGTGCCGTCATTATTTAAGCTCTATAAAGACCTTCGTGTTGGTATGTTTACCAATTGGAGTCAGTCTGTGGCATTGCATTTCTCCTGGAAAGGCCTTCATTGGTCGTAAAATCCAACGCCTCACGGAACGGCAGGTAAGAATTGTCTTAGAACCTCTTGGACCCGTGTCTTTCTAACATGTACTAGCATTCTTCCCGAGATGAACTCCTTTCCTCCCAGAGCAGCCCATTCATTTAAAATAGTTCCAGGTATTAAGACATTTCTGTTCTATATTGAACGGAAATGTTTTCTCCTTAGCCAACGTTCTGCCTTCTGAATCATCGTTGGTTAACGCGGGTCCTCTAACAGCCTCAGACGCAGGAGGGCCAACTTTGACTTCTTAGAGCTTAATTCTCTTCCCCATTCCCCCTTTGACATGGTTTCCAGCTGCCTCTCCCTTGAAGCACACTCCATTTTTTTTTTTTTTTTTCCTTTTCAAATGGTCTCATCTAAGACTGAGCTCAGTGCTTCCGATGTCATCTGAGCCGCTCAGGGTACAGGGGGACTTTCATCTTCTTGTCTTGATTTTATATTGGTTTTAAATTAAATTAAAATGGCATCAGCTCTTGGCTGCCTCACTATGTAATCGAATCATAGACATCATTGCCCAAGATGTTTAGGTTATAACCCCCATCGTATACAACTGACTTTGTAAATTCTGAGGACAGAACTTCCTGTTTGTACCAAATAAGACTTATCTTGTTTATTTTATCTCCTTGTTCCAGCCTGTCAACATCTTTTAAATGCTTTCTCAGAGTGTTTACTTCCCCTTCCAGACTCTTGTCATCCTGTGATTTCACCAGGGTGAGCTCTAAGTCATGGGAAAGAAAAAAATACAGACTAGAACACCCAACTGCCTCCGCCAGGAGCCCCCATTCAATCTGGCATTCTGTTGTCCGTGCACACATTTAATGTCAGTTCTTCAGTCAGAAACAGACGTTCACCTCTATCTGATGGTGCTGTATTGGACCTCACCTTTCGCTCTCTCGTGCAACAAGACATCACTACAGACTTGGCACATACCTTGTGAAAAGCCAGACTGAGAGTGTCTCTGGGGTCCCCAATCTCCCCTGCCAACAAACCAATGGAACACGAGGGGTTAGTTCACAGGGAAGCCCTGCCGCAGCCCAGTAATCATTACTTCCTTTTCCAAGTGCTTACAAGACCTTCTGTGTAACAATTCATGCTAGAACTTTCCAGAGATTGCATCAACTCATGAATCAATATTTGCCAGAGTCCACTTGTTTTCCCTTTTAGATACAGGAGCCTTTTCATGTTCAATGTCGCCTCTCCTGGTTTCTAAACTCGTAGGGCATTCCTGCTTTTATTTCTGTGGTCACATTGCGAGGGACCTGTACTCGGGTACATGCGCCCTGCTTTGTCCTTCCTGGTTCGAAGAGCATTCTCTTTAAGGCAATAAGTCTGCTTTCTGTTCATCTTAAACTATCTGACCTAAAAAGTGTTCCTAGTGTTTCTGTATTTTTCTTATTAGCCTTATATACAGAAAATCCTTTTGGGTTTTCTTAGCTTCCTACTTCAATATTGTAAAACTGTATCAAAGTTGTCAGTGTGAGACTTTTGTGTTCATCCTTGTTTTTCACTCCTCTCTTCTCATTTGTGCATTTACCTGACACACCAGTTCCCTCCATAGCCATTTGGGTATTTTTAGATGCCTTCCTCTCTCCTCTTTCATTCGTTATATCTGGTTAGGAAGTAATTTTTGGTGGTCTTTTCTGAGATTCACTCCCAGGGATCAAGGCAGTTACCAGCTCTTTATATTTGATCCGAATTCCCTTTTACGTAGCAATATTCCTTGCTACTTTTACATTATTTGATATGAGACTGGCATTAGTAGACGAAGGTTTGGGCCTATATTCAAATAGCTGAACCCCCCCAAATGCCCCTGGGCGAGGTTTATTGTTGGTCCTGGAATTCATCACCCCCATCTCAGCCTGACTGGGTGTGCTGTCTATAGTAATGTCACCCTGTGTTCCTCAGGGACCACCCCAGGAAACAGAGGAGGGGGCAGTGGGAGGGGCCTGGGGCCCCACCTCTGCTTCACCTGGTCGCTGTGTTTTGTATTTCATATATTGATTCTCTGTGTAAGGTATTTTTACAACAGTTTATTAAAAAAAATTTTCAAACATACAGGTAAGGTGAAGGAATGATACAGTGAACTCCACCACCTACAGTCTACAATTCAGCGTAGATTGTGGACATCAGGATACTTGTCCCTAATGAGTTATTTTGCATATCATTACCTAGAATTCAACGTTTATTTGTGGTGTATTTTAGGTAAAACTTATATACAATTGTAATGCACAAGTGTTAAAGTTCCTTTTGATGAACTTAGATAAACACAATTATGTAATCCAAACACCTGTCGAGACACACATTGTTGTCACCCCAGTAATTTTCTTCATGCTCCTTCCAGGCCAGTCTCTACCCCAACTCTATCCTCAGATGGAAAAAAAAAAATACTCCAGTGTCTTTCATCATAGGTTAGTTGTACCTGTCCCAGAACTTCACATAAATGGAAATGGAATAGTCAAGTAGTTGCTGTTTTGTGTCTGGCTTCTTTCACTCAGATGCTGCTTCTGAGATTCCTGCATGTTGTTGTGGGTAAAAACAGCCAGTTATATCTTTATAGCTGATTGGAATGCCACTGTATGGACACAGGCACTTGTTTATCCACATGGCTATCAGCGGACACCTGGTTTTTCCACTGTTCGATTATAATAAAACTACTATGAACGTTTATGGACAAGTCTTTGTGGGCATATGTTTTCTATCTCTTAAGTAAATACGTAGGGGTGAAATTTCTGGGTCATAGGAGAAAATGTGTGTTTAACTTTTTAAGTAACTATCAGATCTTTTTCCACTTTCCATTCCCACCAGAAATATAAGCAAGTTCTAGCTGCCAACTTCAGTATTGTCAGACTTGTGAAATTTAGCTGTCCTGGGTGTAGGTAGTCTGAGGACTTTGTGTTTGTAATTTGCATTTTCCTGAGGACTAATGATGCTGAGGGCTTTTCATTTGCTTATTGGCCATTTGTGAAGTACAGATCCTTTGCCCATTGTTTTAAATTGGATTGCTTACCTTGTTATTCTTCAGTACTGCCTTGTAACATTTGGCTGAAGAAATCGTTTCATAATTTAAAAGCATTCGAAAACCATTCGCTAATACAAACTCCTTGATAGTTATCACTTCTCTTCCTCCTCTTTTAAAAAAATATGATTTTATGGAACACTTTTCCTTCCAAATACATAGATCAAACTTGATGAATATTTCCTCCTGTCTATTTACACTCCCCCACTGCTCTGGGTGTGTTTAGACAAAGTTCACCATCTGTTATGGACTGAATGTGTCCCAATCAAAATCCAAATGCTGAAGCCCTAACCCCCAGTGTGACTATATTTAAGAATAGGTCCTTTAGAAAAACAGGTAAGGCTAAAGAAAGTCATAAGTATGGGACCACGATCCAATGGGATTAGTGCCCTCATTAGAGACACCAAAGAGCACATTTTCTCTCTCTATGCACCAATGCACCCAGGAAAGGCCATGGAGTCCACAGGGAGAAGATGGTGTCCATAAGCCAGGTAGAAGGCTATCACCAGAAACCAAACTGACTGGTACCTTCACCTTAGATGTCCCAGCCTCCAGAACTGTGGGAAATAAATTTGTTGTTTAAGCCAGCATGTCAAATTTTATTATGGAAGCCCAACTGGGCTAAGACAGCATCCCATTGCAGTATTCTAGCATTGAGCTCCATGTCATCAAGTGTTGGTGATACCTATGAGATCTAATCACCACACATATCTCTTTGTGTCCAAAGATCAAGTTCCATTTGTTAGACTCCAAAGTGATATCTTCTTCTTGGCCCTTTTCCTAGTTCTCCCTTCCTATGAGTTACTAGGCATGTCTTCCAAGCATTTTTCTTTTATGATAATTATGGGTCCTTATAAGTGCTGCGCCAGCACAGCCAAGGGTTCTGCGAGCCTGAGGGAGGGCCGGTAAAGGATGAAGAAAAGACATATAAAAAGAATAAGCTGGGTCTAAGTGAATCTTCTGTGCCTGGCTGAGGCCACAGAACAAATCCAGGCTGTAAGCTGATGGTTTATAGTTAGAGGTAAATAAGGTAATTTACAATGTTCCTGTAAGTTTCACTTATTTTGGCAGCACTTGCCACAGCCCATTAGCTACCCAGGAAAGATCTAGGGAACAGTCACAAGATCAAGCTTAATTATGCTTAGAGGGCTGTGCCCTCCAATCTGGGACTTGTTTGTGACATTGCCAGCAGGTCAGTCCTAGGCTCCCTACACTTATATATTCAGTTTCACAGTTTAAAATCTCTGTGATGACATTATTAGTTCCCTGACAGTCACATGGTTTCCAGCCTCCATGAGATAGACTCTCCTTTGCCAGAGCCCACCCATTTTTCCAGTTAAACCACATACAGTTCTGTCCTTCGACGCCATCTCTTATTGCTTCCCACATCCGCCCTTCTTTTTCAAAGCTATGCCTTACATAGACTGGAGAGGTTAAAATATCACCATGTCTTCCATTCTAAAGCTACACCACCTGGTTCAGGTGTTGGCTGTGATATTTATTAACTGTTTGACTTAAGGGGAATTTCTTAGAATCTCTGTGACAGAGTTGGGCCCTCTGTAAGGTGGGACCAAATCTTTCTCTACTTGGATACTATGCCATTATACAAATTAATACTTATAAACATTTAGAATAATGCTTACCATATGGGAAGTCTCCCAAACTTTTACTTTTTACTATAGTTATGTCATTTTTTTAAATTCTCACCTTTTTTTTTTAAAGCCTCTGTGGACTTTGTCATTCCTAAAGATGCTACCTACTCATCTAGAAATTAGCTGTAATATAGTGTGTAGTATCAAGAACTTGTATGTTGATGACCCTTTGTTGAATTTTTTCATTTGTATATTTCTTTTCTCTCTCACAAAATTGTAAAATTGCCAATAATTTAGCAACTTCATATCCTCCACCAGAAAAGTGTAATAAAGGAAACGTAAGGATAAAAAAATATATCACCATGTCATTTCCATTTTTAAAACCCACCCTCAGGTTCTTCTGTTTCTTTCTCAGAATGTCAAAGGCTCAAGAGAATTTTTAAAAAATATATTTTTATTGATTTCAGAGAGGAAGGGAGAGGGAGAGAGAGATAGAAACACCAATGATGAGAGAGAATCATTGATCAGCTGCCCCCTGAAGGCCCCTTACTGGGGATAGAGCCTACAACCTGGGCATGTGCCCTTGAATGGAATCAAACCTGGGACCCTTCAGTTTGCAGGCTGACACTCTATCTACTGAATGCTCTATCCACGAAGCCAAGCCAGCCAGGGCTCAAGAGAATTTTTAAAGAGAGAAAGAATGGTTCTTCAAAGAGGCAAGTTTTTCATACAGAGAAACTGTATGAAATGTTATGACTGGGGGGAGAAGAGGGTACATAATTTCCATCATATTCTCAGAAATTACTCACCTATAAACAGGTCACTGCTCTGGGGACATATTTCAGATTTTCCATGTTTTTTTTTTATAAATATGTTTTTATTGATTTTCTTAGGAAGGGAGAGAAACATCAACGTGAGGAAGAAACATTAATCTGTTGCCTCCTGTACACACTCCAGCCCACAACTTGGCCATGTGCCCTGACAAGGAATCGAACTTGTGACCTTTTGGTGCACAGGATGATGCTCAACCAACTGAGCCACTCTGGCCAGGGCAGGTTCTCCACTCTTTCAGTATTGGGTGGAAGAGGAGAGCCGTGGTAGTGAATCCTGATGGCTGTAACTGAGCTGCAGGGTTTAGCATGACGACCCAGAAGGACAGTACTCTGACTGGCTCTGCCAGCTCTTCAGGAGGCTCCTCTCACAGGCCCTGAGGGAATCCCCCAATCACCCCTGCCCGCCTCTTCCTCCTGGGGAGCAGCTGGTTTCCTGGGACCTTCCGAGAACTGTGAATTCCTTTTCACTGTTCCGTGGAGCAGTAAGCTTGCTTCCTATTGTGAGAATCTTGAATCACCCTTTGCTGGAATTGACTCGGAAACTTTCCCTTTTTCTTACCCCTTTGGGCCACTTTCTTTGCCTCTGCAAAGATTCGGATTGATCATCTTAAGATATTCCTTCTGCTCCTCCCCCCACCCCAACCTTTCGTTTTGGATTCTTTTTTCCACCCCCATCTAAAGTCTCTGTGTTCCTTCATGTGAGTGAAAGTATGGAGAGGCATTTCTCCAATTCTCTCACTTCCTCCTCCTCTCAAGAACCCAGGTTGGCCGGGACTGGTTTGGCTCAATGGATAGAGCGTCGGCTTGGGGACTGAAGGGCCCTGGGTTCGATTTCGGTCAGGGGCATGTACATTGGTTATGGGTGCATCCCCAGTGGGGGGGGTGTGCAAGAGGCAGCTGGTCGATGACTCTCTCTCATCAATGTTTCTGGCTCTCTATCCCTCTCCCTTCCTCTCTGTACAAAAATCAATAAAATAAATATATTTAAAAAAGAAAGAAAAGAAAAGAAAGAAAAGAAAAGAAAAGAAAAGAAAAGAAAAGAAAAGAAAAAAAAGAACCCAGGTTGCACGATGGGTGGTTCTTGTTTCTTGTTTCCCGCAGGAAGACGGGCAGGACCCACAGCGGCAGCCACCCTCCGGGTCCTGCCTGTCCTCTTCGCCTCCGTGCCACTGGGTCTCATCTGGTCACACGGTGGTTCCCAGGGGGAAATCCGTATCTGGCTCTGCCTGTTCCCCCTCGTAAGCTAGTGGCTCTGGAGGGCTTCCTGGAAACGCTGCCCACCTGCCTGCTTCCCTTATCCTCTAGACGCAGCACTCTGCTGAGGAGTGGGCGGGGCACTCTGCTGTCTGTAGGGTCGGCCAAATCCAGAGCCATCAGACCAGGAGTCTTTTAGAGTCACACACGCCCCTGCACCTGTCGCCTGCCGCCTGCCGCCTGCTTGGCGGCGATTCCAGGTTCCGCAGGGCGCGGGTCCAAACCCCTCGGGGAGTCTCTTGTCCGTTATTGAGTAAAGCGTTCATCTGGGACATGGATGGCCCTCCCAGGACTTCAGAAAGTTTCCCACACTGCGAGGTATTCCCCGGGAGTGGCCAAGAGGATGGAAGGACTCTCCCTTTTTAAATGGCTCCTGCCGGAGCTGTTTTTGCCAGCCAGAGTCTGGCTCCTGAGCCAGAAATTCAAGCCGGCGTTCGATGTCAGCTGCAAATCCCCGTCACTTGTCAGGGCTGCCCCTGGCGGGCGGGCCGGCCGGCCGGCCACGGCTCACATTCACTTGTCCTTCCCCTCCCGGGATAAGCCTCGCGGGGCCTGGGCGGCCACTCGGAAGAGCGCTCAGAAATTACTAATCACCTGGGCTCTGATGACTTGGATGTGTTTATTGAAAAGCAGCTTGCTTTGTTTTAAAATCCATTAGTGTTTCTGGTGTTAGGGATTGTTTCCAGGGCCCCTGGCAGACACCGGTGTGTGTGTTTCAAATCTTCCTGAGGCCCCAGGATTAGACGTCCCTTGCTGGTCGGCCACAGTCTGGGCTGTGGTACAAACGCCGCCACCGTGGGGAGCCACTGGGAGGACACCTCTGGTCTCAGATGTCAGCCAGGCTCACAATCAGGAGTTTATGCCAGAGGCCCGAGGAGAATCTACATTTGATATTTGAGAGAAACAAAAACAAGCTTCTTATTCTTCTTCTTACGCTTCCAGAAATAACTTCTATAGTCCCCCGCTTTACTTGTCCCCTTACACATTATTTATTGGGGCCCTGTGATGAGCCAGGGAATATTTTAGGGGGAAATGAGACCCGTTCCCTGCCTCCATAGAGCTTACAGTCCAGGAGGAAGGCAAGGGAACCACTGCTTAAATATTTTCATTCGTTCCCAGTAGAAGCCTCTCTGGAGAATAACGTGGATGAGATAATAACCCAGGGACAGGAGCAGCGGGGCTCCCAATGGGGTAATGGCCAGTTTCCGGCTTCACAGGGCCAGCACGCGCGGTGCAAGAAGTACGTGGGGCACAGCGCCCATGTCACCAACGTGAGGTGGCTGCACAATGACTCCGTGCTGCTCACGGTAGGGGGCGCCGACACGGCCCTGATGATCTGGACCCGGGAGTTTGTGGGGACGCAGGAGAGCAAGCTGGTGGATAGCGAGGAGTCAGACACAGATGCCGAAGAGGATGGAGGTGAGTCCCAACAGCCCTGTGCCCCCCCCCCCCCGTCCTCCCTCCCCACCCCTTCCTGAGCCAAGGCAATCCAACTCCTCTCCCCCTCCCCCCTTTTTCTGTCGGTTGGAGGCTACGACAGTGATGTTGCCAGAGAAAAGGCTATCGATTACACCACCAAGATCTACGCCGTGAGCATCAGGGAGATGGAGGGCACCAAGCCACACCAGCAGATGAAAGAGGTCTCCATGGAAGAAAGGTATGGCGTCGCCAGGTTTGTTGGCCTTTGCCATACCTGACGACGGGACTCAGTCAACCACGCACGGTGCATTTTCTTTGCCCTCCAGGTTGCTGCCTAAGCTAGTCTCTTATGTGTATGCCCAGAGTCTTAACCTGCACATGAGCTTAATTTGGGGAAAGGTGCCCACAGCCCTCAATCTATGGCAAAGGGTGGGTTACTCTTTGCCAAAGGTGTTTATGGAATGACTTGAACAGACAGGACATTGGGTTGGACAAGGCTTCCCTGGCCCAGAGGGGATCTCAGGATAGCCAGAAGATGTTCTGAATGGATGGGTATGCTGATTTGACAGGTAGGAGGGGGGCGGGGCGGGCTTCTGGGGTCAGGAGGGAACATTTGAGGGTGTGACAACAATCCTCCATTCTAACCGGGGTCTGCGAGTTACTCTGTGTCACGCGGCGTACCTTCTCTTACTGTCTTCGCCTGCCCACATTCGTTCAGGTGTGTTTGGCAATTCCAAACCTATTGATTTTGCGGTCTTGGATCCTCTGTGGAGAACAGAAGTTGCTGGCATTATTTTAGGCCTTTTTTAATGTGTTATTTGTAGATTATAATTGTAATCAGTAAGACAAATGATCAAATGTTCTGTCATTTGTTTAAAAATTTTGTTTAAATTACTACTATTACTCAATTTGCCAGATTCATAGTAGGGAGGATACGTATTTGTATAATGACTTTTAACAACTAAAGAGAATTTCATGGATCTCAGATGTTTAAGAATTCTCTTTGGGCTCTTTGCACTGACGGATACCCTGATGTCTGTAGTTGATAAGACTCGTTTTTTGCACTCAGTATGGCTTTCTGGCCATTAATAACTATTTAATGATAGCACCTTTTGCTATTAGGTGGGACTTATGATACAAAGAAATAAAATGTCACTTCCCCTCCTGCTTCAGTTGAGAAAGGGTGGGTGTGCTGCAGGCAAGAAGACAGAATCTGATGTGAATAAAAAACGTAATTCTTCCCTAGAATCTTTGCCAGATGCTATTACAGAGGCTCAGACTTCTCTTTTGATTTTTTAAAATTATATAGGTATTTCTGCAGCATTCTGTAAATTATAGTTAATTTTGCTTGCAATGTAGTTTTTGAAAAGAGGCAATCAATGTGAAGGACTAATATTAAGAACCAAGAAAAGAAAAAAAACATATACACTATGAGTATGTCATGAATATGCCTTCCACTTAATCTACTTGAAAGATCATTTGGCAGCTCTAGTTGGTTTGGCTCAATTGTTAGAGCATTGGCCTGGGGACTGAAGGGCCCCAGTTTCGATTCCAGTTGTGGATTCGATCCCCCAGTAGGGTGTGTTCAGGAGGCAGCCAATCAATGATTCTCATCGTTGATGTTTCTGTCTTTTCTTTTCCTCTCTGAAATCAATAAAAATATATATTTAAAAAAAATTTTTTTGGCATAAATTAAACATTCTTTTGAAAGAAAATTACCCAATCTTTCCAATTTCACATGACATGATGTAATGAGTTGACTTGGCTATTATTCCAAGGTTGCTGTGGGTAATGTTTACAGCCAGTGCTTGTTGACTGGCCCCTAAGATTAGTAAGCAAACCAAATGCTAATTCCAAATGCTACCGCTGATCTCCAACCTAAGGTGAGGCTCATCTGAAGCTCTCCTGGTCTTCGTGTGTCTCTGGGCAGATCTATCAAAATCTCACACCCACTCAATGTAGGAAGAGGTGGTCGAGGTGGAGGTGGGGATGACTCTGAGAAGAATTTTCTATCTTAAAGGCCAGAATTTTGAAGCTTCCTCATTTTCTTCAATACGCCAGATTGAAAACTTGTTCATAGCATACACAGGATTGGCTTTTTTTTTATTGATACGAAAGAAAAAAAAAAGTGGTTCATAGTATGAGATATGGGGGGAGTTATTTTAGTACTTGATTGGCATTAAAAAAAAAATAATTCACACCATGGTATAGTGAAGAAAACATGTTGTGAAGAATACAATTTTAAGATAAATACAGGGTCCAGAGGAATAACCAAGCCTTTTCTCTGATAACTTACACCAGCATGAGTTCCCACTGGGGCTGAAAGCAAAGAGCACGACACAGCATGCTGGGAGGAAAGCGGGCCAGAGCAGGAAGGGGTGAGCAGAGGAGGAGCAGTGAATGGTGTCTGAGTTAGCAGCCTCCATGGGGCACACCTAATCAGAACTGAGAACAAGCGGTGTCCACCAGTCATTGTCGGTAATTTTAGGGATATGACTACAGAGATATGACTATAGGCAGCTCTGAACGGGAGAAAAGACAAAGGGGTGCCAGGCAAGGCAGGGCCTTCAGAGAATTCGTGAGAAAGCAGGATGGGAAAGGGAAATTGGGGCAGGAGCCTTGGGGCAGGGAGGGCTCCTACCGTGTCAGCAGAGGGCTCACCTAGCGTATAGACTGGGTTCCACGGACTCCAGGGTTCCAGGTGTGAGAGAGAGGCAGAACCAGAGAAATGCTGGGGCCTCAGACCACAGGAGTGTGGGGCCAGGCAGCACCCAGGTTCTCCGGGCAATACTCAGGACGGCTTCCTTTGACCACATCAAGCCCTGCTGACTCCAGGCCCGAGGCTCTGCTTGACCCTCTCCTTGTTGTCCCTGTGTGTGCGTAGCTGCAGACACCTGCCTGTATCTGGGTGCTTTTTCTAAACACCCGAGCATAAGGTGCCCATAAGACTAATGGGAGACCAAGACTCAAGGATCACAAGAGACATGGGCGTGGAATGCCCATTCAGTGCCAGGGGAAGGCATATCAATTAAAAAATAGGATATGATTTTTAAAATCAAGAAGTCGTTTTCACTCCTTCTCACCTCATTTTTTATGATAAACTGAGCACAAATTATTGATTACTGTTGGTATATGTTCCTTTTTTAAAGCATGGTTTATATTATTTGTTTCTTGAAGTGATAGTATGTATAATTCTTTTAGGTTCAACTGATGATAACGAATGGCTTGGTATTGTCTCATGTTTCACTTGTCACTATTGAGTTTTTCACTGAGCTTTCGTTGGATTGGCGTGTGTGGCTTTGTCACAATACCAGCGTACATTTCTGGAATTGTCCTTGTTGTTTGACAACAGATCCAGGCTTGTCTTTGGCTTTCCTGTCCTAAGCATGGAATCTGGTCTCCAACGAGTGCCCATTGCTTTGTTCCTCATAACCACTAGAGGTTGCTTACATTATTGTAGACTGAAATAGAAAAAAAAAAAAATAAAATACTATTTTTTTTCAAGTTATGTTGATTTTTAAATGTAACTCTTTTTAGCCTTGTTTTAATGGGAGTTTTTGTGTTTTGTTTTCTGCTGTCTTGACTGCACCATGTTGTATGTTGTATTTCTGAAGACTGTAGGGGAGAGTGTGGCCTAAAACTTCAGAGACCTTCCTCTTCTCTAATTTTGATTCTTGGCTCAATTCCCTAACGTTGGCTTCATAGAATACAAAAATATAGGTAGGACACGTAGTGCCTTAAATAGCATTTCATAAAACTAGTAGTCAGTGAAAGGAATAATCTTAAATCTTTCCAGTTTGGCAGCTGAGGCCCCAGCAAGAAAAAGAGAAATCTCTCTGAAAAGAGAGTAGTTTGGGGAGAGCTTAACTATTAACAAAGGTTTGAGCAATAATAAGGGGAACATCAGGGTTGGGCAGCCTTGGGGATAGCAACAGCTGGAAGCCATCACCATGCCTGGGTGGGTGGGGGGGGGGGGGCCGGGGTAAAGGGAGGAAGCTGTTGCCAGATGCGGAGGACAGCTGCAGGAGTGGGCCAATTATGAGAGCTGAGACCTGGGGGAGAGGGTTGAAGGTAACCAGCCTGAGACCTAGCAAGGAGGTATCAGGAGAACAGACGGCATTCTCCTTGCACCCTGTCCTCCTCCGGTGCCTCTCTGGCGCTGAATCCAGTCAGAAGCTGAAGGCGAATCCAGTGGTGCAGTCCCCAGAGAAGGCCTTGGAGAGCAGAGGGGTGGAGATATGAAAGGGCGCGTGGAAAATACCCAGCTCCTTCTCTGAGTTTTGTGTGTGTGTGTGTGTGTGTGTGTGTGTGTGTGTGTGTGTGTCTCTTTTTTCCTTGTTAATGGAAACAAGTGTTGTTATCACAGAAAAGAACCTCAGGCCATTTTAATGTTAAACAGCAATTACTATCATCTGTAAACACCTTTGAGTATACACAGGTATTTATTACCCAGTATGACAGCAGTGATATACAATCAATTAAAGATGCCAGTGAATACAGCCAGATCAATAAAGCCTTCCCCAGTGTAAGTGGACCAGTTTTGAGGAGCTTTGGCCTTGACACCACTGTCGGGGTGCCCCCAGCATCACGTTACAAAAGACTCTAGCACACTAAGAAGCCTGACTTTTGTCACTGAAATTTCATACTCACATTACATGGTGATAGTCCCAGATAGTTTTTAAAATAATGTTTAAACATCTTTAGCCCATCTTCAGAGGTGTTTATTTTCACACTAAGGAAACAAAAACCAGAAATCAGAAATTTACAACCACAGACGTGTAGTGCCAATATCCGATATTCTTGTATGAATCAAATGATCATGCAACCTCCATTTTGCATTCTGTGTAACTGCATGATCACCACAGAGGTGAATCACCAGGCATTTCAAAAATTATTCTTAGATAGGATCTAATAATACCCCCAAGTATAGGCTGTGGACTTTCATTAAAATCTAGATGAGCTGACCAGCATTAATCTTTCTAGCTGGACCTGGTGGGGCCCTGGATTGTAACTTATTGTTAAATATCTGCTGTTTGACACATGGTCCTCCTCTCCTCCTCACCAATCTACTTAGTTTAACCATCTACCTGGGGAATAGTAATAATTGAGCTTTTTTAATTTATTCTGTTGAAACCTGGGACTTGCGTTCAGGAAAAACAAAAAACAAAAACAAACAAACAAACAAAAAAACACCCATGTTGATAATGACAAGATACAAAATTAATACAAATGGAACTTGCTTTATGGAAATCAGCATATCAATATTCACTATCTTTTGTCTTTCTGAGTGGATGCAGTAGTTAGCTCAGAGGTTGCTGTCACAGTGCACCAGAGTCTACAATCTATATTTTTTCAAGGCCTTTTATTGACAAGTGCTCAGGCTTCCAGCTTTCCACTATCTAGCCAAGGATGAACAGGATTTAACCCCTTCTATTTTTACACCATCTTTAAAATATTTTTTTACTTATTATTGCATTTTCTACCTTCTACTAAAATAGGGAAAATTCAAACCCTAGGTTTCTCCTCCCCATCCTTTCCCCCAATCTTCTCACTACAGCAGCTGCATAACTTATGGCCACAGCTCAAAAGTCTACCCCGAGCAGATGCGTATTTTTCCTTCCTTAGAAAGGCCTTGGGCTTGCTGCCAGCCTCTCCTGTTTATCTCAGAAGGGGAAGGTCATCATCTCTCTCTAAAAACAAAAAAAGTCGGAAGTAGAAAAGTTGTTTTTTAACCCTTAATTGTATTGTCTTAGCACAAGTTTAATGTAGTTCACCTTAGAAATAATGACATTTACATTTTCAGTCATCAATTTATTTTGGATATATCTGATCTAGATATTCAGCTATTTTGCCTGGCTGTGTAATATGTACACAATCATTTTCTTTAAAAATGTTTTAAGAAATTATTATTTTGATACACTTCTATCAATCAAGCTTTGTCTTAAAGACTATTTGTTTTCCAGAAAGGGGGTCCTTAATATAGTTAGAAAATCATTTTTTAATTTCTGTCCTCCGAATATCTTTTTTTTTTTCTAAATGACAAAGTTACAAGGTTCAGCTAACAATAATAAGGGATAATATTTAGTGCACATATTTTAAAGTAGAAAGTCTCACAGTTAATTTTTATGTGAAATCAGTTTCCATCTTGGCCAGTTTTTAAAGCAAAGGTTAGTTAGTGACAGAGTTTTGTATGAAGTTTGTTATTCCTGCTTTCCAACGTTTGAAGCCTTTGACATATTCAGTCCTCCTCCTTTTTTAGTTCTGAATCTGTGACATTTACAAAAAATGTTAGTAAGATTCTCAGTGAGAATCAAAGAAAAACTCGGCTCCCTTGGATTTTCTTTCACATTTAAAATCTCAGCAGGTATCCAGTTCTTACCTGAAAAAATGGCTGGCTGCCTCTGGCAAGGGCGTGAGGGAGTCTTTGGTTTTACTCTCACTTCTGACACCAGCCTGCTTGCTCACAATAGGACAGTGATGTGAATAATGGAAAGATGGCAGTACCAAAGTTAGACATCGTGTTGTCTCTGTAATTGTAGAATGTATGGAAAGATACAGATACAGTTACATAAGGCAGGAGCCCACAGCATTGCCTCCGGCAGTGTCCATTTCCCCAATCCCCAGGGTCCCAAGGAAACAGACAATGACAGTCCCCACATGGGTGAATTCACAGGTTCTCCCATGAAATGACCCCAAAATTCTACCCCAGCAGTCGGGTTTTCCAGACTTTGTCTTTAACTGTGTTTATAGCTGACTCAGGAAGGCCCTAAGAATTATCTTTTCCTCTTTCTCATATCCATTCCAAATCAATTTATACAGATTTATGAGCTTATGCAAAAAGGAAGTCCTATAAAGACAGCTGTATACACATGGGTTTATAAAGAAATATTACCCGGGTTTTGTTATTTTTTTTCAGCCCCAAAATTAATATCCTTCTTTTATCCTTAAGGTTTAGTCCTTACAACGTTCCCTGTAAAAATGTGGGAAAGGTTTAATGTTAGTTCCTTAATATATGGGTCCATAGAATCAAGGTATTTTAAGTCCACTGGGTTGTAAACTTTCCAGGAGATTTGGTTCCTTGAGGATCCACACTGTCCAGCATGGTTACCACCCCCTGCCTAACGCAGTGTCTTACACAAACTATATAGTCAACAGAGGAGTAGATGGGTGGGTGAATTTACATAGCCTGCTTCTCTTAATATTGAAACAAGTTCACCTGTCCTCAAAATGGCCCACAAATCCATTCTTTGTCAACAACCTTTACCTTCATTTCGCTAGCATCGTAGGTGGTCTTCTCTTGGTGGGGAGTTGTGTGACCCTTTGTAGAATCCAGTGATGTCCCAACTGGCCCTGGGACTGCTCTTGATTAAATGATTTTTTTTTTATCTTCATACCATCTGTCTGTTAGAAATTAAAATGTTTATTTGGTTTAAATTCCAGTAATTTGAGATCAAAAGAACTGAAAAGGAAATTCTGTATTATTGTAGCCATCACACCTATTTTTACAGACAGAGCTTCCTTGTTGGCAAATTTGCAGTGAGACAAAGAATATTTTCATTGGTGGCAAAGTTTAAAAATATTGGAAATGTTTAGATACCTGTCCCTGAATCAAAACAAATAACCATCTATCTAGTGGTAATTCCACTTTTTTTCTAAATGTTTATGCTATGTTTAAGGGCAGAAATCCACTAGAAGAACCTGTCCTCAATTAAAAAATATATATATTTTTTAATCAGTAAATTCACATTTCAAGTATGCAATGAGCACCAGGAAGTAGACCATGCTTCCCTCCAGGGTGATGTCAACAAATAAACAGCCCAGCTCTCCTGGCACATTCCTCGGCTCCGAAGGCCTGACAGAGGCCCTTTGTCACCACTGATCAATAGCTGCTTTGTGAGATTATATTGTTAGAGTTGCTAAGAACTGACAACCTTGCTAGCAGGTGCTGCTGAGTTTACCAGACTGAGATGTGTCAAAACCGCTATATCCTATCTTGGTCCAATAAATGGGGAGGAACCTCTAATTCTGCATTCCAACCCCCTTTGTGATGATAGAGTGACCTTAAATAGCAGGAGTTAGGACAGAGACCTGCCATTGCATGTATGTTGAGTGTATGTGAAGCTCAAACCTCACATCATAGGGCAAACAGGGTAAGGGGGGGGGGGGTCCCTGCTCCTCCAGAGTGTAGCTCTCTTGGCTAAATTCTCCTTCCTGTCACCCCTGGGTTTGGTGAGAGTTCTACATTAGGCTGCTATGAGTATCTTTTACACCCTGAAACGCTGAAATTAATCATTTTTAAGGCCCACTGTCTAGCTGTGGAACTCCACCAGAAGTGGAATAGTTAGTTGATTTTTAAAGGGAATGTAATGTTAGCCATCATAAATGATTTCTTTATTCAAACCTCTTGATTTTCTATTGTTAGAAGCAAAGTAATGATGTCTACATAATGGATAATTAAACCTGCCATTCATTAGAGAAGAGTTTCCTTCTTATTGTAAAAAATGTGGCAGGACATAGAAATCCAGAGGTAAAGTGCTATAAAACGTTTTTTAAAAAATATTTATGCACCTAGGAAATCATATTCCTACAGTGTAATCAGTTGACCCAAACCCACTCACTTATCACAAGTAGGTAAGCACTTTTCTCAGAAAAAAGAAAGTCTCTTAGAAGACAGTGGCAGAGTTGGGTCCAGTTATTTTAATCCGGTCTCCAGACACATATTCCACTCGATATCTCTGAGATACCCAGTTGGAGGGAATGGATACTACTGGGGTTGTTTATCTTGCCTCTTCCTACTGTTGTGTGGTCATGATGTGGTAACTGATGAGGTATTTGCAAAAGCAATTGTTAGGGTGCACGATTTGTGCCCTTTGAAATTATGTTATTGGGTGTAAGGTGGGATCAGGGTGCTTTTTATAGGTGTGTTTAAATATATTGGCATGCTTTTCAACCAGCCCCATCCACTCCTTTGAAATTCATGTTATGCTCTGACTTCTTCCACCCTTCCTTCCTGTCATTTATCAACTTCATGTTTCTGAGGAGTTCAGGTAATAGTCAACTGGTCAACCTCAGCTCCTGCCATGCCATGAGTTACATTGTTACCCATAGTGCCTCTCTTCCTAAGCCACTTAATCTTATCTCCTTTAGATTGTCATTCTCAGTACACCCTCTCTTCATCCTCATTATGACATCCAGTGCCTAGACACCACCATTTTTCTCTGGGTTCATCAGCTCCCTCCTGGCCTCACTAAAGGTCACTCTTCCAGTCCTCTCAGCTCTTCACCCGTTTATTTCTCCTACAACCCTTCTCTTCACTCTTCTGATTAGAAGGTGACATCTATGCAGATTGCCTCACCAGAGTCTGCTCATTCCTTTTCATTCTTGCCTTTGGTTGGCTCCCTTTGCCACCCAGTCAGCAATCAAACAGATCTTTGTCCCCCTCCTCAACCTTCTGCCTGAATCCTAACTCTCCTTCACTCCTGGCAGATGGCTTTTCTAATCTCCTTCACTGAGAAAACAGAAGCCAATAGGAGTGAACTGTACTTTTATACTCTTTTCTGTCTCCTCTATCTTGCCTCCCATCCTCCACCCCACATAAACTACTCAACTCCTTTCTTCTCTTCTCAGAGGAGGTGAATCTCTCCTCCTGTTCATTCCCCCATGGCCCAAGCCCCCTCATCATCTCTCCTCTGTCAACCCCCATATCCAAAACCCAGAAACACATTTCAGTCTCTCCCACCCCCATCCAGCTCTCTTCAAGAAAGAAAGAAATCCTTTGACCTATTTTATACACTGACATGTATATCCCCACCTTCACCTTCCCTCCCCTTTTTTCCTTCTCATCCAGATTTCACCAAGCCTCTCCTTCACTCTCTAGCCCATTCCATCTGTCTGCTGCTGTCCATTCTGCTGACATGGTGACTTCCTAATTCCCAAGTCCAATCCACTCTCCTCTTCCTGCCTCTCTAACCATTCCTTCTCAGTGTCCCAACTCTGCTTCCTCTTCCAGCCTTTCAAATGCTGTTGGTCCTCAGGGTTTCACCCTTGGCCACCCGCTCTTTGTACCCTGATTAAGCCCATATATCCCACCCATTGGGCGATGATTCCCAAGGTCCTAAATCTCTCTGAGTCCCACCTCTCAGTTGAACTTCCAACCAGTATAGCCATCCTGCAGATACCCAACGTTTGTCACACCAAAATTGAACTCATCGTCTTTCCTTATAAATCTCCTGTTCCCATCAGTGGTTCCTTTCGTCACCCTCTCTTCTTGGCAAAGCTGCTCTCCCGCTCTCAAAGCCCAAGCTAGTCCATCGTCCTCTCTCCGGATCATCCAATTCATTGGCTCTCTTGCCAGGCTCCCTCCTTAAATTTCTTGCCCAATGGAAGCTCTCCTGCTCCTTGGACTCCCTGGAAGTCTTCATAGCCCCACTTGCCCCAGGGGGCCCCTTTGTGCCTGGGTTCCTTCCACCTCCAACCCCCACCACCCAACTCAATCTTTCTGGGTCCCTGCTGACTCCCAATGGCACTCACCTGCTTTCTCACCCCACCCCCCCAACCGCATCCTGGGTGCCAGCTAGAAACAGCCAGCTACAAAGATTTCATTGGACGTAACTGTGAGGGAATGCTCTCCTGTGCTCTGCCCTTTCCCACCTCAGCAGAGCTTCCCAGGGCCAGGTTTCCAGCGGACTCCGAGAGCCGCTGAGAGATGCTAACCCTGCAGCCTCCGGCCATGTTTGAAACGTCTGGCAGTCCCTCCCGTGTCCGATGTTACGAGCACTGTTTAGAGATGCCGGACAAAAGCCTTTAATGCTTGTGTTGTGTTTTAACTTGCTTTCCTTTGGAGGCAGGGAATTGTCAAGTAAGTACTCACGGCGCTCTGCCCGCGCCCCGGGGTCCGGTGGGCACCCAGCACTAAGCGTTCATGCCGAGCCCACCTCCGCCCGGGGCCTGGGCCCATGGGCCGCGCGCGGAGTTTGCGCCACGCGGGTCTCTCCCTCTGGCCCCCTCATCTCCCGCGCTGAGGCGATGCAGCTGCACACACATGTGCTTGTGACTATGAAGGGAACATTCTGAGATTGCTTTCCTTTTCCGCTGTTCACTGAAAATCGAGGTGAAAAAAAAAAAAAAAGCATCTGCCGGGTTGCCACTGCGTGTGTACATATATATACACATGGCATGTATATATGAACACACAGTGTCTGTGCCTGTATGCATACTCCGTACACGCTGTATAATATGTGCCGTATTATACAACCCGAGTACCCTCAAGACCAGCCCTGCGTTGAGCCTCAGGCTCTGCCTTATGAACCATGCTGCAGCCCATCACAGACCCTGGCTTGCTTTCGTCATTTCTGAAGCCCCCTTAGGGGGAAGAAGAAGCCCACGGATTTCATTGGAAAGTCCCACTAAAACAGAAGAAAGAGCAGATGTCCTGGGAAGCCATAATTAGCGTGAAGGAAGTGTCTAATGGCGGGAACTGGCGAGCTCCCCGCCTCCCGGGTTCGCCCCATTTGGCGGCGATGATGACGGCAGCCGGGGGTGTCCTTTTGCAGAGATGTCATTTTGCTCGCTACCCGTTCTTCGGCGCTGGTGATAATGCCACGGGACCCAGTGATCGTGTATGATTACATAACACGTTTTGATTGAAGCGTTTCGGAGAAAATAAAGGTGGCTTGTTTGTGTCCCCCCACTCCTGGCACAGAAATGCAAACCGTTCCCGCAGGCAAGCCGCCCTGCCGAGAAACACGGGGCGTTATTAGGCCAAATTGTGAGTTGAACTTGATTCGGAAACAAAGCATCCATTGTGTCCAGCGCCCAGCGCCGTCCAGGAGGACGGGGCTGTCTTTCCGACAACACGCTCGTCCCCGGCACACGCGCAAACCGGCGGAGTCCCGGGCGCCTTTGCCAGGGCCCCGGGCGTGGCGTGGAGGCATTGACAAGGCTCCCTTTTCTCTCCCCATCCTGTAGGCGCTTTAGTGCAGAGTTTGCCCAGAGACGCCAGGGTATGAGCTTTCTGAGTCTGTAGCCGGGTGCACTCTTTCCTTTCTGTTTTAGTTCTCTGCGGGCATGCCCGGGAAGCATGGTTTGTGCCACACGGGAATGTCTGTTCCCTTGGAAAGTGCTTGTGCATGAATGAGGTGCTTGCTAACGCCACTCTAAACTGTACTAAGTTTCTCACTTGGCTTTGTTTGCTGCTTCCAAAGGGGATCAAGGTAATCCTTTTCTCTTCACCTCACCCAAGAGCCACAACTAATGGATTCGGAACGTGCGGGGCTCCCCAACCCATCCGTGGTTTCCTAAACTCCAGTGGGTCCATTTAAAGGAACCCCGAGGTTACCCCAAATTGGCCGTCTCCTGTGAGAATCCATGAGGGCTCCGCCAGGACAAAGTCTCTGAAGTAAATGGAGGGGCCCAGATCTCCGACACGGAGAAGGGAAAAGCTACCTCCACTGTGATGGCAGCAGTGGAACTAGGCCAGAGCCCTGAGAAACAGAGCAGAGTGGTTCTCTATGATAGACCCTTGGCTTCCTGCTGGCCCTCTCGTGTGGTGAGAAGGACCTGAGTCCATGGCTCCCAGGACTCCCCACGCTGTGATTTTTTCGCTGCCTAACTCCAAACAATTTTGACGCATCCTGTCTGAGAAAGGGCCAGCGGGTTCAGGAAGCACAGCCTCTGCCTTCTCATGCTCAGGCTCCTCTTGGTGTTAACGTCAGCCATTGGCTCATTGGATTTCCTGGCCCCCGACAGCCACCCCAGTGCCTGCGAACTGAGGCCCCATCATTCAGGACCCTTCATTTCAGAAGCCTTTCAGGGGGTGGAGGGAGGTGGGCAAGGGGGGAAGACAGAATAAGCCTAGGTGGAGGGCCCGGGGACGGGGGGGCGAGGAGGGAAAGGGAAGGAGCTGGCCTTGGCCTTTGCTAGCCACGCCCAACAAGCCAGCTTGCTGCCTTGGTCAGCACCGTTCCTCCCGGCCACTCTCTGTCGCAGGCCACCCGTCAGCAGAGCGGCGCCCCAGCCTGAGAAACTCCAGAAGAACAACATCACCAAGAAGAAGAAGCTGGTTGAGGTGAGGAGGTTAAATGTGTTTGCTCTTAACTGGATAGCGATGTCCTGATACCTGGTGTGGACATCACCATCTGCAGGTCTCTGCCAGGGAACCTGGATGGATCCAATGGCCCTCATTCCCGCTCCCTCCTACACAGCACGGCGTCCCCCCATCCCACCGCGTCCCATTCCCTCAGCCCTACCCCTGGTCCTGTGAGCGCTGACTCCAAAATGTCCCGTGTCCCTCAACCCTGGTTCCTGTTTCCTGCACTGGTGCCACTCGGGGACGGCGGGGGCTCATTCACTGTCTGTTGTTGGACGCTCACCCCTGCACCGGGTACGATGCTTCACACCCAGGAGGAAAGACTTGGCATTGTTTCCACTTTGCAAAGGAGCACCTGAGCTCAGGGCATTTCGGTGGCCTGTTAGGCCCCCTGCCCAAGGTCTCCAAGCCAGGAAGTGGTTGAGACTTAGGACGGTGGTGCTGGTAACCTGCTGTTTTCTGGGAGAGGCCTCCTCATGTTCTTCCCGTCTTCGGACATCCCCCTCTCTCTCTCATGCCCTGCTGCCCGCAGAGTCCACTCTTTGAAACACAACTTCACATCTCACGCTGGCATTGAGACCCAGTCGATTCCCACATCCACGAAGATTGGGCTTCGATTCAAATGAATGGGTTCAGAACGTTACCAGGAGCTATAGTTCAAGCTCACCTCCCATCATTCTCACCGTCACAGACACCTCCACTCCCACCCCCACTGCTTCGTGTCCTGGAGCTGCCTCGGGCTTTCACGCCCCTGATGCCAACGTTTCAAGCTCCATTCAGATTGGGAGCGCCTCCTCCTCCTGCCCCACACCTCGGTCCTTCCAGGCTCTTGGCTGACGTCTTCACTTTCCTGATGCTCTTCACCCTGAACCCTCCCCCACCTGCCCACTCCCTGCCACGCACCCCGCTGCCATCATTTGTGGCTCAGCGGTCTCCCGTCCTGGACTGTGAACTCAGAAAAATCCATCTCCGAATTTTATTGGAAAAGGAATTCTCGGGGGGGGGGGGGGTGTAGGGGGGGGGGAATTTATCACGGAACCCAGCACAGGTCAGGAAACACAGCTGAGCTTCAGGAGGGACAAGACCCAGGAACTGAAAAGCCATCCTAAGCCAAGATGGTGCCTTCGTCTGCCCAACTGTGTGTCTCAACGCAGTCTCCTCTGTTTCTGCAGACTTTTTTTTTTAACTGCTTTGGTGGACTCTGGGTGCTGCTCAGCACCCGAGTGTACATCTCCTCCGTGAATTAAACAGCCAGTTCTGAATTCCTGTGAGGAGCCATGTGATGGGCCCAGCTTGAGTCAGTTGTCCACCAGGACTGGGGCTTACATAATTATACACAGTTCTGGGAAACACCAGGGGGTGAGGGTGGGGATGGGGGGAGACTGAGGGCTGGGAAGACATTCAGTAAGTTGAAAGGAGGAGGAGATGAGAGAGCTTTTTAAAAGCAAAATCATAAAGATAGGAATGCTCATGGTACATGGCTAACCTGATAAGTCGGCCTGACCAAGGAGTACAGGAGATATGGGTAGGGGCTAATTGTACCAACTTAAGGAGTTTGGGCAGTGAGTTAGCAGATCCTGTTGAGTAAGGACACGGTGTGGTGTTTTGGGAGAATTAGTCTGATGTCTGCAATTGGTGAGCTTTGGAGAAAGAAAAGGCCAGAATCAGAGATCGTGGGAAAAAGGAGCTCGCCTCTTCTTACACTCATTCACACCAACCAGCACAGCCCTGGCACGGGGGCCCTGCCCACAATACGTGCGCGTCAGATTGAATTAGGAGCTCGTCTGATCCGTCTCAGCCCCACTGTTCTTTGTCAAGGGAGACAAGGCAGGAAGAAGAGAAGTGCAGTGTCTCGCTGTTGGGAAAGAAGGAAAAAAGCAAATCCTGTAGAAACTTGGTGGGGTGTGCACCCAGCAGCAGAATGAGTGTGGCATTTGCCTCCGCATGCTGCTCTGCCAGGCCCAGCGGCGTGTGTGGGAATCAGAGCAAATCCCGGAGCCACCATTCAGCTCCCCTGCAGACGCCTGCCAAGGCGCAGACAAATGTCCGGGTGACCTTTATAGGGCACCAAACCCGTAGACAGGCTCACTCGAGGAGCTGGGGAGCAAACCTAATGAGGAAACTCACTATATTTCTAGGTGCTCGCCTGTGCCCCTAGCATCCCGGGAAGCTAAAAACAAGGGGTGTTGGGGGGGAGGGGGGCCCCTGCATTTTATCCGAGCCTGACAAGAAGCAGAATGTTTTTAGTGCGAGATTGGCTGTTTCCCAGCCCCGAGGTCCCATGAGAGGCGCTGCTGTGCCTGCGGTGCGGGCTGTTCTTATAAGCCTTAGAGTCTAAGGGTAAGGTGACCAGATCGTCCCACTTTGGGCGGGACAGTCCCGATTTCTAACAATTTTTCCCAAGTCCCGCAGCGTTTTAAAAATAAAAAATGAAAAATAATAAAGAAGTGTGGAAGAGGAGTCCTCAGGAATATGGCTATATTAGAGCCAGCTGCTATAACAAATAAACCTTGAAATATATTTGATTCAATACAATAAATACGTTTATTTTTCACTTAAAAAAAAAAAAGTCCTGATTTTTTTAAAGAATCAGTCCCGATTTTTAACAATTTGGTCTGGTCACTTTTTTTTTTTTTTTAAATATATATTTTATTGATTTTTTTAACAGAGAGGAAGAGAGAGGGATAGAGAGTTAGAAACATCGATGAGAGAGAGTCACCCATCAGCTGCCTCTTACACACCCCCTATTAGGGATGTGCCTGCAACCAAGGTACATGCCCTTGATTGGAATCGAACCCGGGACCCTTCAGTCCATAGGCCGACGCTCTATCCACTGAGCATGGTCACCTTATCTAAGGGCCGCTCTCATCTCTGTGCGGGGGTGCAGGAGCTGGCTCTGGACCACGTGTTCGGCTACCGGGGATTTGACTGCCGCAATAACCTGCATTACCTGAACGAGGGCGCGGACATCATCTTCCACACCGCGGCGGCCGGCGTCGTGCAGAACCTTGCCACAGGTGACCGGCCTCTGTGCCAGCCGTCCGTGCCCGGGCCCACACGCTAGGTGCCCCCCGGCGTAAGCCTTCTCTTCCCTTCAAAGCCATCCCTCCACTCCAGGCCGGTATCCTTCAGTCCTAGACGATGGGCAGGCCCATGCTGGGAGGGTCAAAGTTGCTATCGGCTCCCGGGAGGCTGAGAGGGAGGGAGAGAAGCCGGAAAGAGGGTGTGGGGATAAAGAGATTTTAAGAACCAGGCCTAGGGGAGCTCTTTTCATTCCGTTTCACCTGTGACCAGTTTTTTAGCAGCTCAGATTTTCAAGTTTTGCTTCTTTTGACTATGGAGCTAGATCGACAGTGAGAATGAGAATATTTAAACACCAAACAAAAAATATCCAAAACTTAACCCTATGACTCTTAAATTAAAAAGTTTGAAAAGAGACACAAAGTGCAAAAAGAAGCCTTCCGAAATCAATTTGATAGACACCCATATCTTGACCGCCAGATGTAGGTGTTACTATTTTGACTTATTTGCTTCATATCTTAAAACCTATTTTTGCTTTTCAAATTTCTACGTTCTTCCCAATCTGTGCAGGTGTCCATGCATTAGTTTTTAGGCAGTGATATCACTGGGCACACAGTGACTTGTCTTTTTTTTTTTTTGGAGGGCGGGGGAGAGAGGGGCGTGAAATTTTCTGTGTATTTTCTAGCTTCTTATTCTTATTTTAATAGTGATGTGCTGTTTCCTTGTATGTCGCTGCCATCACTCCCCTTCCGTTCCCAGGCCTGAGGGTTGGTTTACAGTGGCCACTTTGACCATCAGCCTCCTCCTCTTGGACTCTGGAAGCCTCTGCCCTTAGACTGTGCTCTGGGCCCACTCGGGACAGCAGGAAGGATGGAATGGAGTTGGCATGTGTTAGATAAGACACCTGCTCCTCTCTCAGACCAGAAACAGGCTATGTACATGTGAAAAGGGATCTCCTGCCTCCCCTTTTCGTTTTTTTTTGTTGATTCGTTTTTTTGTTGTTGTTTTTTTAATTTTTTAATATATATTTTATTTAATTTTTACAGAGAGGAAGAGAGAGTTAGAAACATCGATGAGAGAGAATCATCAATCAGCTGCCTCTTGCAAACCCCCTACTGGGGATGTGCCAGCAACCAAGATACATGCCCCTGACCGGAATCGAACCTGGGACCTTTCAGTCCTCAGGCCGACGCTCTATCCACTGAGCCAAACCGGTTTCGGAAGGGCTGATTCGTTTCACAGGGCGTTTCCAAAGACTCTGCACAAAAGCTGTGGGCTGGCCCTGAGGCCCTCAGCCTCCCCGCTCACCCTCCACGTCTCTCCCCCAGGGAGCCAGAGCTTCTACCTGGAGCACACGGACGACATCCTCTGCCTCACGGTGAACCAGCACCCCAAGTACAGGAACGTGGTGGCCACCAGCCAGATAGGTAGGCGGCCCTGACGCCGCCAGGCTCCTCCACGCCGAGCAGGAATATTGGAGAGGGGAGGGCGGGTCCCTGGCACCCACTCTGTCCCGTTGACGTTGCTGTTGATTGTTTGAGCCCCCGAACGCCTCTGCGTTGCTTGGGTTAACACACCCAGGGACGGGTGGTTCCGTGGAGCCATCAAGTCAGACCATAGCTGAGTTCCCAATCGCTGGATGCCCTCATCCCCGTGGACCGGGGAGAATTGTTCAAACAAGAGCCTCGTGTCTGAGGCCGGTGGTTTGTGCTCAGCCAGGAGCAATTTCCCAGGTCTTCTGTGCCCATGACCAATGCGACCGGACTCCCACGTGTGAGAAGCGTGTGTGTGTGTGTGTGTGTGTGTGTGTGTGTGTGTGTGTGTGTTTAGCTTTGTCCTCTCCGAGGCAGTGTTTACACACATCCTTCCTGCTTGTCTCCATTGAGCCCGTGTTCATTTTTAACTTTAATTTGAAATTTTCCGATGCTGGTGCTGAGCGCTTCCCTGTTTGAAATGTGACTGATGGTAGCTGTTGTGCACACACACACCCCCCCCACGCTTCCTCATTGCCATTGCCCACCTCACGCTGGGGCCGTGGCCGAGGCCCAGGTAAGGCTTTGGACCTGCACAGCGAAGTCATGCCCGCGCCACGCTCGCCGGCTGTATCTGGCCGAGTGGCAGATACAAATCCTTGACCTCATCCGGCTCCTTGTGGCTCCTCCGGCGCTGTGCTCGCTGGGCACCGTGCCCTGGCCCCCGCCTCTAGGAGCCCAGCGGGTGCTCACTGCTGTCTTGGCCCCTGGCAGGCCAGGCTGTGGGTCCCTCAGGCCCAGCCGCTGAAGGGCCCCTGAACGCCGCTCCTGAAGGCTTTTAGGGGCACCTGAGGGCTGCCTTTGCTGGGCCGCCCTCCGGCCTGAGCGCTCTGTCCCGCCTCCCGCCCGCAGGAACCACGCCCTCCATCCACGTCTGGGACGCCATGACCAAGCACACCCTCTCCATGCTGCGGTGCTTCCACTCGAAGGGGGTCAACTACGTCAACTTCAGCGCCACGGGCAAGCTGCTGGTGTCGGTGGGCGTGGACCCCGAGCACACCATCACCGTGTGGCGCTGGCAGGAAGGTAAGGAAACGGGCCTTCTGTCCATGGAGGAAGGTGGATCTGCCTCCCTGCCAAGCCCAGGAGGCTGGGCTGCGGGGGCAGCCGATCCCAGGGCTCTTGGGAACCTGGAGAAGCTGCTCATTGGATGCCTCCTCCGGCAGAGAGGGCTGCCCGGCGGCCGGTGCTGGTTCGCGAAGGGTCTGTGGCGCTTTTGGAAAGTGCCCTGATGCCTCGACCTTCCTCCTCCCACAGAAGGGCACAGCCTCCTCCCTTTCTCTCCTAACGACCTCTGACCCAGGCTCCCTCCTCCTCAGCGGGCCTTCTGGTGGCTCCCGGATTCTGCAGCAGCCTCTGCGCCTCTGTTCTTGTTTCAGGAACTGGGGACAGGGGTGTTACCACTGAGACATGTTTTTCTTTCACATTTTAACTTTTTTTTTGAAATGGGGATTCATCTTATATTCCAGGCTCACATTTAAATTAAGCCACTTAGCAGGTTTTCCTTTCTTCCTTTCCTTTCCCTTCCTTCCCCTTCCCCTTCCCCTTCCCCTCCCCCTCCCCGCCCCTCCCCTTCCTTCTTTCTCTTTTCTCTCCCCACCCCCCCCACACACACACACAGACACACAGAGGCTGCTACTAAATTTATGGTAATTTTAGGATGAAAGCTGTGCAGTCTTCCAAGCATGTTCTCAGGCTGGCAGAAGCAGATCTAATTAGTGAGGCCGCTAATGAGGTCTGTCTCCAGCCGGGCCGCCCGTATCTGGGGCGCATGAAGCCGGGCACGTCTCCGGTGGAGGCTCCTGGAGCCCCGTTATCTCAGCCTCTTCCTGCTGAGGGGCGGTGTGGCCGGGGCTGGGAGGAGAGGAGCTCAGCCAGAGGAGCACTGCAATCCCGCCTGAGCCCCCGCGTCAGGAGAAGGGGCTGGGGACCTGCAGATGCTTCTGAGGAGACTCAGTCATCACATTCCCTCCACTTCTCATTTTCCCTCTCATTCACATGCTGCGTCCAAATGGCCCACCCTCTGGATCTTGGGGGTGCAGGTTCATTCCTCATAATGGCCAGCTGATTGAGTAGACGGATGGGCCGGTTTCCAGCCTGAACACTTTCAAGGATGTGGCCCTTGTCACTTCCCCAGGCAGCCGCTCCCTCTCAGAAAGCCCTTTCCTCTGTGAGGCCAGAAGTTGCTGAATAATGGCCTTCTTCTGCAAGACTGACCCTACTCGCTGCAGTAGCCAGTCCAAGTCTATTCCTCGTGCCGAGAGAGGAAGTTACACTGGCCCCCATACACAGTCCTGGCTTTTCCCCTTCCGGCTCGCTCTCCTCTCTGCCCTGTCCGTCCCTCCGGGCAGGACCTGCTCGGGCCCTGCCCCAGCACAGACCCTCGCTCACAGGGCCCTTCTGGCGGGCCGAGGGAGAATCGGTGGAGCCAGGACCTTTAGGCGAGCTCCCAGGAGCAGGACAGGCCCTCTCCTTGGGAACTTGCTCCCGTTGTCTTGGCTGGAACCAGCACGTGGGTCTGTCTGTACAGAGGCTCTGAGCCAGAGGTAATATCGAAGGGCCTCTCACCAACCAGCAGCTCTTCTGAGCTGATTGCGGAAGGTTTTTTCCTTAAGTCCTGCTTACCGATAAACAATGTGTTTTCTCAGAGGTTTGTGTACATTTTTGTGGTTATTAGGGAGCATATAATTCATTCCTCATTTGTTAAGTAATAATTATTTTTTTACCATTTTTTAAATTAAATTATTATTTGTGTACATATCTTACCATTGCCCCCCTCATTTGTTAAATAATTATTTTTTTATTTTTTTAACCATTTTTTAAATTAAATTATTATCTGTGTACATATCTTACCATTGCCCCCCCATTTGTTAAATAATTATTTTTTTTATTTTTATTTTTTTTACCATTTTTTAAATTAAATTATTATCTGTGTACATATCTTACCATTGCCCCCCCTCATTTGTTAAATAATTATTTTGTGGAATGAGAGAGTGGGGAGGAGGAGGGAGGGAGGATATACAAAGTAAAGTGGAGGGGAAAATGAGCTGGTTATATGAACTGCATGTTGTCAGGCCCTAGATGCTTGTATGAAATTCGTTCTGAGCAGCCTAGAAGCCAGTGCCCGGGAGGAGGCAGGCATTGCCCCATAGACGTGTGTGTGAGATGACAAGGAAAAACAAACAGTGGCTTGAAAGAAATGTGCATCTTGTTGTTTTTTATTTTGCATTTCCCTCAGGACTCCTCTGAGATCTTCCTCTTCCCATCAATTTTGACTGCTTGTATATTGCTGCTGCCATTCGTTACTGATGCTGAGTGTTAAGTCTTGGTCTCCTCCGTTTGGCAGTGTTTTTCTCCCATTCTGTTGTTTGTCTTGTAACTTAGTTTATCGAATCCCTGGGTACCGATTCTTTGGGTACCGTTGGGCCCAAGGCAGAGAGGGGCATTACAGGAAGTTCGCGTTTCCTCTGCAGAGAGAGTTACTGCTGGTGGCGAGAGGTGGCCTGGGCCTCCCAGTCCCTGGGGGACCGTCCCCATAGGGAGCGACCGCAGGCTGCCCTCGGCCCACCGTGCTAGGGAATCATTATAAAAAACTAACGGAAGCGTAAGTGACGAGGAAGAGGAAGAAAAAATATGTCTGAGCGAATAACAGGGAGAGGAGATAAGAGGAACTAAAACATTCAGAGTAAGTTTAAAGAAAAATAAAGGAAAGGCAATACAAGTTCAAAATAAACGTTAAAAAGTCCAGGGCTGAAGGAACGCAAATAGATGAGGTGTAAAATCAGGGCTAAAAGACTAGAAGCCAAGAGATGTGAAAAGGAGCCAAACGAGCGATGATGATGATAAGAGTGGTCGCTCACAGGACACTCACTGCCTCAAGACTGTGCTGAAGGCTTCGCTCAGCTCCATCCTTTCAATCTGCACACTTTCCAAAACGGGCACTATTGTCGCCGTCAGTTTACAGGTGAGGAAACTGAGGCACAGAGGGGCTAAATAACTGTCCGAAGTTCTACAGATTAGGGCTGGCATTGGGATTTGATCAAGACGAAGGTTAAGTAAAACTCAGTTTTTAAAAAAACTCAAAAAACTCAAGAGACAAGCAAAAAAAAAAAAAACATAAATAAATGGAATTGAGGATAAAAGGAGGAATTAAATGTAAAAGGTAAAGGAATTTAAACCTAAAAACCATAAAGCAAAGGGACCATATAGGGACCTTTATTCAAAAATAAAAATGAAAAAAGCAGTGTGTTGGAGAGCGGTAAAGACTGTCCGAGAGAACTGGGTCTCAGGGACACTCTCGGAGGGTTCCTCTCCCTGTGGGGTGAACCTTGGTGACGATGAGGGACGGGGATGCCCTTTTCTCTCGAGGCGTCCCCCTCCCAGGCTGTCCTTCCCCGCCGTGTTCACAGGCGCCTGGATGTGGCTGAGGGGGTGGAGTCAGGGATTGTGTCAGCAGCACCTGCTGTTCTGGAAGTTTCCCTCTCTTCCTCACGTTGGGAGCCATGTCTGACAGGGGCAGGGGCAGTTAGGGGAGAAGGCAGGGGAGGGTGCCCGGGGTTGCGGGGACAGACAGCCCTCCGGGCCCGGGGCTGGGCGGGCCGCGCCGCTCACCGGACTCTCCCGTCGCACCAGGGGCCAAGGTGGCCAGCCGCGGGGGCCACCTGGAGCGCATATTCGTGGTGGAGTTCCGCCCGGACTCGGACACGCAGTTCGTGTCCGTCGGGGTCAAGCACATGAAGTTCTGGACCCTGGCGGGCAGCGCCCTCCTGTACAAGAAGGGGGTCATCGGGTCCATGGAGGCCGCCAAGATGCAGACGATGCTCTCCGTGGCCTTCGGTGCTGTGAGTCCCCCGGAGCTCCCGAGGGGCCCTGAGCCCTGCGCGTGGGGGGGTGAAGTGGGAGGAGAGAAGGAATATGGCCAAGAAGCTGCAAACAAGAAAGCCGTCTCCACAAGATCAGCTTCATTGGCTTTTTTTGCAGTCACTGCTCGCTTTCCTTAGCACTGGAGGGTGGGCACAGAAGGTTCCTTATTCCAGAGGCAGACGGCTTGGGAGCCTGAGGGGTCTGGGTTAGACAGCGCAGAGGAGGTGGGGTCGTTTCTACCACCGGCTGGCATCCCTTTTCGTTTCAGCCCTTGTGCCCCCTGGGTTCCCCAACCGGCATCCTTAAGTGGCCTACGGGGTGCCCTCAGCCAGCAGGGGACATTCTGGGGCACAGCCCACGGGCCCTCCAGCTGAGGTGTCCCCCTCCTGAGCCCGGAGAGCATCCTCTGGGGTGGAGGCCTGCCTCCCTGTCCCCCAGGAGTTCCCTCCACGCAGAGCTGTGCCCCGTGGGGAAGCCAAGGCCCCACAGTGACTCGGCAGACTGGCTTTCGGAGCCAGGGGACGTGTCCTGTGCTGCCGTGACTGTCTGCAAAGTCCTTAGCCCAGAAGGTCAGATCCAGGGCACGCTTCCATGGCTCCGCTCCGCTCCGAGGAGCAGGTGTCTGGTGGGGAGCGGGAGGGCGCCGTGCCTGTCCCAGCCTGGACCGTGTCCCCTTGTCTGCAGAACAACCTCACGTTCACGGGTGCCATCAACGGGGACGTGTACGTGTGGAAGGACCACTTCCTCGTCCGGCTGGTGGCCAAGGCCCACACGGGGCCCGTCTTCACCATGTACACCACCCTGCGGGACGGGCTCATCGTCACCGGCGGCAAAGAGCGGCCGTAAGCCAGAGCCTCGGGGAGCACGGGTGTGGTTGAGTTGAGTTGAGGAGTTTTGTTTTGGGAAGAGGCCGGCAGAAGCATCGACAACTTGGAGGAAAACGCAGGTTTTCGTTCTCCTGTCTTTTCTGCACCAGGGAGACCAGTCTGCCGTCTCTCCCAGGGCCATGGCCTCCGGAGGGAGGCTATTGAAGGAATGGCGGTTTAACCACCGACAGCCCGAGCGGCCTTCTCGCCCCGGTCTGCGCGGCTTTGCTGTGCATCAGGGGTCACCACGGGTAGCTCTGAGGGAGACGAGACGAAGGAGGAGTGAGAACAGAGAGGGAGGTCCCCGTGGGGACATGGAAGTTGTGAAAACGAAGCAGAGAAACGGGAGACACGCAAACACTCTATGTTTGACTTGTTAGTGAAAAGTTTGGTTTTCTAGGTTACAATTCTCTTTCCTTCCAAGATCCTGGCATTGGAAGGCATTTTAGGAAATCTGCCCGCTCAAGGGGTTGTGAGGTCCAGGGGCCGTCCCCAGGGCCTCAGGGAGGGCCGCCTGGAGGGCCCATCCTCCTGGGCTCTGGTGACTGTGACGGTGAAGAGGCGCCAGGGAGAGAGGACCGTGAGGGTCACGGGAGGCCTGAGGACAAGGCCCGACGCACTGAGTTCCTCTGTCTTTTTAGGACCAAGGAAGGAGGTGCTGTGAAGCTGTGGGACCAGGAGATGAGGCGCTGCCGAGCCTTCCAGCTGGAGACGGGGCAGCTGGTGGAGTGCGTGCGCTCCGTGTGCCGCGGCAAAGTGAGCCTCGGGCCTCCCCGGGGCCGGGGGCGGGCTGTCCAAGGGAGAGTTAGCTCAGCGCCTTCCAAGCAAACAATCGCAAGGAGAAGCAACCCGCATTTATTTGAGATTTTAAGAAGTGCCATTTGGGAAGCACACACTTAGGCACAACCAAATAGTGTCCCGATGGCAGGGTGAAAACGAAGGGCTTCTATGAGAAGAGACAAAGGAATAATTACATAAGAAGAAAGAAAGAAAGCTGAGCTACTCTTCGCTGTGCATGAGCGAGCATTGACTGGTTTTGTCTTCGGACAGAAAGTCCGTATCACCGCCTTGGTGCCGAGAATGCCCACTTTCCTGCTGGCCTCACAAACAGTTGTTTGTAAAACGGTGTTGGTGTAGTCCAGGCCCGAGGCCTGGCCCAGTCAACCAGCACTCTGCTGGCTCTGTGAACTTGACTACTCCAGGCAGTTCATTCGGGCGGGATGGTACAGGATTGGTCCTCTTTCTCGTTGTGTTCTGTTACAATAGGGGAAAATTCTAGTGGGGACCAAAGATGGAGAGATCATTGAAGTCGGTGAAAAAAATGCTGCTTCCAACATCCTGATTGACGGGCACATGGAGGGGGAGATCTGGGGCCTGGCCACACACCCGTCCAAGGGCATCTTCATCTCCGCCAGCAACGACGGCACAGCCCGCATCTGGGACCTGGCGGACAAGGTGAGGGGGCCGAGCTCAGGGTGGTGAGGAGAGGCCGGGCCCGGGAGGGGGTGGGGGATGGGGCTGAAAATGAGATCAGTGACTGAATTAGCCCCGTGGTCGGCAAACTGTGGCTCATGAGCCACATGCGGCTCTTTGGCCCCTTGAGTGTGGCTCTTCCACAAAATACCAAGGCCTGGGCGAGTCTATTTTGAAGTAGTGGCCTTAGAAGAAGTTTAATTTTTAAAAGTTTGACTCCCAAAAGAAATTTTAATCATTGTGTACTGTTGATATTTGGTTCTGGTGACTAAAGAATTTGCCAACCACTGGGTTAGCCTAATATTATAAAAAGTCCCATTCACACACACTGAGTCTATCTTTTAGCTGTATATCTGCCTACAAATATTTAGTTGTAGTAGGAATAATCTAAGTAAGGATGATTATTCTCTTGTCATGAAAGAACCCACAAAACTTTAAATAAAAAACAAATAAGGGAGAGGGTAAATCATCTTCCCTGGACAAAAAGATTAAAAATGATATAAAATGTCAAATGTTCCCAAATGGAACATTTCAATCAAAATCCCCACAAAGCTTCTATTAGAGTTTGGAAAAGACTATTTAAAATATCATAAAATAATTTTTTAAAAATTCATCTGGAGTAAAAATCCAAAATAGCAAAGAATAATCTAAGGTGGGGGGAGGTAACGTTACCAAGCCTATCTAATATTAAAACAATTACTGAAGTCTCTAATAATTAAGATTCTTGGTTTCATTACAAAGGGGCCAGTATTGAAGTATGTTTGAGTCCTGTCTTCTGTGCACAGACCAGAGAACAGACACGCAGGGGCCTAAGTGTGGCCGTCACCTCATCAGCTCACAGTGATTACGTTGCCGATGGTAACGGCACGTATCATTTCCTGACCACCTGCTCCACTCTGGGTGCCTCACGTACCCTGTTGTCAATGCTTACGGTAACCTTGCAAGACCAATACTAATATCACTTGTTTTTCACACGAGAAACCGAAGAAGTAAGGCACTAACCTGAGCACACCCAGCTAGTGAGAGCCACGACTCAGGATCTGAACGAACAGGTGCTTATGTCCCAAACCCACCTGAACAATAACGGTCAGCCATCTGTGGCTGGAGGGTTAAGGTCGGCCTGCGGCCTGTGTCTACAGATGAAGTCCCGCTTTCGTTCATGTGGCGTCTGGGGCCGCCTTGGTGCTACAACAGCAGCGTTGAATGGCTACGAGGGACCATGTGGACCCCAACGCCCAGTATACTCACTCCCAAACCATTTACAGAAAAAGTCTGCCGGCCCCCCTGCCCTAAAGCAGGTCGTCTCTCAAGCTGTCCTAATCAAAACTTCCTGCCCATCTCGCGGCTCAGGGACAGCAGCTGAATAGAAGCGAGCTCTCTGGAGGCCCACGTGGTGGCAGAGGCCGCCTGGCTGCCCCGCTGCCCCGTCCTGGGGGGTAAGATGTGCCCCGGGGAGCAGCGAAGGCAGCCTCGGGCTCAGGGGCCGTTACTCTGCATCCATGCAGAAGCTGCTGAACAAGGTGAGCCTGGGCCACCCGGCCAGGTGTGCAGCCTACAGCCCCGACGGGGAGCTGGTGGCCATCGGCATGAAGAATGGGGAGTTTGTCATCTTGCTGGTGAACAGCCTGAAAGTCTGGGGGAAGAAACGAGACCGGAAATCTGCCATCCAAGATATCAGGTACGCCGAGGGTGGT